GCTGGATGGGAAGTGGAGCAGCTGGGATATGAACCAGCACCCAAATGGGAACAGCGCATAGAAGGCAAATACTTAGCCACTGAACCTCATGTGAGACCCAAGACTAGGTCTTATTCATGCTTGTAACCCTTAGGGTTGTACCAGGCCCTTAGAGATACCAACAACTAGAATATAAATGAACGGAAGATTTATAACAAAGAGAACTATATAAAATTAGTGTAAACACTATGTTATAAAAACAAAATCTTACAAATGAGGTGCGTGGGATTTGGAATTGATCTTCTACTGCATAGCTGAAGGCCACCTCCTAATATGGCTATGAGCAATCAATGAGTTAATATGTAGAAGGCTTGAGAGCACTGGACTTTACACAGAAAGCCTTTAATATCGACTGCCTACACAATCAGTGTAACTATACATGCATTATAATTAATTTATAATAATACGTAGACTATAATTCTGCATTTAGAAACTCAGAGAACATGGTTAACACCTAGATTGTAGGGATCATGACTCTGTAGAGCACAGGGATGACCTAAAGGTGATCATTTAACCAGGCTGGCTCCCAGACCAGTCTGGAGCCTCATCTGACAGGTTTGGCGGTTAGCAACAAACAGCTGTTCTGTGGTACAAATCCTGTGTGCTTGTGCTGTGGCTGTTGCTGAAGAACTTATCCCAGAGATGAGCATCCCTTCATCTGCCTGGTCTAAATCTCCTAGGAGCTGTTGTCACCCCACCACATCGCAGGCAACCCTGCCTGGAGGGGACATGTCTCTTCCCTCCTGGGGGTAGTCGCAAATTCCACAGCCTCTCAGAGAGGAGACAGTGTGCCCTTCAAGTAGGATCTGCACTCCAGGAGTGGATTCAGATTTCCCCGCGTCCTTACAACAAAGCCCTTTCCTTATGCCAGTTTGGTGGTTTTGATTCTCCAGTGGATCAATTGCTGCCAAGATGGTCCAGCAGGTCAGGGGGTAGGGAAGTCACTGAAGCCATTCTTAGCCTCTTTTCCCCACTCCTTCCTGTCCTAGCACAGAATCAATCTTTTCTTCCTGCCTGTCTGCCTTCCTTCTTTTCTCTTTCTTTCCTCCCTTCCTCCCTCCCTCCCTTGCTTCCATCCTTCATTTCTACTGTAAAGTCAGATATACACAGAGGAGGAGACAGAGATCTTCTGTCTGATAATTCACTCCCCAAGTGAATGCAACGTCCACAGCTGTGCTGATACGAGGCCAGGACCTTCTTTTGGGTCTCCCTCGCGGGTGCAGGGTCCCAAGGCTTTGGCCCTTCCTTGACTGCTTTCCCAGGCCACAAGCAGGGAGCTGGATGGGAAGCGGGGCTGCTGGGATTAGAACCGGTGCCAATATGGGATCCTGGCACATTCAAAGCGAGGACCCCAGCCGCTAGGCCACTGTGCCAGGCCCAGATTCTTTTAAAACATGGTCAAGGTTGACAAGATTGGCCAGTTTCATGGATTCCACAGAATGGTAGAGGGGTCTTAAAAAGGAAAAGGAGAGACCAAAAGAAAAAGGAAAATATTCTGATTCCTGAGCGAGGCACTGGGGTTCTGTCGGCATTGGGTAATAGGAGGTAACAAGTGGGAAAAGCAAAGATTCATCTGGCATCACCTGGATGACCCTGGTTGAGTTTGGACCCTCAGTAACAGATCTGAGTATTCATATGATAAGTCCTTAGGTTGAGCATCCTTAATACAAAGATCCTGATGGCTACCACAGAGGCTGGAGAAGGGTGAAGTTTGTCTCCAACCAAACCCAGAACGGATAGCGGAATTCTGGCGGGCCCCTCAGGCAGTGAGACCACTGTTGCACCAATGAGGGGCACAGACCCGTATCCCCCCACCAATAAGGGCCGAGGCAACCCCGTCTCGGCTTCCATGTCAAGGAGAGTTTTAAAAGCCCTTTCCCATCTCTTCCTCCTCTGCAGCCCACTCCTTCACGTGTGTCCTTTCTGCTGCATGGGGAAGGGAAGCCCGTGACTGTGGTTCCCTGATACAAAGGCCATCTAAATTCTTTCCATAAATTTGGCTGAGTTATTCTTTCTCTGGTGGTTGGTGAATCTAACAGATCCAAAATTAGAAACACCTATGGATGTGAGCACTGAGAAAGGGCTACCCAAGCTGTGTCACCACTCATAAAGCATACCTATTAACAGCACAGGGTGTTCCTCCCGTGGGAAGAATCTGAGTCTTAGACTTGGTGCAATAGGACAATGACTTCTTTGCAAACAATAAGAGGGAGAGCTGGGATCTCAGTGTATGGTTCCGACCATGCTGTCTTGGCTTATGGTGTAGCAGGATACGGGTCTGGATAGGGTATGAGGCTCCAGTAAGAGCTGCGATATCAATGAAACCAAATAACTCACAGCTTAGGAAACCATTCTCACGTCTTTAATTAAAATCCAAATAGCATTTGACATGTACAGATGTTTAAACTCTTTTGGTGACTTGCATTTTAAAATTGTTTTGCACAACATTTTGAGGCTAACTTCATGCTAGAAATCTACAAATGTACAACATCACAAAAATAATACATTCGGAGTCCATTCCAATGCAAGATTAAAACACTTTAATTGGCAAACAATGTAAAGATATTTAAAAATAAAAACTATAAAATGAGCACACAAAAGTCTTCCCTTTGAATTTTTAATAAAATACTGCTCTGTATAAGATCTAATGAAAATTCCAGTTACTTATAAAATATGTATGAGAAAAGAAATGAATTGATACATATTACATATGAATAAACAGAATGTTGAACATGTGGGTGACACAGCACACAATCAATTACTACATATTCAAACAGATGAAAACACTCAAAGAAACAACTGAGTGTGAGCAAAAGAAAATTATTGATACCCGAACCCCCCCTTGCCCCAAAATTTCAAAATCCAAAGAAACAGACAACAACAACAAAAAACCTAAAAGTTGCACAGAAAAACCCTTCATTGTAAAGAAAAGGAAAAATTAAAAGACCTATAGCAAACTATGACCTAAATTCTCACTCCAATTATTTCACGAGAAACAGTAAGAGAATTTGGCTCCAAATTACTAAAACATCTACAGAAACTTCATTATTTGGCCTGGGCAATTTAATGGTACACTAAATATATTGAAATAATCAAAAGCAATGAGTGTCCTGCTAGAGAAAAATGAACTTTTACATGCTAATCCATGTGAAAAATGTATCTGTGGGAAGCCATAGTCTCCTTCATAAATTGCACTTGAGATGGTTAAATGTAATGCACTGACTGAGCAATGTATTGATGCTGGCTTACACACGCACACACACAGCTATGAATGTCCACATCCTTGACTACAACTATTTCATTCATGCTTTTCTTCACAGTCTAGGAGGCTCCGTGATGTCTGAGTGGAGTGGTCAACTCTGCTAGGATCTGCCTGTCTCCTGTGCACGCAGCTGATGCTGCCTCTTGCAAGACTGTTTCACTGGCAGAAGATGTAGAAATCTGACGGAAATTCATTTCTGGAATTTTAAGCTTTAGTATGATTAGGAAAGGGAAGAGTTTCTACAAGCAAGACTGCTTTACTGACAAAGGCTTACAAAATGTGTTTAAGCTACACTGCCAGAGTGAGTACTGTCACTCTAGAAAAGCAACGGGTGGGCTTCCATGATATGTACCGTTTTTAACAGAATAATCTTCACAGCAATTTCTCTCCATTAAGTTCATTCTTTTCCATAAACACACAATTGGGAAGCAACATAGTACTAGGAAATAAAGCTAGTTCAAAAAGCTGAAATTCTATTCAGCTGCATTAAGAAAAAGCTGTTTTGAAAGATGGGGAGAAGCACGTGAGGCGTCACTCCCGCGGAGATTTGCACAGCAACAGTTTGATCCTTTACACTGTGAAAATGATGACATACTAACTTAACTGCATTTGTTTCAACTGCCTGCCTTTGCCTCCTCCTCCTCTTAAAACAGAGAACCTGGATTACAGTTTGGGAGAAGGAATCTAGAGTCAAAGGAAAGGAAATAAATAACAAAAATTTGCAATAGGTTTTCACCACACTCACCAATAGGCAAATAAAAATTTCTGATCTTTGCCAATTATGCTTTGAAAGGCAAGGAAAATCTGAAATTGAAACCAAGGTTCAGAGATGATGTGAATTTTTCATGCAACTGTGTCCCAAACGTTTAAGACTTTAATCTGTATCATGTCTAAGCCAATTAACACATTATATTAATCATATTATAAACCAAGGTTAGGACCAGGGAATGGAGGAAGTTGTGAAAAGGAATGAGGCTGGAAGGATCAGTCTTCAAAATCCACTTAATTTGATAGTAAAAGAAAACTTAATACACTATTATCACACCAGAACAGTTAGAAATATTGCTTGAGTGTGGAGAAGGCTTACCTGAATTTCAGGACTCAGTTACATGGAAACATGAAGCAATTTGGGGAATTTTTCCTTCTGTATCCTATATAGTCCCATCATTTTCTCAAAAAGTTTTCAGAAGTAATAGCTGAATGGGCATAGTTTTAAATTTTGGGAGTGGTTTTAGTTTGCCTTGTCTAAATAAGAAAACTTTGAGTTTTCCAATTCTAGCTGTTTTTCAGACATGGTGAACTCCAACCTCTCCTCTTAGGTCCCTCACAGGAGGGCGTGCGTACCGTGATCTGGGGCCTACACTTGGAACAGGTGTGTAAGGATCAAAGCCCACAGAATAACTCACCAGTATGCAGCCATTTTAGCATTCTCTCCTATAGTACTCTCATTTCAGCCCTGATTGCTAGAATATGCTTTTTCTAAAATGAAAAAAAAAACCCCACTTTTCCTTTTTTACTTCGTAGCTGCACATAATTATCAGCTGGCTAGATTCAAGCAGTGGACAAAGGTGCTTTGGGTTCAATGGCACTACGTTTAGTCAACCTATTCCTGGGCTTTCCAAAAAGACGGTCCATTAGCCTTCCTGTGTCCTGCAGCAGACGTGGAACTGTCACCCAGGAGGGGTGAACGAGGCAGTCCTTCGAATGCTGGAGTTTGCACAGTTAGGTGAAAACTGCTAGCTTTCTACTAGCAGGAGGCTAACATAACATTACTGTCACAACTGAACTTTTTCCTTATATTTCCATAATAGATGTTTCCCATTAACGCACAGAATTTGTGAGACAATAAACACCGAGAATTACTTGAGCTCATTATTCAAGATCCCACTATAGATAAACAAACAAGGAAGTGCTGGGAACTGATGAATATCTGAACCTAGGAAATTAATAGAAAATTAAACCATAGAAACCCACATGACTATAAGTGAGAGATCAACAGCATTTTTCACTTATACTAATAAAAAGGCACTACTAAAATACAAGTATCTTCCTCATATCAAGAGAAATTCTGGAACCAGCAGTTAGAGAAAGGAAACCATTTAGTTCAACACTAGCATTTACAAACAAACCAAACCAACTGGGCTCACGGCAGAGCTTACCTTGTACTAAATGAAATCAGATACAATCAAGGGCAGCTGCAAAGATTGTGGTTCCTACCTTTAAAAAAGTATAACTTACTTCTTTAGAAATATAAGCATATCACAAAAACTAAAGGATAAATATATTATACCTATATATCTATATATTTATAAAAACCCAGGTCCTGGTATCATTGAGACATTTCCTAAAATAATTTCAATAGTTACAACACAACCAACAAACACTGACACATGACATGCAAAGACAAAGGCCAGCGTCACTGAGCAGTTCAGTGTAAAGCTGAACATACAGAACTTCAGTGAGACAGGCAGGAAATCATGTACATCACACACTGATGATTGTGCCTACATCACAGACACCTCAGAATTACAACACAATGCATTGCACCCCCCCCAAGGAGCACCACACACTCGGAGCTCTTATGTATGTCAGGGAAGCAGATCACAAGTATACAAAATAGTAACAATGTGATTCATATTATGTTATTTATTCTGCAGAGGATAAATCTATAATAACTGTACCCTGTAGATTTTGAAACTTAGCTTTATTAGACATTGCTACTGCTGGTTCTGGAACAATCTAAAAAAATTTTGAAAGTACTAACTCTAGATTGCTATTTATATTTATAAGCAATTAGAGGAAATATCTTGATCAGTAATTTAAAGTTGCTTTGGTACAAAATTTCGAATAAAGCAAAACTGGCAGCACCACAATGAGTGGATCATTTCACAGAACCCTCAGAGACAAGAAAACATAAACTAAATACACATACATAAGAGCCATCCTCTTGGTAACTTTGTTACATTATTAAAAAGAGAAAAAAATCCCTCCATTTTGTAAATCATACTCGAGGCCCAACTGTCATGCTCCATCTAATTATACCCCAATGCTAGTGTAAAAAAAAAATGTTTTACTCTGATTGCTAAAAGGATATCTAATTGCTAGCTCAGGAGGCTTCCGGGGAGGAGTTCAGTGGTTAGAGTGCTTATTCCACTCACACTACCTTAGCTCAAGGTTTTATTTAGTTTTTTTTTTTTTCTTTTTTACAGCTTCATTGAGGCATAACTGATGCATAACACACTGCACATTTTTAAAGTGCACAAACTGATATTTAGTCTTTAAGTAGCATGAAAAGTGCCTGACAACCTAAAAAGTAAAACTTCTCAATTTGCACATATTTTTAAAAAATAGTATATTCCAACTTTGTATGAGATATGGATATAGACTTATAAAAAGTTCATGGAAAATAATTAATTGAATTACATGTACCAAATTTATTCAGAAGGCTTAGAAATACCAAAATTGACTGCCAGTTTTCTTGATTTTCTCCTTGAAGAGCTGGGTGTTGATTTTTGAGACACGCCACGGCCCTGAGGGGCAGCTTCAGCCTGGGCAGATGCAGGCTGAGTGATCTCAGAGGGCTTCACGGAGGCCGGCGAGCTCTCCTGCACACTCGCTTTGGGGCCATGAGGAGGTCCTGGCTGGCTGGTTTGAAGTGAGGTGGCTTGAGAAGTACTCGGGGCCTCCTTTTTTTCAAAATTCTTTTTGTTTGCAATCCTTTTTTTGGTAACCTTTGAGGAATAAAACCATCAATTAACAATATCAACAACAAACAAAAAGCAAACAAATGCTAGGAAGATTTCTCAATCATTGTTGATCTGTGATTTCCATTTTAACTTCTAAAGCAGAATTTAGTGACCAACAAAACACCAAAAGAACTGGTACCAAAAAAAAAATCTTAAAAATTATCCTTAAAATTTATATCGTTTTAAAATTCACTTTGTATTAGAATAAAATAGTATTACTTGCTATGAGGGTTCTTAGGAAAACACAGACTTAGCAAGGATGAGGTCAGATATGTCATTCTCAGTGCTAAAGCCAGCACCGACTGTACAATGAACTGGACCAGCACAGTGGTCTAAGTATGAGAAACAGTAACTCCCTTGAGAAAGCAGCAGCTCTCTTCCCAGTCTCACCTGCAGAGGTACGAACTGATTGTGCACACCGCCTGGCATGCCGCCAGCCACAGGCATGGGCCCGGAATATGACGGGTGATGGAAGGGCTTCCCAGGAACCGGCACTGGTGGGCCCCATGGCATCGAGCCGAAGAGATGAGATGGGGGCACTAGATTAGCTGTTCAAACACACAGGAAACCATCAAAGTCCTAAGTTAAAACAGTGTGATCAAAGCCCTCCCGCGTAAGATGCTCCTCTGCCAGTCTTTTCTGACTTTGGCAAAACACTCACATTTAATTTACAACTTCCGCTTACAACATTCAACCTTAGCAGCCCTTGTTTCGGTAGTGAAAAAAATTAATTTTCCAGAGTTTATGTGCAAACTTTTAGGTATTTTTTTTTAGGAATTTCTGTTACCCTGGAATGTAAATGCCAAGGGTTCCATATGCTAACATGAACTTTAGGAATATCTGCAATTATATTAAAGAATAACAAAAGGATCATGATATTGTTATTGGGAGAGAAAATCCGGGTATAAAAGCAGAAGCTGAAGGATCTCACCTGCCCCCAATGCTAAGTTGCCTCCATAGTGATCCCAGCCTACAAGAAAACCAAAAAAGCGCTCCTGAACTCACAGCATTTTCACATGACGTGTGCACTCTTCTACCTATTCTAATATCCGTACTTCAAAGGATTTTTTTTTTTTTGCAAATCTGTGAAATACAGATTTCTGAACAGGGCCTCAGAACTTGTAAACCAGACCTCGAGGGGCTAGAAAATAAGTATTTACTTAACAAGCGTCACAGGTGAATTTTATGTAGACAGCGGATACTGATGCAGCATTTGGGACCAACCACAGTGAAAATGGTGACAACTGAGACAACAGCATGTCGCCACTGCAGAAGGTGGCCAAAGCACACCTCGCCCATATCCCCATATCATCTGTAAGAGATTTTAAAAGGCAGCCAGACTGTACAGCTTAGTTAACTGTGTAGCTTAGTTAAAATTCAGCCACTTCAGGAATTTTTGGATCAGCAGAAAAGAATCATAATATATTTTAGTATTACAAATTATACATAATACAATTTCCAGGATGAAGAAAACCTTCAATTTGAAAAAAACACTAACTAGTAAGATTTAGAAAATTAAGTTCTGCCAACAAGCTGAGGGGACTCATAACGTTAAGATCTATTTTGAAAAGGCACATAAATTTTATGTACTGGTAAGTTTTATAATTTCCCCACAAATAATTGTTACAAATGTGTTTATAAAAATACATTTTCTCCATTATTTACTTAATAGAAATTTGCAAAATGACTTTAAAATGGTAATCTGATTGTTAGATTGTTACCTCCTGATTAATTTGAAATCTTTTGGCAGGTATAAACTCATTTACAACTGGAAGATTCAGAGAATACTTACAGTGTAACCAAAAATATTTCAAATGTAATTTACAAATTCTGGGTACAGGTATGGCTAAGCTAGATAATACGGAAAATGAGAACTTACCAAGCTGTAAAATATAGAAAATATAAACTAATTATTTTCATTATTTCCTCTAAGGTTCCTTGTTCTCCTAAGACATCTTTTTGAAGTAGATTTGTCTGTTTTCACATGCTTGAAAGTGTGTGAACTAGAGCCTCTCCATATAGTGGTCCATTTCCCAAAGCCTGCAACAGCCAGGTGAGGCCAGCCTGAGGCCGGGAACTCCACCGGGGGCTGCTGTGTGGGTGGCAGGCCTGCAGCCGCGGCGAGGGCAGCACTTGCCCACCGGGGGCTGCTGTGTGGGTGGCAGGCCTGTAGCTGCGGCGAGGGCAGCACTTGCCCACTGGCGACAGCAGTGTGCCTAGTAATAGCTTGACCTGTTTCCCTCTAACACCCCTCCCACCGAGGAAAATTAATTTTTTAGAGTTTATGTTCAAACTTTCAGGTATGTCACATAAACTACTTAAAATTAATTACTAGATTCAATTTTAGGTTAAGGCTAAGGAAGGCCAAACCTGGAACTGCATCTGGGTTGAAGCCATCACCTGCTGCCTAAAAGGCTGCATTTGGACTGGGATCCAACAGTCAGGACTCTGATGCGCCAGCATCCCAGATGGCAGCCTAACGCGCTGCCCCCTGGTGCCTGCTCACAGGTGAAATCAAAGCAGCAGAATGAGATCACAGAAGTATGCAGCTATGACTGCGCCTCAGCCTACATCACTGTTTACACAGTCAATGCTAGTGTAGTACAAACACGCAAGCATGGCCTTCGGAAGCAGACAGGCGTGTATTCTGAAAAGCAGTTTTGTTCCTTGGTAACTAAGAACTTTAGACATATACTTAATTTATCAAATCAAGTTCTAAATACACATTCCACTAAAATGATTTTTTAAAATATATATTTTTTTTTATTGCAAAGTCAGATGTACAGAGAGGAGGAGAGACAGAAAAGAAGATCTTTCATCTGATGATTCACTTCCCAAGTGGCCGCAACGGACAGAGCTGCGCCAATCTGAAGCCAGGAGCTTGGAGTCTCTTCCTGCTCTCCCATGTTGGTACGGGGTCCCAAAGCCTCAGGGCATTCTCAACTGCTTTCCCAGGCCACAAGCAGGGAGCTGGATGGGAAGTGGGGCTGCCAGGATTAGAACTGGCACCCATATGGGATCCCAGCACATGCAAGGCAAGGATTTAGCTGCTAGGCTACTGCGCTGGGCCCATAAAAGGACTTTTAATATAAAAGTGCAGTCACCTGTTCCTCTCGGGGTGTACCTATTTATTATTCTTCAACTACTCTTTTTCCAAAAACTTCTGTTCATTTTTGGTCAGGATAACTTCTATTTCAATGAAGCTGCCATTTATTATTGTCTTTGAAGTTTTGTTTTCTATATTATTTGGGTTCTTTTCTCTTGCTTTTGGTTTTCTCTTATATTTCAGAAATTTACCTTTTCTGTCTAGTAATCTCTTTGTCTCTTCTGAGAGAGATACTGTGGCTGGCATGGTGACACAGAGGCCACACTGCTGCATCTGACTAGTGACTTGAGTCCTGGCTGTCTTACCTCTCTGATCCAGCTCTCTGTTGATGCACCTGGGACAGCAGAGGGAGACTGCCCCAACGCGTGGGACCCTGTCATCCGTGGGGGAGCCCTGGATGAAACTTCAGGCTTCTGGTCCAGCACTGGCTGATACAACCATTTGGGGACTGGATCAGTGAACAGAAGATCTCTCTCTCTCTTACTTACTTATTGTCTTTCAAATAAAAACAATTTTTTTTAAAAGGAGACAATAACAGTAAAACTGATTAGGAAAAATGTCTATGTGCAAGGCAGCAGGATTAGGAGCCCTGCAGGCTTGACGGGCAGGGAGCCCGTGTTCTGGTGTGGCCTTTGATGAGAAGCCACCTGATCGTGGGGCGTGACAGGGTGCAGGGGCCCTATTCTTGCACGTGACTCTCAGCCAGTGCTGTCAAAGGCTTCTGTGTCTGGGAAACTGTGAGGACAACTTGCCCCGCAGCTCCTTTCTCTGCTACACTGCTCACTTCCTCACTGCTTGATCTTACCAAAATAGTGTTACATCTCTAATCAGCTGGTATTTCTTCTCCCATTTCCTTATAGATATATACTTTTAAAATCCTTCATTAGAGATAATAGCGTGTTCTAAATGTACCTTCTCTCATTATTACTCATTATTTATATTTCTAACATTTAGAATAAAGATTAGATATGGATAGTTCCTGAACAACCACAGAAAAGTAAATTTATTTTTTTTTTCAGTGAGCAAAGTGAGATTAATTTAAGTCAGAAATCTCTTGCTGCAGCAGCAACAAGAAGGGCACAAAAGCAATTTCTTACTCTTAAAATAAATCAACTAGTGGACTTAAAGTGATAATAATGAAAACATAAAGAAGCCAAATGCTATTAGGAAAAAGGCTGGATGACATAAGAAATATCAAGTGAGGGCCCAGTGTGGTAGCCTAGCGCCTAAAGTCCTCACTTTGAATGCATTGGGATCCTATATGGGTGCCGGTTCTAATCCCAGCAGCCCTACTTCCGATCCAGCTCCCTGTTTGTGGCCTGGAAAAACAGTCGAGGATGGCCCAAAGCTTTGGGACCCTGCACCCACGTGGGAGACCCGGGCAGGGGTGGAGCGGGCTCAGGGTTTCTGCCTTCAGATCAGCGCAGCTCTGGCCGTTGGGGCCACTTGAGTGAAACAGAGGATGGAAGATCTTCTCTGTCTGTCCTCCTCTCTACATATCTGACTTTCCAATAAAAATTAAAAAAAAAGAAAAGATCATAAAAAAGGTCAACATATTGTGTTAAAAAAACAGAAATATCAAGTGAACTTAAGGTTTAGATTATAAATTACAAAATAATAGTTTCAAAGAAATTCTTGATCTAGTCTTTGCTATGGATAAGAGCCCAGAAGGTTATGTGATGTTTTTTCGCACACGTTTTTGATGTCTTACTTAAATTCAAATTCGTTAGCTAGCAGCCACTGGGCAATAAGGGTGTATAAGAAACTGCCTTCCTCACAAGTTGAAGAAGGCTTAGGATGCAGGCTTCTCAGTTTCTTCTTACATTTATGGGCATTTAAACAAATGTCCTGACTTCTTAAAAATGATACTTCTCAAAAGAACTCAGTAAAAACGACAACTCAGGGGTCTGGCACTGTGGTGCAGCACGTAGAGCTGCTGCCTGTGAGCAAGCATCCCGTCTGGGCATCGGTTCAAATCCTGGCTACTTCACTTCTAATTCTGCTTGCTGATAATGTGGCTGGTAAAGTAGCAGAGGATGGGCCAAGTGCTTGGGCCCCTGTAACCCATGTGGGAGACGTGCAAGAAGCTCCTGACTTTGGACCAGCGCAGCTTCAGCCACTGCGGCCACTTGGGGAGTCAATCAGTGGATAGGAGATCTCCTTCTCATTCTGCCTTTCAAATAAATAAATCTATTAACAGCAACAACAACAAACAACTCAATGACAAACACTTAGAAAAGAAAAATATCTTACCAGCAGGTTGGGGAAAAACTGGAATAGTTCCTGGTGTTACAGCAGGTGGATAATTTGGGAATATTGGTGGAGACATAGGGAAATTCACTAAGGGGCCCTGTGAAGTATTTACAAAGTGTAAGACAACGCAACAAAAGCCTTTCACAGACTAAAAATTTGATAAAGAACTCATCAACAGTTCTTACCAACTGCTGTAAAGCAAAAAATGCAGCTTTCTCCTTGGCTTCATTCTCAGAGTGGCATGGAGGCCCATGTACCAGGAGGCCATTAGATAACTTCACCTGGCAAACTGTCATTGTCTGAAAGAGAAAATGGATGTTTATAAAATAACCTGTCCAGGAAGACTGACCTACCCCTCAAAAGCTTAATCTCTGATTCTGGATACCAGTGTTATGGGGGGTGGTCTACTGTATTTTTTTTATGTTATCATAAGTAGAACTATTTTAAATTTCTTTTCAGACTTTTCACTATTTGTGTATGCCTATTTTTGTATTTTGTAACTGCTAAAATTGTCTATTGGTAGAAAAGTTGTATTTGAGTTGGTGGAATCTTTAAGGCTTCCATATGACATACAAGATCAAAACATTGAAATGCAGATAATTTCTAAGTTGGACGTCTTTCATTTCTTTTGCTCGGCTAGAACTTTTAGTACTATATTGAACAGCTTCATGTCATAACAGAGTCAAAGAACAGCTACAATTACCTAGAAAGGTTGTTAAAAATTCTTGTTCTTTTTCCAACTAGCTATTTGTGTGTAGCCATATATTTTGCCAAAGCAGTGACTGAAGCGGGCATGAGGATCTAGCATCTTCTCCTAAGCTACATTTGGAAATGTTTTTAAAATGTAAAGCATTATCACTCTTCTCACCAAATACTTTTTGTGGTTATTTTTCGTAAAGAACAAATTAACAAAAATTTGGTTTCCAGTTGTAAATCTTAACAGGATACACCTAAAGTTCTTTGGAATTGTCTAAAAAAAAAAGTGGAGGAGTTTTTGAGACCCAAATGTCTGAATACTGCGGCATAGACCAAAATCCTTAGTTGTATCAGCCAGAAGAATCAGAGCCTAGGGACCTTCTGCCAGCCGTGTGAGGGTTCTGGTTCTGGGTAAATGAAAACCCAGAGACAGAAGTATAAGTCCATGTTTTCATAAAGGAAAACAAACAAATGAATAAATCAGCCACATTATGTTTTTCTAGCCAAAAAGTTTCAGTCAACTTCCTTGCTGAGCTGAGTGTTAAAGAAGCTGTGCATCCAGAAGAGTTAACACTGTACCTGCGGTGTTCGAAGGAAGGAGAAGTCTGGCTGCGGCATTCCAACAAGTGAGCAGATTCGACACAGTTCACTTACTGGCGTAGGCACGGGAGGAACCTGGCTGGGAGCAGGCCAGCACACACTGTCCAAGGACTGAACCTGATGGTACTCACTCGCACTGTGAGGCTTCTGCATATAAGATGCTATCAAAAAGAAAAAGCAGATATAGCTACACAACTCTAGTGACTAAAACGCCTGTGCTTCCTACTGTCAAAGCTCCCAGGTTCTTTCCTGTTTCTGGCTCCTGACTCCGGCTATCTATGACTGCAGATCCCAGGGCGTAGCAGTCATGGTTCCCGTTACTGGCTCCCTCCACTTGAGGGAGAGCTACAAGGTGAAGCTCTGGGCCTCAGCCACCAGTTCTGGCCATTAGAGGAATTTGAGGAGTGAACTAGAAGATGGGGAGATCCTTCCCTCTCTTTCATATAAATTGTACCATGGTCTAGCGCTGTGGTTTAATGGGCAAAGCTGCTGCCTGTGGTACCAGAACACCATAAGGGTGCCAGTTCAATTCCTGGCTGATCCACTTCCAATTCAGTTCCCTGCTGATGACCTGGGAAGGCAGTGGGAGATGGCCCAAGCGCTTGGGCTCCTGCACCCATGTGGGAGACTCAGAGGAAGCTCCTACACTTGGGTTAACTCAGCTGTCACCCTTGTAACCATTCACGGAGTAAACTAGGGGGAGGGTGGAAGACCTCTGTCGCCTCTTTAGCTCTGCCTTTCAAATAAAATTAATTAGTCTCTTAAAAAGATAGAAAGTGATACCTTAAATTATGCAATTATTGTAGGATGTTAAAGGAAAGCACACATGAAATTACTGAGGAGTATAAAAATGAAAAACTCCCATAAAGAAAATATTAAATCTATTTACTGCTTACAACCATTGTGGCTTCAATAAGTGCTTTAGATGATTATAATTAATCAATGAAGAATTATTAAAGCAAGGATTAAGACTAAGTAGGGGATGGGGCCAGTGCAATGGCTCAAATTGGTCAATCTCCCACTTCCAAGAATGGCGATCACATGTTGGCACAGGTCCACGTCCCGGAAAACCCCGCTTTCCATGCAGCTCCCTGCTTGTGGCCTGGGAAAGCAGTGGAAGACATCCGAAAGCCATGGGACCTTGACAACCTCATGGGAGACCTAGAAGAAGTTTTCTCTCTGTCTCTCCTTGGAAAAAGACTAAGTAGGGGGCCTGTTGCGGCATAGTAGGCCAAGCCACCGCCTGTGACACTGGCATCCCATATGAGCACTGACTTGGGTCTTGGCTACTCCAGTTTGGAGTCAACTCTTTGGTCTAGCTCCTTGCTAATGTGTCTGGGAGAGCAGCAGATAATAACTCTATATGAGAGACCGGGAAGCTCGGCGTTATTGGCTTTGACGTGATTCAGACCTGGCTGTTGCAGTCACTTGGGAAATAAACTAGCAGATGGAAAATTTCTCTTTTCTTTGTCTCTCCCTCTCTGAAACTCTACATCTTTTTTCTTTTTCATTCATTCATTTATTTATTTAATTTATTTTATTTATGGGCCTGATGTGGTAGCCTAGTGGCTAAAGTCCTTGCCTTGCATCTTCCGAATCCCATATGGCCGCTGGTTCATGTCCTGGCTGCTCTACCTCCAATTCAGCTCACTGCCTGTGGCCTGAGAAAGCAGAGGAGGACGGCACAAAGCCTTGGGACCCTGCGCCTTGTAGGAGCAACAGCCGGAGCTAAGCCAATCTGAATCCAGGAGCTTTATCCAAATAAACAAATAAAAATCTTTTTTTTTAAAAAAAAAAGACTTTAAGTAGTTCCTAAAAATGAAAATCTTGAGCAACTAATAACTGCACGATACTGTTACAGGTAAAATCTGAGGAAACGGGTTTGAGTTAGCGTGCACTTAATCCTTATTAAGGTTGAAGACTTTGTTGTCGGTCTCTTTTGTTGGTTGTTTTTGCCTTCACTCTTAATTCATGATTTATTATTTATTTGAAGGCAAATGACAGTAAGGTGGTGAGGGCAGGCAGGAAGAGAAAGGAGACACGGAGAGTAAGCAGGAGAAGGGAACGCAATGCGTGCTGCCCGTGGTAGCAGTGGCAGGTTCCTCCACTGGCAGTGTGGCATCCCGCTCTGCATTGATGGAGAGCTGCAGGGAGGACCAAAGTACACACCTGCACCCAGACACTGACTCAGCACACAGGCAGCTTAACTGCCAGGCGCAGGCTCTGCACCTGAGCCTGAGAGATTTTCAGTTAACCAGTTATCCCATTATTTATGAGTGTGTAAGTCTAGCCAGGCTCTGCATTTTCCCCGGAGATTTTCAAAAAAAGATTTATTTATTCTTATTGGAAAGTCAGATATACAGAGGAGGAGAAACAGAGAGGAAGATCTTCGGTCCCTTAATTTACTCCCCCAGTGGTTGCAATGGCTGGAGCTGAGCCAAACCGAAGCCAAGAGCCAGGAGCCTCTTCCAGGTCTCCCACAACGGTGTAGGCTTTGGGCAGTCCTCGACTGCTTTCCCAGGCCACAAGCAGGGAGCTGCACGGGAAGCAGGGCCGCGAGGATTAGAACCAGTGCCCATATGGGATCCCGGTGCATGTAAGCAAAGATGTCAGCAGCTAGGCTACTGCGCTAGGCCTAGTATCTACTTTTATATTGGTCATTTTCCCTGAAGATTTTGGCACATAACTGCAAACAAAGCACTGAAGCTTGGGTACATTTACTGAAATCCAGTTATGTGCCAGATTTTTGCTATAGTCTTCAGAGTAATTACTAACTTTTCAATATACACCTCCATTAATGATTTTTACAGCATTTTCTAGTGTTACATGGTGATGTTATTTCTGTTTATTTCAGGGACAGGTGCACATGTGCACACACAACCATCTACTGGTTCATTCTCAATAGACATTATTGGATTGCGGTGAACCCAGGAACCAAGTAATTTAATCCAGGTCTTCCACATGAGTGGCAGGGATTTCAGAACTTGAGCCACAATTTGTTGTGTCCCAGGTGAACATAAGTACAGAGCTGGAATCAGGAGCAGCACCAGGATGTGTACCCAAGGCCCTGCAATACGGGATGCCGGCATCCCAGCCAATGTTTAACCTGTTACACTAAACAACCACACTGATTCAAGTTATTTTTACATAAAATCAGTATCAGTTATTTGCACCTACAGTATGTCACATGTAGTGATAACTGCTTTATACACAGATACTAGTCACAGCAGGCATTTGCCATGTGTCATTTTTATGGACATGGAAAAATAATTTTACAAAAGATAAATAATGTATGTGAGTTGCATAAACATTTTTAAATCATCAAGAAAATGAAAATGTGAAAAGCTCCTGAAGTTTGGCTACCTATAGAAGGAATGTCTGTAATAGTGCAACATAAGATGACATTTAGGGACCACAGTTTATGACATTATGACACAGCTGACACAAGTCGAAAAGCTTACTCGTTTGAAGTTAGCGTTGTGCAGCAGTAAAACTGCTTTTGGCAATGTGAACAGACCTCAGGAACATCGGTGCACGTTCTGATTGTTCACGTCTGCTAAAGACCACAGGAAAGCAGTGGAACATGACCAAAGTCCTTGAATCTCCGCCACCCACACGGGAGACCCTGACGATATGTCAGGCTCCTTGCCTTGGCCTGGCCCAGTCCTGGCTGTTGTGACCACTCGGGGAGTGAACCAGCAGGAGGAAGCTCTCCATCTAACCCTCTACACACTGTAACTGTGCCTTTCAAACGGCAGTTACAGGGAGTGGAGAGACAGAGAAACAGAGAGAGAGAAAGAGAAAGGGAGAGAGAGGGAGATCTATTTATTGGTTTACTTGCCAAATGGTCACATGGCTGGGCTCCACTCAGGTCTCCTATGTGAGAGAAGGAACCAGATACTTGGACTATCTTCTGCTGCTCTCCCAGATGTATTAGCAGGAAGATGGATTGGAAGTGGAACAGTAGGCCCAGCATGGTAGCGTAATGGCTAAAGTCCTCACCTTGCATATGCCGGGATTCCATATGGGTGCTGGTTCTAATCCTGGCAGTCCCACTTCCTATCCAGCTTGCTGCTTGTGTCCTGGGAAAGCAGTCATGGATGGCCCAGAAACCTTGGGACCCTGCACCCATGTGGGAGATGTGGAAGAGGCTCCAGGCTCCTGGCTTCGGATTGGTTCAGCTCCAGCCGTTGCGGCTGCTTGGGGAGTGAATCAAAGGATGGAAGATCCTTCTGTCTCTCTGCCTCTCTGACTTTGCAATAAAAAAAAGTCTTAAAAAGAAATAAAGAAGTGGAGCAGCCAAGACTTGATCCAGCACCTATATGGGATGCGGTGTTGCAGGTGGCAGCTTCCCTACATGGTGCTACGACACTGGCCCCAATAAAATGCATGTTACTAAAAAAATATTTAAGAATAGAAGTATATTTATCTTTAAAATGCACATAAACAAATGAACTGAATTTTTATAGCAACAATCATTATCAGTAATAGCACTTCGTTTACTTACGTAATTTCTGGTTCTGTTTGGCCTGTGACGACAATCCATAGGCATCATTTCTATTAGAGGAAACAGTGACTTCACTACCAGACTTCTTCATCTCACTTTTAGAGTCCACAGTGTCAGACCCATCAATTTTTAGTATTTCTTTAAGCATCTTCGTTCCCTTCTTCAAAAATGATTCACACGGAGACGGTGGAGGTGGAGTAGTGATTAAAAAAAACAAAAAAGAAACAGTAGTCAAGAGTTGAACAAAAGCTTATTATTTCTAAGTACAGAAATAATAGCTATTCTTGTATTTAATCTTTGCTCCCGTTCCTAAGTAGCAATGTTTGAACAGTAGAGGAGTTAGGGTGTAAAGGAAAAGATGATTAAACTGCCCAGGGCAGTCTGGTTTTCCCTCATAGGATGACAATGACAGGAACAAGGCAGCATGCCAGTACACGGGCAGGAAAGTGAACACTGGCACGGGATACCTATGCATGGCCAGTGGTAGAGAAATCCTAGCACGGAAGAGCCTACAAAATACGAACCATAGCAAACGACTGTGGTGACAAATGCACTTCATCTGGGGGCTCCCCGGCGTGACATGATGTTTCTTCACTTTCTTTGGAGATATTCAAGGATGCTAAAGCGTTCTCAATTCCCGGGTTAGGCTAAAAGAATAAATATACAAGAAGAATACATATACAATGATAAAGAAAAAAGTTTTATGCTCAAAATTGGTGATTTAATTTTTACTCAATCGCCTTCCCAGCTATTAGAGTTTGGGAAGAGAAACTGAATGAACAGTGTTTTACCTTATCAATAGTATTTGGACACTCAGCCACAACCTTTTGGGTTTCTGAGACTTCTGGACTTTGATTTCTCTTCAATAGCTTAATATTACATTTGGCAGGCCCTCCAGAAGTCTATAAAAAGTAAGAATAACTTTTTTGTGCAAATAAATTTGTAGTTAGTACTTAATAATAGTGTTCTAAATAAATGACAAGAAAAAAGGAGTGCCAATAAACCAGGAAAGGGAAAATTAGGTATTTATCTTCTTCTTCTTCTTTTTTTTTAATTGGAAAGTCAGATACAGAGAGGAAGATCTTCTGCCTGTTGATTCACTCCCCAAGTGGCCGCAATGGATGGAGCTGAGCCAATCCGAACCCAGGAGTCCGGAGCCTCTTCTGGGTCTCCCACGTGGGTGCAGGGTCCCAAGGCTTTGGGCCATCCTAGACTGCTTTTCCAGGCCACAAGCACAGATTTGGAAGGGAAGCGGGGCTGCAGGGATTAGAACCGGTGCACTCAAGGCAAGGATGTCAGCTTTTAGGCTACCACACCAGGACCAGTATTTATCTTCTTAACCTTTCAATGAGACTGCGTAGCTCCTTTGATTATGAATGTGGAGATAAAGCATGGACTGCATGTCTGTATCCCTTGCAGATCCCTATGCTGACAGCTCAATGATCTGAGGTGGCGGTAGGGCCTTTAGCAAGTAATGAGACTTTGATAAGGCTGAGGCTGCTGTCCTCCTGAAGGAATTAACATCCTCATAAGAGGAAGAAAACAGAGCTTCTCACCACCATGGGTGAATATAGGAAGATGGGCTACCTTTCCATTCAGGAAGCAAGTTGTTATTGTGCTCTAGCAAATTCTAATTGAATTTTAATACGTCTGACTTTCATTCAAGTCTATTTTTTCAAAAGATGTATTTAATTTTACTGTAAAGGCAGATTTACAGAGAGAAGGAGAGACAGAGAGAAACGCATCTTTCTTTTCTCTTTCATTCCTTGGCTCACTCCCGAAATGGCCACAATGGCTGGAGCTGAGCTGCTCCAAAGTCAGGAGCCAGGAGCTTCTTTCTGGTCTCCTCCGCAGGTGCAAGATCCCTAGGCACCACCTCTACTGCTCTTCCAGGCCGTGAACATGGAGCTGAGTGGGAAGTGGAGCAGCTGGGATGCACACTTGGAGGTGGAGGATTAGCCAGCTGAGCTAAAGCACTGGTTCCTTTTTTTTCAAGTCTTACATATTTTATTTCAATATTAAAAACATTACTCTACCAGAGTCTTGATCTTGGACTTCCCAGATCTCAGAAGTATGAAAAATGAATGTTTATTGTTTGAGACACTCAATTGATTGTATTTTTGTTATAGTAATCCAAACAACAACAACAAAAAACCCCATAAAAATGTGATTATAGTTACATTTCAAAATAACTAGTTTTAAAAATTTTAGCTATTTTACTTTATCATTAAAAACATTCTGGAGGTGGGCACTTGGATCTGGCCCAGACTCCTGCTTCCTGTTAATGCTGACCCTGGGAAGGTCAAGTAACTGGGCCGCTGATTTCCTGGACCACTAAATCTCGAGATCTGGAATGACTTCCCAGTTCTTGGCTCCAGTTTAGGACCCAGGTCCAGGCTGAGGCCCCTGTAAGCATTTGGGAAGTTAACAAGCATATGGAAAAACTCTCCCCCCTATACTTGCTTCTCAAACAAATAAGAATTAACAACAAACATATAATGTTTCATCTTAAAAAGTGAAATATTATTTTAAGAATAATAAAAGCTTCAGAGACTTCCTGCACAAAGTTAATCAACCCATTTTCTAGAAGAAAATAAATAACAGTATAAGAGTTATAGGAGAAGGCCTTAAATGTCAATGAATTCTAACACCAGTATCTAATTTATGGGCTCTATTTATTGAATAAATGTTATATACTAAATATTCTGTTAAGATATCTTTTTTAAATTAAAAATTTATACATTTTTATTGGAAAGGCATAATTGCAGAAAGGACACGTAGGGAGAAAGATCCTCCATTCGCTGGTTCACTTCCCAAATGGCTGCTATAGCTGGAGTTTAACCAATCCAAAGCCAAGAAGCCGGGTGCTTCCTCTGGGTCTCCCACACAGATGCAGGGATCCAAGGCACTGGGCCATCCTCTATTGCTGTCCCAGGTCACAAGCAGGAGCTGGACAGAAAGAGCAGCAGCTGTGGTATGAACCAGCATCCATATGGGATCCTGGTGCTTGCAACATGAAGACTTAGCCATTAAGCCATTGTACCAGGCCCAAGATATCTTCAATAAATATACTACCAGCTTATAACAGATAAAAAAATTTTTATATTTAAAATATACTATGCATATAGAAAACTGCACATATCATTAAGCATAATTACCTAATTAATAGAGATTAAAATTGCTATTCTAGGGGCTGTGTTAAGTGGATTAAACTGCTGCTTATGATGGTACTATCCCATAGCAGAGTGCCAGCTGGGAGTCCTGGTGGCCCACTTCCAATCAAGCACCCTGGTAATGAATTTGGGAAAGCAGTGTTTAGGGCCCTAGTGCTTGAGTTCTCAACCCCCATGGGAGATCCAGATAGGAGTTGTGGGCTCCTGGCTTTTTGGCATATGGCCGTTTATAGAATTAATCAGTGAACGAAGGATCTCTCTGTCTCTCCCTCCCTGTCACATGGCCTTTCTAGTCAATCAAGATCGTAAATATATACCAACTCCTTACTAACAGCATCAGTTATATAAAATCAAGCATAGGTGATTTTAATTCCCCCAGTACCTAATTTTAATAAAATGTACTCTTTAAATTTGATCATTCTTCAATATGCTTACCTTCTATATACAGATATATATATACGTATATATATATATCCACATATTTTATACATATATGTATTGGTCTATCTATGGACCATATATAGACAATATCTATGCAGACTGTAGGTGATCAACATTTTAATCACTATTTTAAAGATCAAGAAATTGAGGATGTGAGAAGAGAATTTCTCAAGGTAATCTGACTAATAAATGGCAAAATCAGGATTTTCAATGACACTAGTTCCAAATGCTGACCTCCAGTGGAACAACCTGCCATGGAAGAGACTATTGGTCTACATTTCAGCAACTCTCATGCCACAGCCCTTATAGATTTGGTGGAAAAGTTTGCAAACTTCAGACAGGGTCACAGAGCCATCTACTGCATAAAAAATGTGGCTATTAGACATCAAATTTTAAGAAAACTTACCTGCTTATTCAACATTTTTTGTGACTGACACTCAACTTTTGGACTCTTACATTCTTTAACTAGAGACAAGAAAACAGAAATTTTGAGCAAATTAGTTTTACCAAAGATAGAGCAAATTAATTTTACTAAAGATTCACCAGAGCTAAGTTAAAAATTCAACGATTTTTAAGACACAGTCTCTGATATTAAGGAATGTAGAGTAAAGGTTAGGAAAGAGACAGCCATAGATAATAACAGAAAGAAAATTTTATTGAATTGTGTCTTCAAATATGGTAGTTATTCAAAGGGTAGACAAAATAAGAGTAAGGATTTCATGGAGGGGAAAATGGCAGAAAAGACATGGGAATCAGAAGCAAGGAATGTGTTTACAGAAATCTACACAGAACAGTTTCACTGAATATTATGGAGTATAAAAGAGCTTATTGGAACTAAACAAGCACCTTGGACCATAACTGGCAGGATACTGAAGATGATGGAATTAAGTTGGTAGGCAGTTATATTTTTTAGCAGGTAGTAATCTTATCTGAACTATACCTAGAAAGATTAAAATATGGCACAGCCTACTGGCTAGAAGGAGACTAAGAGACAAATTAGGAAAAAACTTAGGTATTCCTACTAAGTGGAAATAAGTTGGAGGGTGGAAGTCGGGGAAAAGAAAAAGATGATCTTGAGAAATCATAAAATTTAACATGATAGAATATGGAGATGAAGGATGTAAGAGGTATGAGAGGGATGAAAAGAAGAATGGAAAGCATGATTTGGATCCTTGAACAATCTTTTATTGTATTAGATATACCAGACTATACGCATGCATCATAACTTATCTTGACCATTTTCTGTCATTAGACTATTCACTAAGCCAGCCAAATTTAAAAAGGAAGGTGGGAAGAGAAGAGGAAAGAAAAGAACGAGGTAAAAAGGAGTAAAGAGAGTAAGAAAAGAAGCCGAGAGGAAACAAAGGGAGGACAGGCAAAGAGGAGAGGAGCTGGAAGGGTACAGTAGTGGAAGAGAAGGTCAGACAGAGAGCGCAGAGAGACAAGGGAGATAACGGAGGTGAAGTAAGTAATCTTATAAAAAGAACGAAAAGAAAATGCAAGCTGATACATGGTCAACACAAACACAAAAATGAATTATAACTCCAATAGTACTAGTTTACATAAATAAAGTAAATAAAAATAAAGTAGTAAAAATCTGGGAAAACCTTATAATGCATCTTAAAGATACAAAATCTTTATGCTACTTTTAATATGCATAGGTTATTCTGGATTTAACTTTAAATGAAAAGAAAATAACAAATTGGCAGAAAAAAGATCTAACACTTATCAAATTGATGAATCTGTTAAAGCTCTCTGTGTTCAAATTTGGAGCTACGGCAAAAAGGCGGCCTCCTTTTCTTAGAGGCCATATTTGAATTCTCATCACAGTTAACTTTGCAAAGCCCTGCAGTAGTAGATAAGCAAATAAAGTAAGCAAGAGGCTTACAGCAGTTAGAAAGGTCATGCCTTCAGTACTCTATAGGGTATTAACATCCCTGATGTAGCCTTCATCTCCTTGTGCCTACCATAGGAGACTGGAAAAACTGATGTATTGCTGGGAATCTAAGAGTCATGCATATGATCCTGTCGTGTGAATGCTCAGGAAAGAACTAAAAACTCACTGCTGGTGGAGTTCCTCCACTGTAGTGGGGGATGCAGTGGGCACTACTTCCCCAGGCCACAAGCAGGGAGTTGGGTGGGAAGTGGGGAAGCCAGGATACGAATCAGCGCCCATATGGAAGGCTGGAGCCTGCAAGAGGTGGAGGATTAGCTGACCTCAAAACCCCACTTTCTTTAAAAGAAAATTTTTTTTTTTTTAATTGGAAAGGCAGATATAGAGAGAAGGAGAGACAGAAATATTTTTTCGGCTGCCGATTCACTCCCCAAGTGGCCACAACGGCCAGAACTGAGCTGATCCAAAGCCAGTAGCTTCTTTTCGATTTGCCATGAGGATGCAGGGTCCCAAGGATTTGTGTCGTCCTCGACTGCTTTTGCAGGTCACAAGTAGGGAGCTAGATGGGAAGTGGAACAGCTGGGCTCCCCAAATAGATTCCCAGTGGATGCAAGACAAGGATTTAGACACCAGGTTACTGTGCAGGGCCAAAACCCCACTGTCAATAATGAAGACAAAAACTGTAGAAAATCAACAAGGATATGAATAACACAACAAATCAACTAGAACGAATAGAACACCTGACTCAACAAACAGACCATATATTCTTCTCAAGTACACATGGAGCATTCTCTGGATTGGATCCTTTACTAGGTCATAAAAAAGGCCTCAGTAATTTGAAAAAGACTGAAACCATACAGTGATGTTCACCGAACACAAATTATTGAAATTACGACAAGTATCAAAAGGATCTGGGAAATACATAAATATACAGAAATTAAAAGTATTCACACAATTCATGGGCTGAAAAAAATTACTAGAAAATTAGGATGAATAAAAAGGAATATAATGGATCCGGTGCGGTAGCCTAGAGGCTACAGTCCTTGCGTTGAAAATGCCGGGATCCTATAAGGGAACTGGTTCTAATCCTGACATCCCCACTTTCCATCCAGCTCTCTGCTTGTGGCCTGGGAAAGCAGTCGAGGACGGCCTAAAGCCTTGGGACCCTGCACCTGTGTGGGAGATCTGGAAGAGTCTCCAGGCTCCTGGTTTTGGACTGGCTCAGCTCTAGCCATTGTGTACACTTAGGGAGTGAACCATCAGATGGATGGTTCTCTCTTCCTGTCTCTCCTCCTCCTCTCTGTATATCTGCCTTTCATAAAAATAAATAAATCTTTAAAAAAAAAAGAGAAGAAAGCTCTCAAATCAGAAACTTGAAAAATAATACACTAAATTCTATGCAAGGAGGAAGCAGTAAAGACTAGAGTGGAAATAACAGGCATGAAAACTAGAAAAGCAGACAAATCAGTAGTTGCTTCTCATGTTTGTTACTGTTTCGTTTTCAGTTTAAACAATTTTTACTAGAAACAGCAGTATCTTTTTTTTGCCACTAAAAATAAACTAGATAAAGAATGAGAGTATTTTCTATTAGTTTTCCAAAAATGAAGAAAGCAAAAAGAATAAAAGAAGAAAAAGCAGAAGTAAGTATCCTGCAAAGTTCAGCACAACTGATCAACTTTGATTCAGACTGAGAGAAAAAGAGAGAAGGTGCAAGCACAATGAGGAGTATAACGTGGGGATGTTAACACCAACCTAAACCTCGATCACCCAGACAAGATGGGCAAATTTATCTCAAAGACAAAACTATTCAAACTGACTCAATAGGGAGACAGAAAATCTGAACAGAAGCATAACAAATAAAGAAACTGAATAAGTAAGTCTAAAAAGTCCCCATAAAAGAACCCAAGTCCAGACAGTTTCACTGGTGAATTCACTCTTCCAAAAAAGGAAGAGTAAAGGAACAGTTTTGATTTTGTTCAGAAATCAAAGCCAAAATCAAAACCATCACAGCAACATTACAGGAAAACATTTCTTAGGAGTGCACATGAAAAACTCCTCATAAAATACTAGCATACCAAACTCGGAAGCATATAAAAAGATTACACGCAAAGTACTAGTGGTTTTAGTGAGGTTTAGCTCAGTAACGGAAAGTGGGGTCAGTACTGAAAAATAGTAAAAGACGAAATCCACAAATCCACAAATCACCTCACCGAGTGAGATCTGACAAAGCATAATGTCCTTCTAAGATTAAAAAAAATAAACCTATGATTAGAAAAGAACTTCCTCACCTCATGAAAAGCACATACGAAAAGGCAGTATGCACTTAATGGAGAAAAGGTTCAAAGTATATACTGCTGCACAAATGCGGATCAGCAATTTTACTCCTTTGCACATAACATGGCCACACAAAAGTCTGATAGCTACAGCGGCATTATTCACTACAGCATAATGACATACGCTGCAATATGGACAAAACTTGGAAACACACCAAATGGAAGGAATCATTCACAAAGGTCACATCCTTTATTTACATGAAAATATCCTAATTAGGCAAATTCACAGGAATACAAAGTAAGTTAGTAGTTGTTATGGCATGGGAAGTGACTGCAGACAGGTGTGTATTTTTTCGGGAGTGATGAAATGTTCTAAATTTAAACAGTGGTATTGGTTGTATAATTTTGTGAATTTACTTTATGGAGTGTGAATTGCATCTCATTAAGGTTATTTATTAAACAATAACAAAAAAGGAAGCAAACAGCAAGAGTATGCCTTGCTAAGTTAAACTTACATTTTCTGTGAGGGTCTTTTCTTTGCTGATATTTAATGCTGTTGTCACTTAGGCCAGATTTATGTTGTTGAGTTACTTGGTTAATCTCTTGAGGTAGAACTGCACCCTGAAAGTCAATAGTTTTATAACCACCATTATCACAGTGACTATTACTCCAGATTTTTCTCTTTGCATTAGATAACAACATACACAGAAAGCACTCATTTTACGAAAGTGTTTTTTTGGACAGAAAGAATTAAATCTATTCTTACTTTAAGAATGTAGAAAGGGGCCCAGCGGCGTGGCCTAGCGGTGTGGCCTAGAGGCTAAAATCCTCACCTTGAACGTGCCCGGGATCCCATATGGGCGCCAGTTCTAATCCCAGCAGCTCTACTTCCCATCCAGCTCTCTGCTTGTGGCCTGGGAAAGTAATTGAGGACAGCCCAAAGCTTTGGGACCCTGCACCCATGTGGGAGACCTGGAAGAAGTTCCTGGATCCTGGCTTCAGATCGGCATAGCATCGGCCGTTGCGCTCACTTGGGGAGTGAATCATCGGATGGAAGATCTTCCTCTCTGTCTCCCCTCCTCTCTGTATGTCTGACTTTCCAATAAATAAATAAAATCTTAAAAAAAAAAAAAGAATGTAGAAAGGGCAATGGCAGTTTAAGGTCAAGTTTCACTGCCTAAATGCCCATAAATGCCAAGGCTGGGCCAAGCAAAAGCTAGAAGCCTGGAACTCAGTCTAGATCTGCATGTGGGCTGCAGGGACTCAGGCACTTGAGCCATAGAACTCTCACAGCTCAGGAGTGCCTGGGGTCATGTCCTTAGGGCTATGAATCAGCACATGGAAGATATCTCAAATAAAATGAAAGTAAAGCATAAAAACAAATTGAAGATAGCGATTTATTCAATCTTTTCTCAAATTACATCTACTTTTTTGGATGGATGGGTAGACATAGATGCATATATAAACATTCATAAATTTACATATATACACATATGATGACTCTGAAATCTCTTCAGTCTGGACAGCTTCTATGACCTTTAGAGTCAATGTCCAACTCTACCTCCACTTGTTTAAAACACATCTTAAATTTACCATGTTCAAAATGGAATCTTAACCTTCCATAAACCTGCTGGACCTGAAATCATTCCCATTTCAGTTAACAGTCATCCTTTTATTTCGACTTTAAATGTTACAGCTTTTGCTCCTTCCTTTTTATTTTTCTCTTCATTTTATCATCAGTACCTTCCAAAAAAGATTTTCTAGAATTGAACCACGACTCAGAGTCTCCTATTACTCTAGTTCAAATTCATGGCAACTTAGTGTTGGCATTATGTGCAGTGGGTTATGCTGCTGCTTGCGATGCCAACAGTCCCCAGTGGAGTGCTGATTTCCTGACTTCTCCGCTTCTGATCCAGCTTCTCTGGGTCCTTGTCACCCACAAAGGAGACTCAGGCAGTTTGTGGCTCTTGGCTTTCGCCTGGCTTAGACCTGGCTGTTACGGCAATTTGGGAAGTGAACCAACGTGTGTTAAGAGTTCTTTCTCGCTGACTCTCCTGTTGTATGGCCTTTACAACTGAATAATGAATAAATAAATAAATCTTTAAAAAGGTCACATCAATTTTCACCTTTATGATGAAAGAATTCTACTAACTAATGTGTTTTCACCCAGGTGCCTACAGTCAGTCTGTGTTTCAGGCAGCAGACAGAGTGATGCTATTAAAATATCAGATCAGGTTCCTTTGCTACTCAAAATCCTCCACGGGTTCCTAATCTCACTGAATAAAGCTAATGGTCTGGAAAGTCCTATATGATATAACTTTACATTTCCTTTAACTCTGTCGCTTCTGCCATAGGTCCATTATGTTCTCTCCAACAGGGACTTTCAATCTGCCTAGTATACTTTCTCCCCAGTTATTTATCTATTTCACTGTTAATTTCATTCATATTTTTTGCCTAAATTGCTATTCTGTTTAAGATTGTAATACTTCTGCTCTTCATCTCCACATCACTTCCTATATTTCCTTTGTTGAAATTTTCTCCATCTCATACATGGTCTCCTAATACACTATGTAATTAATTTGTTTATATTACCAATCTCTTCTTAAAATAATGTTTAAGGGACAAGATTTTTGTTTTGTTTATTGACATTTTCATTGCAATTAATAACACCTGGCACTCAATAAATGTGTACTGACTGAATGGTAAGCACAGTGAATGGTCAGCAGTATCAAATAAACTGGAGAAGAGGGTAGTGAAAAATCTGAGTGTGTGTTGCATTCAGTTAGAAGGGACTTATGTAATCTTAGGAAACTCATGATAGCGTATCAGCAGAGGAAATCTTTGTGTATCCTGTCATTCTCACTTTTCATGTTTATTTTACCATCATTCCTTGTACAATTTTCTCCTCAGCTTTGAAAACAGCCACCACTAGCCACCACTATAGGATATTACAATAAATGAAGTTTTGATGGTGTAAATTACTTGTTCACACTTTGGAATAGAACATTCCTTTTCTGACCTAAGCTGAGAAACATGTCAATAACTAGCACAAACATTTAGTAAGAATTAATTTCTTTTCCTCTTCCTTTCTGATAGTCTCTACTCTTTTAAGGACATGTCTCTTCTTAATCTTCATCAGGGAATGTTAATTTACTTGTTTATATTTAAGACAACCAACTGCCAGTGTAAGTCATTCATTCATAAAAAAGAATATGGAAATGATTTCCATTAAGCTCTCTATTGAATTTAAACTGTAGTTATTAGGACTTTGTAAACAACTAAAAAAAAATTAAGGACTGATTTAAAAGAAAATGGTCTATACTTTCAATCATTAGTCCAACAATTTTTCTCTAAAGCCTTATGAAAACTCATGATCAAAACTCATTTTATATTCAGAGAAAAATAAATCACTATGTGCTTAAAAGAAAAATACAGATATCTTTAAAAATTTTTCCATTGAACAAAGAATACTAACCTTTTCTTGTGCAGGTGGCTGAAAGTGCTGTAGCTTTCCAGATGCTTGTAAGGACTGCCAAATGTTGCAAAACTCATCATCATCTTTAACAGGTACCTGATAAAGCACAAATAATTTTTTTTAGGGAAACAAAACATGAAATAAGGCTTCAATAAAAATAAATAACTTATCTATAAAGCTATTCACTGTTAGCCAGGATATTTAACTTTTTTTTTTCAAAGAAAAAGTATTTACTTATCAGAAAAGCAGAATTACATAGACAGGGAAAGATAGAGGGACAAAGAGAAACTTCATCCGCTGGGTCACTCCTCACATGGCTGAATGGCCAGGCTGAGGTCAGCCCATCGTCAGGAGCCTGGGCTCCACTCAGGTCTCCCACAAGGGTTCAGGGGCCCAAGCACTTTGGCCATCTTCTACTGCTTTCCCAACTATGTCGGCGTGGAGTTGGATCAAAAGTAGAGCAGCCAGGATCTGACCTGGCACCCAAGAGGTGGTTTAACTATCTATACAACAACACTGGTCCCTAACTTTTTATTTTATTTTATTTTACTTCATTATTTTTATTTATTTATTGGAAAGTCAGATATACAGAAAGGAGGAGAGACAGAGAGGCAGATCTTCCATCCGATGATTCACTCTCTAAGTGACCACCACGGCCAATGCTATGCCGATCTGAAGCCAGGATCCAGGAACTTCTTCCAGGTCTCCCACATGGGTGCAGGGTCCCAAAGCTTTGGGCTGTCCTTGACTGTTTTCCCAGGCCACAAGCAGGGAGCTGGATGGGAAGTGGGGCCACCGGGATTAGAACTGGCGCCCATATGGGATCCTGGTGCATTCAAGGCTTAGCCTCTAGGCCATGCCGCAGGGCCCCCTAACTTTTTATTATCTCAAGTAACTTAGTTCATTTTTTCTAGAGCTCAGAGTTGTAAGGACAAAAGTATTCTACGGGAGTAAGCTGGTCTTGTTCATATTCAATTTGTTTTGAATTATGTTGTTAAAAATTAATGTATAATAAATCCCATAAAATTATACTGAATTAGTATCACCAGCAACATTTTTTCTTTCAGTGTATTAACATTATTTCCGATGTCTAAAAAGACATTTAAAGACTTTACTTTAAAAATTTTCACCTTACATAAAAGTAATATAATAACTTTTATAATCAGCTGTTTCTCATGGGGAATTAATTTTATGCAGATTAAGAGTGGAAAACATCCATATAATTTAACAGTGGTTACTGATGAAATTTGAGAGAATCTATGCTACTTCTACTATTTATAAATAAAGTACATCACACAAAAAATTCAAATTCTGTCCCAAAAAAGGTGAAATAAGGGAGAGTACCTTGTATTGATTGCATGGTAGAAACTTGAAAACTGCCCTTGAGAAATGTGATATAGTCCTATCTCTTTTACTTTTCTGAATTATGTCACTTTTATTTTATAGGCTATTTGGATTATATGAGATTACAGTTAATTTTGAATTTGGAAAGTAAATATATGAAAACAAGAATATTTTCAAGATCATTACTTGGTATTTCTTCTTTAACGTAAATGTAATTTTGTGACGTAGGTAGAATGCTACCGATTATATTCCTTATTAGCTTGCTTTGCTTTTTAACATTTTTTAAATCCAGTTTATCATTTGCTGTGATATGGTTTTTGTAGGTAAGAGATTCCCCTTTTCAGCTCCCTTGCCTCCCTCTCCATTTTTCCTCTTATCCCCTATATTATTAAAATAGTATAGTCCTCAGCAACAGTCACAAGTTTACATTCTATTTAAGTGTATCATGGCATTGTATAGTCTACCTTCTTAAAACAAATTTGAACTCAAACTTTTTAAAAAGGAAAACAAAGTTGAATTGTTTCTATCTACACAGTCTGAATTAATTTGTAAAGAGGGTTGAGAGAAATTAAAGATTACAAGTCTTACTTGAGTTGGAACAAAAAGTGACTGAGGCGAATGGTTGAGGCCTCCCAAATGTCCAGATGATGACAATGAGCTTGAGCTGTAGTGATTCACAGCTGGCTGTGGTTTCACAATGGCTGTCAACTTCTGATTTCCAATTTCAGGGCGATTTCCATGAGAAAGGTTCACCAAGGCACTTGATGGCAGTCGATAACCTCTCCCAGGTGAGCACCTAACAAAAAAAGCTTCTATCAGGACCACAGAAAAGCAACACTGAGCATGCTACAGGAATCTGGGTTTTTTTTTTTCTTTTAATATTTGTTTATTTATTGGACAGGTAGCGTTACAGAGAGGGAGACGCAATATCAGAGAAAGAGAGAAGTCTTCCATCTGCTGGTTCACTTTCCATACGGCCACCACAATGGTCAGAATGAAGGCAGAAGCTAGAGGCTTTATTGCGTCTCCCATGGAAGTGGCAGGAACTGAAACACTTGGGCCATCTTCCACTGCTTTTCCCAAATCATTAGCAGGGTACAGCATTGGAAGTGGAGCTACATAATAACATAATCAGATGCTGTTTATTTCTCCCACTAAAATGAAATCTCTGAGAGCAGAAAAGCAAGTTTGTTTCATTTACTATTACAATGTGAGGAGCAAATATGATGTCCATCAATTCAAACAGCACCCAGATACATTAGCAATATAAAATAAAATGGCTGGCCACATGAACAGATTCCCAATGTGCAATTATTATCTGCAAATACAAACCTTATTGTTAAGCCTCCAGGAAATTCTTCATCAAATAATACTTCAAATAGTACATCAGCTTCTCTATTAGCTGTTAAGAAAGGGGATATTAAGAAAATCATGATATAAATTAGCATCTAAATTTTTAGAGCACTAAGTACTTATTTCAAAAATTCACAAAATACACTCTGGATATGAAAAATGGCATAACAACAATACAGTGACATCATGCATGCTATGAAGCAGCAGCAGTGTCTTAGAAGACCCCTACATCCGTCTCGTCTCAGCTTTTTGCTAAGATGAAGTGTACAAGATCCCTGCATTCCCAATGAGGTAACTACTCAATTCATCAGTTATGACTCCTATAGCTTTATACCTTTAACATGCATATCCAAATAATATATAGTATTGCTTCCCAAGTTTTAAAAAATATGTATTCATTTGAGAGTCAGTTGAAGAGACAGATAGAGAGGAGTAGCATTTACTTGCAAATGCAGAGAAGGCTGGAATTGGGGGTAGAGCTGGGGCTTGACCCCAGGTATTCCAACAGGGGTGTGAGTGCCCCAATCTGCACCTTAAAGCACTACCGTCAGTATGCCGCTTTGCAAGTTCTGAAACATTATATATATGGTATTTGGAGGAATTCATTTGAAACTTGTTTCAATATGGTGTTTGTGAGATTCATCTATGTATGTGTTCAGTTTGAGTTGTACAGTAATCCATTTATGGATATACCATAATTTACCCATTCTTTTGCTGATGAAAATTTAGGCTGGTTCTAACTTTGCTGTTAAAAACAATGCTATATATGGTAAAAAAAACAACAACAACAACCCCCACACACAGTGTTTTCTTGAACATCATGCTAATGGGTCCTTTATAAAAGGGAATGCTCCTCTATGTCATAAATTGCTGGATCTTAGTTTTACTTACTAGCAGCTTTAATAAGGTATAACTGCTACGTTATAAACTAAATTTATTTATTTAAAGAATACAGTGTTAATGGCTTTTATACGTAGTTAACCATGAAGCTAGCATGAAGCAATCACTCAAAAAGCTTCTGTGTCCTTTCGTAATCCAGATCCTCCTCCAATCACTAACATATGCTATCACCTCAGATTAGTTCACATTTCTAAAATTTAATGTTAATTACATCACACAATATATTTTCCTGCTTTTTTTTTTTTTGGTCTGACTTCTTTCAACATAATTATTTTGAAAAACTCCACGCTGACTACCACATCCAGACGTGAAGACTCAATGCAACATGCATCCCTACTTCCAAATCAAAGAAGGATTCCCAATGGAACTGTTGGACATTTCTAGACAATGGGATGCGGGACTGTCTGACATTGTCTGTACCAGCAAAGCTGGGGCACACTTAAATAATAGACTGATGGAATTGTAACTCCTTATGAAGAACTATACTATTGTAACAATATGGGGAAATCAGTTGCAGGGTGGAAATTGGGGTGTGGGGGGGAATCCTGACTCTACAGAATTGTATCATAAAATTCAAAATTTAAAATAAAAATAATAACAAAAAGCAAATGTCTGTGCTGTACGTATCAGGCTTTAACTGCTAAGTATTTCACTGCATACTTCAACAATGTAACATCACATTATACTTATCCATTTGGGAATCTGGATTATTTATAGGTTTTTTTGCTGCCATAAAAAGCTATTTTGAAAATTCACAAGTAAAGGTTTGGCAGGACTTAATCATTAATCTCAAGGTTATTAAGATTTTTTTCCCAGAAAAATGATGGTCTGTCTCCTATAAAAGGAGACACCAGCATAAAGCTGGTGAAACCAGATACTGGGTGTCTAGGGCCTTAAGGGACAGTGATGCTCAGGCTGTGATCCCAGCTCAACAGGATTTATACGGGATTCAATGTTTTGTTTGGAATCTGTATAAAACTGCTCACTTTAGGCATCTCTTTAGGGGTACACTGGATGCTTAGCAGCTTTTTCCCCAATTCTCTCACCTCTTATTTTATTGTGGTAAAAAACACAGAACATAGAATTTACGCTTTTAAAGATGAATTTTAAAGTGTACAACAGTGTTAACTACATGTACACTGTTGTACAATGAACTGAAAAGTCTCATGTAATACATTTGTGCTAAGAATACAAATTAATATGCAAATTCTCACATCTATTTACATGTAAACAAAGTTATATTTGCTTTTTGTAATTTTGTTTTTTTTTTTTTGAAGATTTATTTTTATTATTTTTTCATTGGAAAGGCGGATATACAGAGAGGAGAGACAGAGAGGAAGGTCTTCTGTCCGATGATTCACTCCCCAAGTGAGCGCAACGGGCCGATACTATGCCGATCCGAAGCCAGGAGCCTCTTCCAGGTCTCCCACGCGGGTGCAGGTTCCCAAAGCTTTGGGCCGTCCTCGACTGCTTTCCCGGGCCACAGGCAGGGAGCTGGAAGGGAAGCGGGGCTGCCGGGATTAGAACCGGCGCCCATATGGGATCCCGGGCGTGCAAGGCGAGGACTTAACCACTTGCGCCACCGCGCCGGGCCCTATATTTGCTTTTTAATTCATGGAAATCAAGGGATGACAATTAAGGTTAATCTCAGGGAAACATTCCATTAAAGCTTAACTATGGAGAAAAAATTTTTCCCAGTTTCAACAAAGCATATGTAATACTCACGAATACTTCATGTAATTTGGATATGACATTTAACAACTGCCAAATTCTGGGTAGCCTCTTTCCAACATTCCTCTATTCTAACTTAACTACTTCCAATGTGAGTACACAGGAAAAAAGAGAATTTTCTCTAAAAAAAATAACCTAAAAACCCTGATTGAAACAAGAAATAATTTAGCTTTTTTCTGATTCATACTTGTTTCTTGTTTAGCTATTAAAAGGCCCACAAATGGGTAAACGTGGTAGAAGACATATCAGGTATGAACGTATTACCCCCTTTAATTCCTATGATGGTGCCCCGAAGGCCAACTGGAACTGAAAAGTTCTCTCTCACATTTACAACACGGTCAAAGAGACGAAATTCTGCATCTCGATCAGGAATGACTCCATGTTGCTGTTCCAAAGGCTGGAGAGAAAAAAGCATTGACTTCAATGTAAGTTCTAACCGTTCCATCACTACAAAAGCAATAATGTAAAAGTCCTGGACACAACACTTACTCTGTACAGCAGGTGAGGCTTTACTGTCACTCGGACCTTCTTATTATTCTTTCTTTGCTGAGAAAACAGGAAAGCATTTAAACATTTTAAAATATGAAATTACACAATTATTAAATTATTCATTACTTCAACATGTTTGAATTTTTTTTTAATTTTTATTTTTGGGCCATGTTAACATGTTTTGTTTTCCAAAAGCCAAAAGAAATTAATTGCAAGAACCTTTAAAGTCCTAAAGCTATACAAGAAAGAATATTCATGAAATTTCTGCAGCTTAAAGCTTATTTTTTTCCTTTTAAAATATATTTATTAGAAGAGAGAAAGGGAGAGAAAGAGAGAGCACGAGAGCGAGCGAGCGGTATTTGAGACAGCTCAAAGCTTGTAGCTACTGAAGTCATCACCTACTGCCTAGCAAGGTATGACTGGCACAATAGTAGAATCTGGAATGCAGCCTGAACTGGAACGCATAACTCCAAAATGCGATTCAGGAATCTTAACTGAAGTCTGAACCACTAAGCCAAATGCCTAACCTTAGGTGGCATTTTCTAATATATCTATGGGGCATAACTGTGCCTGGCTCAAGACATAACATTACTAAGCATAACTTAAGAAACTCTTTCCAGGGCCTGGTGGCGTGGCCAAGAGGCTAAAGTCCTTGCCTTGGATGTGCCGGGAACCCATATGGGCACCGGTTCTGGTCCAGGCAACTCCACTTCCCATTCAGCTCCCTGCTTGTGGCCTGGGAAAGCAGTCAAGGACGGCCCAATGTTTTGGGACCCTGCACCCGTGTGGGATACCCGGAGGAGGTTCCTGGATCCTGGCTTCAGATCGGCGCAGCACCAGCCGCTGCACTTACTTGGGGAGTGAATCATCAGATGGAAGATCTTCCTCTCTGTCTCTCCTCCTCTCTGTATCAGACTTTCCAATAAATAAATAAATCTTAAAAAAAAAAAGAAACTCTTTCTAGCCCTTCCCAGTTACTGTCCTTCAGAAAAAGTAATCTTACTTCTAATACTGATGATTAAATATGCCTGTTTTGAAAATATGTAAATACTATTCTATTTTTTTTGAAAGATTTATTTATCTTCACTACAAAGTCAGATATACAGAGAGGAGGAAAGAGAGAGGAAGATCTTCCATCCGATGATTCACTCCCCAAGTGAGCGCAACGGCCGATGCTATGTCGATCCGAAGCCAGGATCCAGGAACTTCTTCCAGGTCTCCCACATGGGTGCAGGGTCCCAAAGCTTTGGGCTGTCCTTGACTGTTTTCCCAGGCCACAAGCAGGGAGCTGGAAGGGAAGTGGAGCTGCCGGGATTAGAACTGGTGCCCATATGGGATCCTGGCGCGTTCAAGGCGAGGAGTTTAGCCGCTAGGCCACGGTGCCGCGCCCAATACTATTCTATTTAAATGCTATTTTTTTCTTCTAAAAGGCATTAAATACCATGTCAACACAGATTTATATAAAGTCTTGATTTATGACAATCCTATAGGTTTTATGAATACTTTAAAAATTAAGGTGAAGTCATTTAACAAATTCTTACTTTTGAAATCTAATATGAAATTCCGATGTTTGAATATTTTGATGATCTAAATAATATGGGAGAAGGGGCTGTGTTGTGGTATAATCTGCTAAGCTTCTGCTTTTGGTGCCAGTATCCCAGATGGGTACCAGTTCAAGCTCCAGCTGCTCCACTTCCAACCCAGCTCCATGCTCATAGCCTGGGAGAGCAGTGGAGGATGACTCAAGTCCTTAGGCCCCTATACCCATAAGGGAGACCTGGAAGAAGCTCCTGGTTTCCAGCTCAGCTCCAGCCACTGTGGCTACTTGGGGACTAAACCAGTGTATAGAAGACCTCCCTCCCTACTTCTCCTTATGAAAAGAAATATTGAAAAAAATATGGGAGAAGACTTCTTTTCCATATTTCCTGCTTATCAGTTCTATAAACCCGCACTTAACTACTCTAAGTATTAGCTGATTTTGATTCGTAAGAGAGAAAATATATCTGTTTACCTAATTTAATTTTATCCATTGTAATCCAAAAAGTATTATCGTGTTAAACTTGTATTTTTTAGAACAATTTATAACTTTTATTTGAAAGACTCACTCACACGCACACACAAGTTCCCACCCTCAAGTTCAACCTCCAAATTACCACAATACTCAGGATAGAGTCCAGCTGAACCTGGGAACCAGGGATCTATTCAGCTCTCCCACATGGGGGACAGGGATCCAAGTATCTGAGTTATCACCTGCAGCCTCCCAAGGTGCACAAAACCAAGGGTCTGCAATCAGTGTGGCGTCAGGACTCAAACTAGGCACTCAGATACAGGAGGCAGGAATCCTGTGCAGCACCACAAGCACTGCACTGAATGCCTGCATCTCTCACAGTTTTAACAGGGTGAGCACTGGGGACCAGTCCTCAGCTGATTAGGGAACTAGTAAGTCCACAATTTGTGTTTATTGACAATAGCAAGAACAAAGAATATGAGAAGGAATTTCAAGGGATTTTAAAAAGCGGACAAGCTGTGCCTGGAATATGGCATATGAAAACACAACATTATGCATGCTTTAGCAAATCCCTGGGCATTCTTACACTATAGCACTGATTAGAGGACATTGCCATTAACCCGGATTCAATAGGCAAATGAAAAAACCGAGCAGTTTTCAGAGGGCGATAACGCAGAGATAATGGACACTGGCTCCTCAAAGTGCACAATCTCCAACCTTGTCCTATCGACTGAATCAAAACCAGTATTTTCACATTTTTTCCTGGAGATTCTGTTTGCATTTAAAAATGTGTGAAGCAATGCTAGAAATGGAATCCAGAATGTGTGCTTTTATTAAGTTTCATCAGTAATTTTGATAATTTGTTCAATCTGGGGACTACTGATAAGTTACTGATGTTTTTAAGGATGACCTTGCTTTATGAAAAAAAAGCAAGGCGTTCTGGCCTACAGGCTAAAGTCCTCACCTTGAACACGCCAAGATCCCATATGGTTGCCGGTTCTAGTCCTGGCAGCCCCACTTCCCATCCAGCTTCCTGCTTGCGGCCTGGGAAAGCAGTCAAGGACAGCCCAAAGCCTTGGGACCCTGCATCCGCGTGGGCGGCCCGGAAGAGCTCCTGGCTCCGAACTGACGCAGCACTGGTCATTGCGGTCACTTGGGGAGTGAATCTCCCTCTCTGTCTCTCTTCCTCTCTATCTATATCTGACTTTTCAATAAAAATAAATAAAACTTCAAAAAAAGGCTAAATCATGTTTAGAAAGTTGTTTAGATTCTTCTCCTTTTACTACTCTGACATTATAACATTAAAGCTAAACAAATCACTTATAACTACATCTTGAAATATTAACAGACGTCACAAATCCTATTTCATCTATATGCACTTCCTAAAAATGCTTAATCAAGTCAATTGGCTAGCTTTCAATATGTATCTTTTGCTTATAAAGAAAAAATGAGTCAAATATTTTAGAAAGCTCTGCATTGAAATTGGTTAAAAAACAATTAGAGGACCTAAAATAATATGTTTGCTAAATAAAACTTTGAAAATGATGTTGAGGGGACAGAACTGTGGCACAGTCAGTTAGGCAACCCAGTCCCCCAACACTAACTTGAGTCCTGGCTCCTTGGCTTCTGAGTTTCTGCTCCAGATCCCCACTACTACAACTGGGGAAGCCATGGAAGATGCCCGTAAGTACGTGGGCCCGTGCCATCCAGAGCGAGGACCAGGATAGAGTTTCAGGCTCCTGGTTTCAGCCTGGACCAGGATGAGATGGTTTAATCATCTGGTGAGTGACCCAGACAATGGGAGAGTTCACCCTCTTTTTTTCTCTGCAACTCTGCCTTTGAAATAACTCTAACTAAAAAAAAAAATGATGTTGAATATCTATTTCTTTCTATACTAAAAGACAATTAGAAACACAGGCTTTCCATCCTCAGCTAAATGTCATTTACATTTAAAAAAACAAATTTGTGGGAGAATCAAGATGATGGAACAGGGTAAAAACATGTTTAAACAGATGGAGCATCATTAGCCAGGATGAAACAGACAGCACATTCCAAGATATAAGAGGGGCACCTGGAGACTGATGGACACAGGAAAGCAGTGGAGACAACAGTGTGGTGTTGCAGTTACCAGATACCTCTGTGGCAGTCAGCGAATGGCAATCTGTGCTCCACCGGCAGCCAGAGCTCTACTAGCAACCAGGTGGAAAGGGGAGTTCATTGGGAGCTTGGCAGGTGAACCCAGGCAAAGAACTTCCCATCCTGTTGATTTGTTTGATTTCACCAGGAGCAGACAGAGAGAGACAGAGAGCAGCAAATCCCAAACAGGCGGAGGGGGAACAGGGTGGATTTCACAGCCCAGACCCTCTACCAGAACCACATTGGGTTCCATCTTACGTAGGGAGGAGAAGGGTGTGGGACAGGACTGCACATGCACTAATCTGGGAGTGAACACATTTCTGGCTCAGTGCATTGCACCGAAGTGACATCCTTTAGGTTCTACCCAAGATATGTCTGGGTAGCCCACAAACATAATGGCCAGCAGATCCAGAACTCCAAGAGTGGACATCAGGCACCATTTTGTTGTGTGGCAAAGGCTTTGATATTGAAGAGACAACAGTGAACTGCATATGCGCTGAACTGGGAGTGAACTCATTTCCAGCTCAGTGCATTGCACTGATCCCACAGGGAAAATAACAGTGTTATTTGACCTCCTATAGGTCCAAACAGGTCCACGTGGTTCTCAGACCTAATGCCTAGCAGGTTCTGGTAAGATCAGCACCAACAACAACCTAGTTATTTAGGACACTTGGTGTCTCCTTCATCCTCGGAATTGCAAGAACAGAAGTGGGAGAAAGGTTGTACAGGCAACAGTGCAGTCACAGCATGGAATCACAGCAGATGGGAAGTGGCAAGCCAGGACTTGGGGCTACAGAGACCCTAGTGGAAGTCTAACTCAAGAGTTCAGACCTGAAACTCGCTGGAGGTGGTGGCACAAGTGACTGCCAAAAAAGAACAAGGTACCAACTGCAATAAGTAAAAAAATTAATTTTGTGGCTGTGAGCTTTTTATTTGCTTACTAAAGAGAGAATGAATAACTTAGGATGATTTTCCAGACTTATCACAGTTCTTAAGAATATGATTAAAAAATCCAAACAACCGTAACAATAACAATAAGAAGGCATTATCAAAAGGAGTCTACATGTATTAATTCAGTTTTGAAAGAGAAATTAAGACTCAAGGGGATAAGGGAGGTGGCTTCAGTTTTCAGTTCTTGACTTACTTAACTGTTCTCATAAGGGTGCTCTATTTGGAACGCAACATCATTGTACTAAAAGGCAAATAGTGAAAAGTAAAATCAAAAGTTAAAAAAAAAAAAACAGTGAAATCAATTTGTTTTCTAAGGCAACAAGGTAGGGGATCAAACCAGACACAATAGAACCTTACTACTTTAAAAGTTAAGACGTCAAAAATAGGAAATATTCAGTGGGATTTAAAAAAAAAATTCTTAATGACCAAATGAACTAAGGAGAAACACATACATACATTAGAGATAATCGTATTAGTCAAATTTTTATGTTTAATAAATATATGATCTGCGTCATAAACGAATGCTCCAGACCAGGCAGGAATAAGGGATAATCATTCTTTTTCTCAGTAAGATGCTTTCCACTGTAAGATCCCAAAATATTCTCAAAATTTGGAATGCAGTGGTAGTATAGCAAGCTAATCCTATGCCTGTGGTGCTGTGCACACCAAAAGGGCACATCCTGGCTGTTCTATTTCTGATACAGCTCCCTGATGGCTTTGGAAAGCAATCGAGGCTGTTCTAAATCCGTGGATGCCTGCACCCAGGACGAAGACCTAGAAGTTCCTGATTCCAGGATTTTAACCTGCTCAGTTCTAGCCATGGCAGCCACTTGAGGAGTGAACCAGTAGATAAAAAATTTCTGATTCTCTCTCTCTCTCCATAATTCTAAGTTTCAAGTAAAAAAGAAATACTCTCAAAATAAAAACCACTACAAGGATATTATCCAAATGGCATGTTTTAATATGTTTATATTATATTTATATTAAGGCCACTGGGAATGGTTTTTAAATTACAGGAATATGGGCTTGGCATGATGGCTCAATGGCTTATCTTTTCCCTTCAAGTGCCAGAATCCCATATGGAGGCTGGTTCATGTCCTGGCTGCTTGACTTCCTGTCCAGCTCCCTGCTTACGGCCTGGGAACGCAGTAGAGGATGGCCCAAAGCTGTGGGACCCTGCACCCACATGGGAGACCCAGAAAAAGCTCCTGGCTCCATATTGGCTCAGCTCTGATCATTGTAGCCATTTGGGAGTGAACCAGTGACTGGAAGATCTTCCTCTGTGTCTCTCCTTCTCTCTGCCTTTCCAATAAAAGTAAATCTTAAAAAATATAGAATTATTTGATATCAGTCAATTGATGTATTTTTTATGTTTGAAGCACAAATGAAACATTTGTGACATTAACATACAGCTTATTTAGCTTTAAATCTCATCACTAAATATTACTAAAGTTACTACCTTGCACTTTTCCACTTCTTCCTCGATTTTCTCAACAATAGCTGCATCCAAAATTTGTAAATCACAAGAAGAACGAGACAAAGTACTGACAGGATGTCCTTTTAGCCACGTAGTAATTTCTTGGACTTTCTCAGCTCTACAGTAAAAATAAAAACAATTTTTTCACACCTTTTAAAATGTTCTTAGATCTTGTATAAAACAACAGAAACTTTCTGGGAGTTCTGAATTTTACCAGACATCAAAGTTATATAATTAATAATTAGTCATTAAAATTAATTTGGACTGGTTATAAATCTAACACAAATAGGGATACTTTACCTCTCAGCAATAAGACATAACAAATATTACCGCTATTAATGGAATCAAATTTCTATTAAGTTCTTAAAGCAAGAATGAAATAACACAAAACAAAATAAAAAGAAACCTCTAAGAAATTCTTGATGAACTGGAACTATGAGGTCATTTATAGCACAGGTCTTGCTTACCCATTCTCATTTTCTCCAGGCCAGATGTCATCTTCATAGAACACATCCTCTTGGCTACTTTTGGCTACATAACTAAATAGTTCTGGAGCTCTAGCCAAACAGACAAAAACATATCATTTTTAAAGACACATGACTACTTCATACAAACTTCCTATGAAATAATTTCGGACCTTAAAGGATCCAAATATATCGAGAACTGGTTAATATTAATAAGGGATATTACCACTAAAGGACATACTTAAAAAATCAGAAATCAGGTATTCCTAGATCCAAGCTAGGCACACTTTCTGAAGAGAGATGGTTAAATTTATTATTTTGAAAGAATTTTGATTATTGTTTACATTGTTTTTATCACAACTGCTTATAAATGCATAAAGTAATAAGTTCATTTTCTTTTTTTTTTTTTGCAGCAAGGCTAGGGCACTCTTTATTTTCATTTGTCTTAAGATGTATTTTATTCTTATTTGAAAGGCACAGTTGGGAGAGCAACAGAGAGGGAGAGTGACACAGAGAGAGCTTGTATATGTTGGTCCTCTCCCCAAATGGCCTCAAAGGTCTGAGCTAAGCATATCCAAAGCCAGGAGCTGGGCTTCACTAGGTCTCCCTTCACAAGGATCCAAGGACCTACGCCATCCTCCTCAATTGGCAGAGAGCTGAACCACAAGTGGGGGAACTAGAACTCCAACTAGAACTCAAACTAGTGCCCATACCAGATGCTGGCACAGCAGCCTATACCACAATGCCTGCCTCAAAAATAACTTTTCAACATGACAGAAAAGAGCAAATGAAACAGGAATAAAAAATATAACTTGAAGAAATCAGAACTCATAAAGAAAAAAATCTAGAATCATTATCTGCACAAAAATGGAAAGTAAACATCCATTCTTTATTAAAACAAGATGCTAGTATGAAGGAATGGCTAAAAGAGGACACACGTTTTGGAATTTAAAATGACTATATTTAATTCAAGTAAAAAAATGGCCAAAGATAAAGATTAAGAAACTTTCTACAGAGAACACAATATAATATACAGAAAATGGTTCAGATAATACAGACAAATTAAGAAGCTTAATCTAGAGAGTTTAACATCTAAAAAGTCCCAGAAATAGAAAACAGAAAAAATGGTGAAGAGGAAATCATCAAAGATATAATACAAGAGAATTTCTAAGAATGGAAGTGAATCAGTATAAAATCTAAGAGGGCTAATTAACAGAAAGAAATTGACTCCAAGACACACATGGGCATTGGTAAAAAAGACAAATTAAAGATGTCAGGAAATTAAAACAGACAACATACAAAGATTCAAAATCACAATGGCACATGGTTTACCAATAGTAATAGTTGAAGAAAGTAACATTTTCAAAATTTGTGGGAAAATAATCTCCAAATCAGGATTCTATACCCAGGCAGGCTAAATAATTCTAGGTTAGTAATATTCTACGTAGCTAGAGTTTTAAGATTCAGAAAAACCCACTTAGTAAGAGCTGTTTTGTTTATTCATATCAGTCCTATTAGTGCTAACTCAGGCGTGCAAAGTAACAACACAAAGTCCAATTTGAATCACTTTTTAAAAAAATAATGTAGCATAAAAATTTTTTATTTTATTATAGCTAATAGTTGGGATGAGCCATAGCATAAAATTAAATTTAAATGCATATGTCATATTTTACTAAAGAAAATACTTTCCTCCAAGACTGGTGTGTGCAAGGCAGAATAAAGAGTACATTCCTAAGTTTTCAGACATCCAATAGATCTTTCCAGGAACTTACCTCTCTAAGTATTCTGCAAGAAGCTGTTCTGCTGCAGATGAATACATCCATTCACTTCCAACCTTCTTCGTATATCCAGGGACTTCCTCATTTTTTTTGTTGAATTTGAGATTCAAACCCACATTTGCTTTATGGTCTCCATGAGGGCTAAATGTAAACCATATACAACACACACACACACACACACACACACACACACACACACACACACACACACACACATTTTAAAATGTTGAAATAAAGTGCTTTGTTTCCAGTTCTTAGAAAAATCTCAATTTTGATTATTCTATATTTCCATTATTCTGGTTATTTCTAAAGTAGCAAATTGAAAAGCTAGCGGAAAACCTTTAAAAGCTGAGTTAAAACATTTAAATAAACTATGTAATTATAAAGGAAACGGAATAACAAAATGCAAGAAAATATATTACTGAAGTTCACACACACCCTCTGATACCTTTTTTCAAGGTTCATTTTTTTAGCTGCTATAAATAAGAACTGCTTTTCCAACCACCTAAAACATACGCCATTCAGATGAAAGATCACCATCAGAGGAATTTATGTACAATTTTAAAAGAAATTCAGAGCACTTAATAAGAAAAGAAATACTGAAAAATCAAACATTTAATCTTTAGCAATTAATTTTTCTGCCACTTAAGTAAATTTCTCTAACACAAACTTACTTTCTCCTAGATCCTCTTCCAATAAAAATACTTCCTGTAAACCTTGAAACAAGGTATCCACTCACTCCAAGGCGACTGGCCAACACATATCCTGGGTTGTACTTTATAGAATATTTCTTTAAATATAAAAACAAAAAAGTCAATTATAGAAACAAAAGTTTACACTAAATTATTTCTTTACCTTTAAAATCTGGAGATAATCAAGACATCACTAACCATTGGACTGTGGCACTACAAGGATTCTCACTTAGATCCATCTCCCCTTTTTTTTGAAAGGATCTGTAGGCAGAATTTTTCTGCTCCTCTCTCTTTCTCCTTAAAGCACAGAATTCCCAACGATAGATGAAAGGGGGAGGAAATATAGAGTTTGTGAAACTGTCTCAAGAAATAAACTCTACTTTAGTATTAAATGGCAAACTCCACAGGCAAGATTTTTCCCCCTACTCACTGTCATATTACAAGTGGACATAGACAAGTTGCTGGGACAAAATGAGGCCTCGGTAACTATTACACTGAATCAAAACACAGCAATGTCCCCAAATGATTGCTACAGAGCAAAATTAGAAATTTTTTTTTCGAAGTGTCGTTTTATAGGGACATAATGATTCTATTCCTCTAATATTTACTATTATGTGAAAGTAACAGGTACATACATGTTTATAATGAATGAAGACAATAAAATGTAAACTTAATTTGTAAACTCAAAGCAGAAACTGAATGTTGTTAAATTGAAAAAAGGGAGTATTGGATCATAAATTTTAACCAGGAAGCAAATAGCTCACAAATTCAGTACCATCAATGTATACAAAGATTATACACTACTTCTTTTATGTTCATATAGTCATATTCATTATATAAAGTATTTATATTTATATTTGAATAGGAGTATAACAGTGAATTAAACAAGATAAATGTCCAGATTGGTAATGATTTAAAATAGCCACCACTTTCTTAACATACTAAAAACCATCCTTTTGGTGATTTGGAAGATACGATTACTATCAAATATGTAAATAATAAAGAACATATTTTCATCATTAATGATATCCAACTTAGAAATAACACAATACAAATCAAGTATCTTTTCCAAAATAGATTAGAAAAATTAAGATAATATTTCTCATTCATGAGTAGTATCATTTTTCCAACAAACATACGGAAAGGTAAGAGGGATGTTGATTTACAAGGACTGGCATGGGCTACTAGCACCTCACACCTTAGAAGCCAAAGAGACCAATTGTGATGTCACATGCAGAACACAGTTCTATTTTTACGTAATTATACTGCTCAAAATGGTATTCTTACTGAGAAATGTTAGGTTATACTACAATTAAAACTTCATTAAAACATTAAACATATCCTAAAAAGTATTAAATAGATAGCTGAGAACACTGGGGTATATGTAGAAGGTGCTTTGAAAGTTAAAGCAGTTCTCTCTGTATACTGGACAAGGAACACTAATTAGCACTACACACTAGAACTGGGAGAGCATTTCTACCTTCCCCTACCTCCTCAGACCAGGAACCACTTCTACATCTAATGGGCCAACTTCCTAGTTTAAATTCCTTCCTCAATAGACACCTGAGGATAAAATTTTAGGGATGTATTTGTCTTCAATACATAAAGTATCATAGGTAATGCTGATTGATGTCTGATGTCTGGAATTCATTTCAGATGATGTAATGTTTTAGGCTTTTCCCTTAGGGAAAAAAACAAATGGATTAAGTAGCAGTAGCTAGCTGACTGAATTTCAGTTAATCATCCAATTGAGTGATAAGAACAAATGACAAAAGTAAATCAGTAAAATTTTTTTTTTAAAAAAAGAAATACAACATGTGGGAGATTCAGAATGAGTTCTGGCTCCTGGGTTCAGCCTGATCCAGTGCTGGATATTGTGAGCATTTCAGAAGTAAAGAATTGCAAGAAAGAGCACTTTATTTTTCAAATAAAATTAAAATAATAGTTAAAAAATACAATAAATGACAGACACCAGAAGCTTCCTTCTATTCTAACAGGGAAAAAAAAAGGTTAGGGAACATTTTTAGAGAAAAAGTCCTGAAAAAGAAATTGAACTTGGGTAGTTTTCCAATATTCTCTGGGGATGAGAATATTAATTTTCAGCAGAGTTAAATGACCTTTATTACTTGTAACCAAAAATGCAAGATCTGAAGCATCATAAAAAGGTTCAGTACCTAAATCTATATCCAGACGGTATGTTAATCATTGTATTTCTTAAAAGCTTGCACACAATAATCCACAATAACCAGTTGGACCAATAATGGGATTTTAAGTTTTGACCACAGATTCTACATTTAGTTTCTAATAATAATATATGCAACTAAGAATAAGCCAGTATTAAACAAAACATTTGAAATAAATTCAAAGGAGGTAGCAAAAGTATCCTTCTAACATTTTTAAATTGACTTGATTTGAAAATGGAACACCAGGTATTGTACTTACATGCTGGTTCTGTATTAAAGCATCAAGATTGGGTTCATATGGAATGCTGAAAACCACACGAATCCTACCTTCTGTAATCACATCACTGGAATCCTGAACCTTGGTGGAGGAAAAAATCAAAGTATATGTTAATCTCTTTTAATACTTTATTCATTTTCTACTTAATTGATAAGTATTATTTCTGAAATATTATGCCAGTCAAGATGAAAGTGGAAATTTTCTTGGAATTTATAAGTGTATGGAGTTAAACTGTTAATTTGAAATGTGGTATTTATTCCTGCTTTAACAGCTTTTCATAATTTTTTAATTCTTCTAACTTTTCTGTAGACAATTTCAAAGAACCACAGTGTTCCAAATACCAAAACAGTACCAAGAACACTTGAAAATATTTATCCAGATTCACTTACTGTTAACCTTATAAAGCAGATAGCTTTAACATTTGTAGACTGTGTGTTTATACTAATATATATGTCTTATACCAAGTTGCTTATCTCTAAATACTCAAAGTATATTTCCTAAGGACATTTGATTTATAACCGAAGTCTCGCTATTAAATATACAAATTTGCATTGATACAATAGTTTTTAGAAATATTTACTTATTTATTTGAAAGGCATAGTTAGAGGGGGTAGGGGTGAAAGATAGAGATTTTCTGCCTGCTTCTTTACTTTCCTAATGGCCAAATCAAATGGGCTGGGCCAAAGTCAGGAATTTCGTCCAGGTCTCCCATGTGGGTTCAGGGGTCTAAAGACTTGGGCCATCTTTTGCTGCTTCCCTAAGCAAATAAGCAAGGAGCTGAAATGAAAATGGAGCAGTTGGAACTCAAACTGTTCACTGGTGGCCTCCATACAGTACTTCGATCTAGGTTGTTGCCAATATTCCAATTCTGTCTGTTGGCCTAATTATGCTGTTTATACAGTGTTTTTCTTGCTGTTCTATAGGATTGAGGCAAAGGTTAGGGAATACATTTAGTCGTTCTATGTCAGATATTACATTTAATATTCTTAATCTGGAATATGCCTAGAGCCTTTTTTTGTTTTTCACAATATTGTCATTTTGAGAAACACAATTCACCTTTCACTTTCATCCTATCTTTAAAACAGCATCAACAATGACAATTTCTCATTTTGGGCTTGTCTGACAATTAGGTTAAGTCTCAGCCTGACTACTGCACTGGCAATGTGCCCTTTTCAGCATACCACACCTGTAGGAATGCATACAATATTCACAACACCTCACTGTCACACTTTCAGCCTACCAACAAAATGTGGTTCCGTTTCTTCCTGGCGTTGAGTTTCATTGTTGTTCTTGCAGTTAATAAACTGTGAGAAGACATTTTCTTAGGCCATGAAACTAACCCCTGTTCCCATTTAAAAATTTCTCCTAGATTAAATTTCAATGATGAATCTTATCTGACCTAGTCTTTTTCAGCAGGAATGACAAATGGTTTTTGGTCTCCACAACTTTCTTTCGATTTATCCAATAAACAAGAGGTCCAACCTCCCCTACTTATTTGCCTTATTATCACCACTATGGGAACCATTAATTCCTATCTTCCCAAGGGGTTTATAATTCATCACCATGCTTATAGGATAATTTCCAGCATTCCTCTGAGCACTTCCTTAATTTCTGGCATAACAAGAATTTCCAGACTCATCTTGCATCTTCCCTGACCTTCAGTCATTTCTCCATGAAACTCTGTTCCTTTTAGTAGGGCAAGGTAATAGATACTGAGATGTGCCATGTTTTCATGAAGTCACTTGTGTTCACCCTTACTAGAGTGTCTTTGTTTCTGACTCTGAGAAAACAAAGCTAGAAAAATACTTGCATGCTTAGATATCTATTCACACATATATTAGTGATCTTTAAAAAGTTTACAGAAAGTGTGTATTATGAAAAAACAATGAATGGATTTCTATTTTTTGCATCAAAATATATTCTGAGATTTTTTTCATAAGCGCTGTGAAATTGCTCCTATGTATACATACACATCTACATAATGCAGTTTTAGAAATAATGACTTCAGTGCTTTCACAGACTCTTTGCCCCAACCCCCCACGCTACATTTGCATGTACCTTTTCCATTTGGAAACAGAAGTTCTTCAAAACATCAATATAGTTGCAAATTATTTAAGCCTATAATATAAAACAGTTTCAGAACTGCTTCAGCTGTACTATCATAATAAAACCGTACGGGAGCTTCAAAAAGTTCATGAAAAGGTGGAATTTAAAGAATAACTTTGATCAAATATAATAGAATTCCAGGTTTAGGGTTTTTTTTTTTTTTTCATAATGCACATTTGCATGAACATTTTAAAATGCTTTTATATAATCAAATGTTGTGATTGTAAGTTGTACAGATGGGTTTTTCTTTTAGTTTTACATTTCATTTTGCACTTAATTAATTTGAAATCAGAAAAACATTAATAATAATAACAGAAACTAACTTCTCCAGTGCAGCCATAATAGGGGGTTCCCAACATAAAGACCATACTTCCAGGAGGAAACAAATCATCCAGTGTTTTGATACCGGAGAAACGAGAGTCAAAAGCTCTGATGTCCTACATAAAACAAAATACACAAATAAATTACATAATCAAAATATCTATCTAGCGTACATAATGCTTCTCCCCCACCCCCAGCCATGGTTATCATGTCTATGCTGCCTGCAAAAGTCAAATATAAACATTTTCACACAATAATGCTATCAAATATAGTAACTTGTTATATGCCAGACAATCTTCTAGGTACGTCACACATTTATTTCATTCGTTCAGTACTGGAGACAATCCCCCATGGCAGGAACCGTTATCAGCCCCATAGTAGAGATGAAGAAAGTGGAGCAGAGAAGGGCAGTGCAGCTCGTCCAGCTCAGTTACTGCACTATACAGTATTCTCCACAGAACAGGATCATTAACATACAGTAGAATCCCTTGCTCCAGGAGGGTATGTCTGAAGAACACTTCACCCCTGAGCCCCTGGCCGCAGATGCCTGAGACTGATATGCATTACGAACCTATATGTATTATGTTTGTCCTGTACATCCACACCTATAATAAAATTTAACTTATAAATAAGACACTGTAGGAGATTTACAATTAAAAATAATTTTAACAATATACTATGATAAAAGTAGTATGAACACAGTTCTCAGTGTGCTGTAGTCATCCTTGTAATGATGTGAGAATGACTAAGCATTTATCAGGCCTGTGGCTGTAACTTCTGCAGTTTGAAGTGGGTTTCTTTTCCTTTCTGCACAATTTCGCAGACATGATATTTATTCTTTCACTGGATCTTAGCAAAACCAGGACATGATTTTAAAAGCTTTACTTAACAAGTTGGGAATTTTCACCTTTTTTTTTTTAACTTAGAAGTTTTTACAGTTTTGTCATTTCTGATTTGTCACCACCACTACACTTGTACTATGAAGATGACTATTATGTAAAATAAGAATTACTTGAACACAAGCACTGCAGTACCACGACGGTGAATCTGACTACTGTGCTGGTCATTAAGTTACCAACGGGCAGGGAGCCTATCTAATGTGGACACACTAGTCAAAGGCACGATTCTCATTCTAGGCAAGATGGTGTAAGATTTCACTACAATCAGAAAGAACAGAGCACAATTAAATCACTTAAATTAGTTACTTCCAAGATTTTTGGAATGCAGTTAAGCATAAAATGAAATTTTAGAAAACAAAAATTCAGATAAGCGAGGGACTACTAGACTTTTTCTCACCTTGCTAATTCTAAGATTCTAAACACAAAAGAAAATAGCTTTATGTTTATTAGTTCACTTAAGGAAAACATTTTTGAATAAAACTTAAAACTACAAAGGTCTAAGTTAATGCTTTTTTCTCCTCCAGAAACCAAGTCCTTAAAAAAAACCAGACAAGTTCCTTATCTGTATATATAGTGTTTGAATATGTATTATATTTTGTAAAACACTCAGATATTTTTAAATTATAATAAATTAGAATCTCTACTATATATTGCTAAATTATTTTCTATTACTAAATTTTAATGATAGTCTTTCCCCAAAATGCAATAGGACAGAATTAAGACTCAATGTGGCTTTACCTTGACGATAGTTTGATAAACAAAAGGAAGAACTTGTTTTGACCACTGCTTCTCCAGACGAACTTCACCATTTTGACTTATTTGATATTTACGGCCTGTGAGTAACTGAGCATACACAACTGCAGAAGTTTCATTTATTATTATTCCTTTTCTTCTCAAGTATCTATAAGTAAGAATAAAAAACAAAGAAACATAAATATGTGTTAATGTTTTTATTTGAAATGCTTGAACTTTCAATAAATTTGCTAAGCAGTTGTGGGTACATTCATTGAGATTTTTTTATGTTATTTTTTTTAAATCTGTGGAGATTTCCTGCACCGAGAAAGCATAGAGCTCTAAGAAGTTCTTGTGTTCCATACCCACCAAGGCTGTAATTTTAAAAAAAGAGGGAGGAGAGCAACAAGAAATGTGGCTATGCTGTGGAGAAATCTGACACTTCATGTTGCTGGCACAATGCTCCATTATGAAAAGTCTGGCAGTTCTTAAAAAGGATAAAGACTCTACTTGTAAATACTTACCATCCGCCCAAATTGAAAGTAGGCACTGAAACAAATGCTGACATGCAGATGTTTCTATAGCAACACTGTTGGTAAAAAACCCCAAAGCAGAAGCAACTCAGTTACTAGCTTGTGCATGAGTAAGCAAAAGGTGATGTATTCACACGACAGGATAGTATTCAGGTATCTTAAGGAATAAGTAATGACATATACTACAGTGTGTTTGAAAATCAAAACCATGCTAAATCAAGAAAGTCAGACGCAAAGGATCACATGTTATATGATTTATATGAAATATCCAAAATAAGCAAATCCACAGAGATGACAAGCTGCTTGGATTAGGCCCATTTGATGGGGCTTCTCAATGTAAACACAAGTCTGCAAATACAGCCAGGGGCCAAAGCCTTCAGTTCTTTCACTTACTTGTTTTCATTTACTTGTCTGGTGGAGATGGAGTTCCCAATTTATTAATTTATTCCTCAAATGCTTGTAATAACTAGGGCTGGGCTAGGCCAAAGCTGCGAGCTGAGAATGCAATCCAGGCCTTCCATGAGCATGGCAAGAACTCAATCAGATGAGCTCTCACATCTGCCTACCTGCATGGGCAGGAAGCTGGAGTCATGGCTGGGGCCAGGACCAAACTCAGATACTCTCAGGGGATTTAGACATTATAATCATTAGGCTAAAGGTTCAGGTGCTTTCTTTTAAATGGGATTTTATTAGAAAAAGCCACCTACTCACAGTTAGGGCAGCTTCTGTCCTACAATGGCAGAGCTGAGTAGTTGTGAAAACTTTGAAAATTCTCCAAATCCTAAAGTATTTTTTCTCTGGACTTTGTAAAAAAGGTTTGCCAATCTCATCACCTAAAAGATATTTTCTTTTTCTTTTTTTGCATATAATGATTTTTCTTGGACTAATTACTTCATTTGAAAAGATTTGATTCATGCATTTTATTTCCTTTTTTTCACAATACACATCTTTAAAATTTTCTTAACATTTTTAACTTTTTCCTTTCTAGAAGTCCTATTAAATAGATAATTAGGCATCTGACAATATTTCCTAAAAAACGATTCATTTGAGAGGTAGAATTAGAGAAAGAAGTAGACAAAGAAAGACACAGATACAGAATTTCCATCAGCTGATTCACTTCCCAAATGCCTAAAATGGCTAGGGATGGCACAGGTTCAATCCAGGAAACAAGAATTCAATCTAGGTCTTCAACATGGGAGGAAAGAACCCAACTGCTTGAGTCACCATGCCTGCTTCTCAGGGTTTTTACTGGCAGGAAGCTGGAATCAGGAGATTAAACCAGAAGCTGTATTCCAATGAGATAAGCACATCTTATTGGCTATGTTAAATGTCTGTCCTATATTCTCACTACTTTTTTCCATCTCTTTGTGCTTTGGTACTATTTGCTAAAAGTAGTCCTTAGCTTAATCATTTAGGTCATTGATTTAATTTTCAGTAAGCCCAGGATACTGCTGAGATCATCCACTATTAGAATCATATTTTTAATTTTTGTTTTTATACAAGTATGAGAATTATATGCTGCATACTCTATAACACATGTAAACATATACATATAAAATTGAGAAGCAGAAAGAGCCTGAGAAATACAGATAGAGCTTCAGCCCTCTGGATCAGTTCCCAAATGTTCTGTGAAGGCTAGAGCTGGGCCAGGCTGAAGCCGGGAGTCAGGACCTTAACCAGGTCACTAGAATTCAATCTGGGTCTCCCATATGAGCAGTAGGATACAACCACAGGAGAATCACCTAACTCCCAGAGTTGAAGTGGCACAGAGCTGGGACTTGAATTCTTTTCCTTTGTTACCTCAGCTTTCTCCATACACGCTCTTATTTCTTTGGCCACAGGGATGTCAATACATCAATAACCATGTCAATAAACTGAAGAATAAGTGGGCCGAAAATTCTGCCTCTTTCACTTCCTTCTCTAACACTGACTCTCCAAATCAATCAATCAAACAATCTTAAAAATAAAACTCTAAAAGGTTATAACTGCTGGTAATCAGACTTTGTGAAAGCACATCTCTACCATTTTCAGACCACATGCTCAAAAGGCAGTCAATATGTAGAGCAATCACTGTGGCAAGTAAGAGTAAGTTTGAGGATCAACACACAGCAAAGATTCTGGTTCTGACACCAGGTATTTTTAATGTTACTTACTGTTCTGAAATTCCTTGTACTTCTTTAGCCCAGGTAGATTGTTCTTTATCCCCAAGATGGACCACTTTAGATGGTGGGGGAGTTCGTCCCAAATAAAGTTTCTGTGTTCCTGGAGGTTCTTCCAAATAAAACCTTAAAAAAAAATAAGATGAGTTATATGACCCAAAACTTGTGACTTAATATAGAGTTTTTACTATGTGAATCTTTAAAAGCAAGCATAAGGAGTTTAAAAATACTCTGGAGTTTAATGAGTATATATTTTTGGCAATAAAGTTTCACCTGAATGGAATCAACCTACTAGATCGAATTTCTAGTTTATGGAAAATATGTGGGATAAAGGTTCAAGTTAAGTGATACTAATAGCAAAGAGAATTCTGCGAAGTAACCACACAGAATTCTTAAAAAGAAAAGGCAAGGAAGGAAGTTTAGCAAGGTTGTGAGTTGTAAATCAGCGAACAAAAATCAACTGTTTCTATGACGTAACTTGGAAAATATAAAAACAGAAGTACCATTTAAAGGTAGCTCCAGGAAAAATTACTTAGGTAAAAATGTATATAAAAAACATGTACATAACCTGTATGATAAAACAAAAACATTGATAAAAGAATAAAGAAAAGATTTAAATAAACAGCATCATACTATACTATGTCATGGTTTAGAAGACAATATAGCAGAGACGTTAAATTTCCTCAAACTTGGGTTTAAAGACTTAATATAAATTCTATCAAAATCCCTTCCAGATTCTTCAAATAGAAAGTAATTTATTTTAAAATTTATGCATATCTTTTGAACAAATAATGCTGGGATAGCAGAATATTCCTAGGCAAATACATCAAACTTGATTTAAATGTCATGCTTTACACAAAAATTACCTAAAAATGAATTATTGATTTAATGTACAAGAGGTAAACTATTAAACTATTCCCCTAAACTGAGAAAAATCAAAACCCATTATATGTCAAGAGATTTATGCCTGGTAAGAAAGCAATCTCGCAAATTGGATTCTATCAAGAAAGTTGGTGGGTAGAATTCTGATGATTAAAAAAATCCTCAAGATCTGCTATAGAGAAGCAGATACCAACACGGGGGAGGGGAAGAGGGAGGGAGTCAAACTGGCTTTGGCCTCTTTGTCATGAACAATATCAGTAACAGAAGGAAGATATTTATATAACTAAGAAAAAGGATTGCTTTTCTAAAATTCTAAACTTTTTTTTAAATTTTAATTTTGTTTTATGCCACAGTTTCATAGACTCTGGGATTCCCCAAGCCCCTCCCCAAGCCCTTCCCCCAAGTTGGATTCTTCCACTTAGTTGCAGTAGTATAGTTCAAATCCAGTAGTGGTTCCTTCATTGCATGCATGTACCATGCAGAGAGTCCAGCATCATACTGTCCAGATAAATTCAACAGTTTCTTGGGGAGATCATAAAAATTCTAAACTTTTAAGTGAAGAAAATAAATTAGGAAAGAAAAAAGATATTTTTGACATGTAATAACACAGAATATGTAACATGAACTCATTTTCTGAGAAAAAAAAACTGCTTCAGAAAATTCTTGTTACATGGAAAATTACAGAAGAACAGAAACCAGGAAGACAAGGTGACATAAAGTAATAGTAAAAAAATAACAGAAACAACTTAAATAATTTAATAAAAATGATTCTGAGTGTGATTAAAATGTGAAGAAATTATTCTTAGAATAAAGGATATGTTTTAAGAAAAATTAATGTACTGCTTAAATGAAACATAAGAGGAATACTGTGAAAGCAAAATATTACATTCTATTTGTTTCAAAATCGATATGTATTTGCTAAATAATCACTGCTAGAAAAAATTTAGGAGACGAAACTTTCAAGCAAATAAGGGAGGGGATAAGAAAGAAAAAGTGAAAATAAAATAACATATGCCTGTAACATATCTTAAAGGATTTACAATAAACCGTAAATACTGACTGAACTTTGAGCAATGTGATAAAGGACTTTTGTTTTCACTGTAGACTGTAAATGTTGTTAGAACAATTTTATAGTGCAAAAAACCTGAATCGTAAGCCATAAAACAGCACAGCATACGTAACTTAAAAAAAGGACAAATCCAATTTTACTTACTTAGTTTCTCCATCTGAGATAGCCACAACTCTAGCTTCTTCAAGGTGAGGCCAATTAACAAAGACAGACTTCCCAAGCACTGATGAAGCTATATTTTCTATACTCTTAAAGTAAAAGCAGAAGTTTATTTATACTGTAGGTCCAAGACAAGACTTTATACAAACAAAATTTTTCAATCTCCATCTAAGGACAAAAACAAAGATGGCTAGCCTTTTGTCTCAAATAATTGATTTGGAGTAGTTGCCTTTACAAAATTCTATCCTATTGTAAAATTTCATGATTCTACTGCTTAGACTCATTTCTTATTTTTCACGTGGTAACTGAGAAAAGTAAGATAAAAAAATAAAACATAACTAGGAGCAGCTATTCAATTTTTTTTTTGTCAGAGATCTAATAAAATGTAAGAAATATGACCTTTTGAATTTGTGGCAAATACAGTGAAAAAGAGAAAACTAAACTTAAAGTCCAAGACATAGGTCGAAATTTGGGTTCCATTTCTTTTCACCTATAAAATCTTAGGCAAATCAGTTAATCAGTACTAAGATTTCAGTTTCCTTAGTGAGAAGAAACAATATTAATCTTACAGTGTTGAGAATCAAAAAATAAATAAATAAATAAACACAAAAGATACTACAAGCTCTAATCTTCTATATAAATATTCTGTGCAAATTATATGAAAGCTCTGTATTATCTAACACATACATATAGGTTTGACAAAATGGTAGTAGAAGCTAACTTTTATTTTTATTTATTTATTTATTTAATTTATTTGATTTATTTTATTTTCATTGCAAAGTCAGATATACAGAAAGGAGGAGAGACAGAGAGGAAGATCTTCCCTCTGATGATTCACTCCCCAAGTGAGCCCAATGGCCAATGCTATGCCGATCCGAAGCCAGGATCCAGGAACTTCTTCCAGGTTTCCCACATGGGTGCAGGGTCCCAAAGCTTTGGGCCATCCTCGACTACTTTCCCAGGCCACAAGCAGGGAGCTGGAAGGGAAGTGGAGCTGCCGGGATTAGAACCAGCGCCCATATGGGATCCTGGTGCGTTCAAGGCGAGGACTTTAGCCATTAGGCCATGGCGCCGAGCCCGAAGCTAAATTTTAAATACAAATTTCCATTCATCTTTTTTGCTTATTATCCCCAATCACTCTTTCAATCACTCAATCAATCCATCAATTAGTTTTATGATAGATTTCTTTTGGCTCTAGGATTTCTCTTTCCCCCTCCCCAAAACTTCTCCTCTCTCACTGATTTCCTCTCTAGTATTACAATAGTATAGTCCTTCAAAAGCATTCAGACTATTCTCCTATTTTAGGGTCCTGACATTGTCGATATGGACAATGGCAGAGAGACCAACATCTATTAACAAACATTTCTTTACAGCTAAAGATTAATTTTAGATAGTTGAATTGTTTCTTGTTTCATTATTTAGACATTTCTATGGTAAGCATATAAACAAATATTTATTCTGACAAATAAATCATGTTTCAACAGAACAAGTTTCCCTTTTCAGTCTATAAATCTATTTCTAATTTTGTTCTTCCATCTTCTCCCTCAGTTTTTGTTGAAAAAGTTGTTTCCTTTCTCGGGTTAACCCTTCATTTAAGCCTTGGAAAAAATCCCTTATGACTTCACTTGGGGTCTAGTTTTCATAAACAGTGGCTTGAAGATCTCCTTTAGCTTTAGTTCCTTGCTTTAAGATTTTGTTTGATGGGCCCGGCACCATGGCCTAATGGCTAAAGTCCTCACCTTGAACGCGCCGGGATCCCTTATGGACGCCGGTTCTAATCCCAGCGGTACCGGCCACTGCAGCTCACTTGGGGAGTGAATCATCAGAGGGAAGATCTTCCTCTCTGTCTCTCCTCCTCTCTGTATATCTGACTTTGTAATAAAAATGAGTAAATCTTTAAAAAAAAAAGATTTTGTTTGATGAGTTCCTGTTTCTCTATTTCCAGTTACATTTGTTCATAGTTCTCTTTTCAATGCAAACTTGATCATTCACTTAATACCTGCTGTCATTACTCCCCTGTCTTCTACTGCTGGCCTAAGCCTCAAAGCATAGGACTTTTGCTTGCACCAATTTACTGAAATAGAGTTCTCAATGGACAACACTAAAAGTCTATGGCACAAATTCAGGTTTTAGTTTTCAATTTGCCTTCAAAAATTGTGCAGCATATATTGGGCTGGTAAAACCTGAGAGCTGGTGCTTCTTTTGGATGCTCCACACAGGTGCAGAGGCCCACAGTGCTGGGCCATTTCTATGGCTTTTCCACCGAGAGCTGGGTTGGAATCCCACACTCAAACCAGCGCTCCCAGAGAATGCCAGACAGCACCACAGGTGGCAACTTTACCTGTTATGAATTGTTACCAGTACTGCCATTCATTTTTTCTTACTTCTCTGCCCACAGTGTCACTTTCACTAACTACCTTCCCACCACTTTGATAATATGAACAATCATGTGTCTATTCTTTAGGTCTCATTAATGAATCCTCAGTTCTATGTACGTCCCTCTAAATCGTTGCTACAAGTATCTAAAGGTCTATTACAAGCCTTTGAAAATGGAGTATTTTCACTTGAACCACAGGATACATGAAATGATCTATGACAGGTAACCAGTACTATCTTAAATGCACAACAGATAAGCTAATTTATTCATATATTAATAATGATGCAAATGATTGAAGCCACTGGGGTTCATATCTCTTCTGGAATACTGGCTAGGAGAGGCTGGAGGTATATACACCTTCAGTTAAATATACATTTACTACCTTGTATTTTATCATTATTTATAGCTAATCTTCTGAAACCAGGAACTTTTCATTTTCACTCTTTCCTTTTTAGATCAGTAAGTTGCAATTATTTTTTAGCTAATTAGCTTGGATATTTCAGTCAAATTTACGATCTTGTTCTTCTTTTTATTCCCCATAATTGAAATAATGTTACTTCTACTTTATCTTGTTCATCTAGATCTACAGCTACTTCCACGGTTTAGATTCTTATAGCCAAATTGCAATCTCTGAACTTGCAGCCTTTCTCACTGTTCCTCTATTTATCTTTTGTGCAATTCAGTCTTTTATAATGCCAGCAAATTAATCTTCAAAAATTATCAATTTCAATGTAACAGTCAAATAAAATGAATCATGTGCCTGAAGCACTGGCATCCTATACAGCTGCCGCTTCATTTCTGGCTGCTCTACCTCCCATCCAGCTCACTGATTATGGCCTGGGAAGGCAGAAAAGGATGGCTCGGGCCCCTGCATCTGTGTAGGAGATCAGAGGAGCTCCTAGTTCTTGGGTTTGGATTGGCTCAGCTCCAGTTACTGTGGCCATTCGTAGAGTGAAGCAATGGAAGGAAGATCTCTCTTTCTTTCTGTCTCTCCTTTTTTATGTAACTCTATTTTTCAAATAAAAATAGAAATTTAAAAATTATTCCATAGGCCTCTACTCAAGGTTCTCCATAATCTGACTTCAACCTGGTTTTTTTGAATCTTATCTTCCGCTACTTCACAAGTCCTCTATCTCGGTCAGGTTTATCTATGCCATCATCTCAAATTAATCACACATTTAAAAAAAGTATTGAGAAATATTTCAGACATAGTGAAAAGCATAAAATATCATCACATTATTTCAAAATTAAACCCCTATTTCATATTTCTTTCAGTTGGAATGCCTTTCTTCACTTCTGCTGCTTCAAAAGGTTCTTAAGATTTAGTTCAAGTCTTCCCATCTAAAGCTCTAAACTTCGGCTCTTTTTTTTTTTATATCCCCACAGCCATTTCTGTTCATGGTATCACAATTATTTAATTATTAAATTGTTATTTAACTGTGTAGCTGTTTCTTAAGTTTATCCTTATTTAGATTTTTTAATTTCTGGAGTTAACAGCATGTTATATCTCAGGTAAATACCTCAACACCTATAAACAGCTTTAAGTCTAACATGATTCAATCAACATACGATAGATAAAACACTTACAAGTTCATCTGATTCTGTATCCATTAAGATTTCCAACATCATGTTTTCACCACGACTACTTTGCTGAAACACTTGGACACCACTTTTCTTCAAAAAAAACTAAGTGAATTAAAAAATTTAATTTTAATTCTTTCTCCATAATCACTTTACATTAAATAAGCTAACAGTTCTGAACCAAATAGTCACTGACTTTGTGTTTGATGTGTTTCAGAGAAGGAAATCCACAGAAATACAATGCCTTCTGGTCAGTCTTGGTTATTCTGTTCTTGTTTATGTCTACACGCCAAGCATCTAATGATATTATTTTGTACCTAGAAAATAAACAAAGGCAATTCATTTAAAATGCAGCCAAACATTTTGTTTTGTTTTGTTTTGACTTCACTGGTATAGATACAATCATGCTTGTAGATTACTAAGCAGATGTTTTCCTCCATTAATGTTAAATAAAATGATACACATTATTTTCTAATATGAATATTGACATATTTATTTGAAAGGGAAGCAGGGGGAGAGAGAGACAGAAAGAGAAAACAAGACCTCCCCCATACGCTGGCTCATGCCTATAACAGCTTGAGTTAGACCAGGCCAGAGCTAGGCGCTGGAATGGTACCAAATCTTGGGCCATTATCTGCTGCCTCCCAGGTACATTAGCAGAATATGGATTGGAAGTACAGAGTAGCCAGAATTTGTACTGGGCTTTGATATGAGCTGTGAGTGTAGCAAGTGGAGCTTAACCCATTGTGCCACAATACCTATCCTCAAAAGGAAGGGACAAAGCATAACAAACTTTCTGCTCCACTTCCCATCCAGCTCCCTGCCTGTGACCTGGGAAAGCAGCAGAGGATGGCACAGGGTTTGGTACTCAGCATCCATGTGGGAGACACAGAAGAAAAGATTGGCTTAGTTTTGGACACTGTGGCCATTTGGGGAATGAACCAAAGGATGGAAGATCTTTCTATCTGTCTCTCCTTCTTTCTGTAAATCTGCCTTTCCAACAAATATAAGTAAATATTAAAAAAAAATTAACAAATAGCATTACCTTGCAGAACATCGTTCTATGGCAGGAAACTTCTCTGGCCAGGGAGATGGGTAGGTGAACTCTGTTTCTCTATCATACCAACACATTAGGCATTCACTATGTTGGTTTCTTTTCCTCTCTTCCTTTTTGAGGGAGTGGTTACACGCTTCCATGGCTTCTAATAATCGCTTCTGAATATAAAGATTGCAGAAAACAGTAAGATATAAAAATCTGTGATCTCAACAAACAGAATAAAATTTTCAACCACATACAGAGGCACTATTTGCATCCAGGAAAAACAAAATCCTAATGAATCAAAGTATCCATTTCATTAAATGAAACACTGTGGTTATCCATTTCTTTCAGGGATCTCTGTAACACTGTTCTCACTGCAAATTCCTCTGAAACTATCATTCTTAAAAGATTTATTTATTTATTTTTTATTATTGGAAAGGCGGATATACAGAGAGGAGAGACAGATCTTCTGTCCGATGATTCACTCCCCAAGTGAGTGAGTGAATTCACTCCCCAAGTGAGCGCAACGGCCGATACTATGTCGATCTGAAGCCAGGAGCCTCTTCCAGGTCTCCCACACGGGTGCAGGGTCCCAAAGCTTTGGGCTGTCCTTGACTGCTTTCCCAGGCCACAGGCATACAAGAACAGCAGCACAGAATCCAATTTTAAATGTAAATTTATGATAATTATTATAACCTAATTCACAGAGAAGTGTATAGCAACACCTGGCTTTCAGTTTCTTTAAAAGAAGAAAAATGATGTTAACTTTTCTATAAAAAAATGAATGTGTGATCAGGAAAAAGGCATCTGGGACTTGTCTAGCACTTTTTATAAAACTGCTGTAATCCAAACATTTGGTCAATACTAGAGAATTTTAGGCAAAACCAGAAAGTTCAAACTGATCTACAGTCTGTCAAAATATACTATTTGAGATATTAAATAATGATGTTCTCTTAAGAAATTATTCAGCTAAAAAAAAGCATGCCCTTTCCATGTTCAATCATAAAAACAAGCATCAGAATAAATGTTAAGATGAAAGAATTAGATTCAAATTCAGAAGGATTTTTTTTTTAAGAGTTAATATATGCTTGCTTAAATGAAAGAAAAAAAGTCACACAACAGCCTTAAGGGAAAAATTCTAATAGCCTTGAAGTAAAACAATACGTATGTGACAGACGTAACTTGCAAATGGAGAGAAGTTTAACTTGTGAAGACTTTTTCTAGTATACAGTTGGTAAAAACCAAAAAAACAAAAAGAAACTCTAGAGAATATAAACAGGTCTTTTATAAGAGAATAAGCACAAAATTGGTTCCAGAATCATGCAAGCCAATGGAATAAATAGGCTAGAAAGAAATGCATAATTTATACTCAGCTGATCTTTGACAATTTTGGTAAGAATATCCACTGGGTAAACATGTCAATTAATGTGGTAATTACATGTTGGGCACATACACTGAAATCTCACAGCATATTCCATAAATAAGTACAGTTTTATCTGTTGTATATATATGTATGTAAAAATAGATATGATGGGAAAATATAATCTTTATTTTTAATAAACAGTGGGAAAACTGGTTAGCCAGATGTAGAAGCATGAAATTGGACCCTCACCTTACACCACATCCCACTCAAAAGGGTCTGAAGAGTTAAATGTAAGACTTGGATCTGTAAAACTAGTAGAAGAAAACAGGAAAACAGTTTCTTGACTTTGGTCTGGGTAGTGATTTTTTGGATATTCCACAAATACATGGGCAACAAAAACACAGACAAGTGTGAATCCATATTAAAGTAAAAACTTTTTTCTAATTATAACAAAGGAAGCAATCAAGAGATGATAATGGCAGAAAATATCTGTAAATTCTAAATCTCACAGAGTTAGCATCCAAAATATACAAACCAAAACCACCAAATTGCCCAATTAGAAAGTGAGGCATGAACTGAAATAAACATTTCTCAAAGATACATCATGAACAAATGTTCAATGTTACTAACATCAGAGAATTGGAAATTAAAATCACAATGAGCTATCACCTCACATTTGTTAGCATGGCTATTAAAAATACAAAAAATAATAAGTTAGTGATGAAAGGGAAAAATGAAACTTCATATAAATTAGTATAAAAATTATGTGATACATATATTAATATAAATTGGTAGGTTTTATGGAAAAGAGCATTGAGGTACTTTCATCAATTGAAAACAGGGGCCAGTACAATAGCTCAACTGGCTGATCTCTGCCTACATTTGCCGGCATCCCATATGGAAAAAAGTTCGTATCCTGGCTGCCAGAGTTCCTACCTAGCTCCCAGCTAAAAGTCTGGAAAAGCAGCAGAGCATGGTCTAAGTGTGTGAGACCCTACAACCATGTGGGAGGCCTGGAAGCAGTTCCTGGTTCCTTGCTTTGGATCAGCTCAGCACTGGCCATTTAGGGAGTGGACCAGAGAATGGAAGATCTTTCTCTCTGTTTCTCCTCCTCTCTGTAAATCTGCCTTTCAAATGAAAACAAACAAATCTTTTAAACACTTATTGAAAATTAAAAATAGTAAGTGTTGTTCCACACTGAGTACATAGCTAAAGGAAATGAAATCAGTATGCCAAACAGATGTATGTACTCTCAAGTTTGTTACAGTAGTATTTACAATAACCAAACAACTAAATCAACTTAAGTGTCCATCAAAAGACAAATGGATAGGACCTGGCGCAGGAGCCTAGCACCTAAAGTACTTGCTTTTCATGCGCTGGGATCTCAAATGGGTGCCACTTCTAACCCTGGCAACCTAGCTTCCCATCTAGCTCCTGCTTGTGGCCTGGGAAAGCAGTCAAGGATGGAACAAGCTTTGGGACCCTGCACCTCTGTGTGAGAGACCCAGAAGCAGCTCCTGACTCCTGGCTTCGGATTGGCACAGCTCTGGTCATTGTGACCATTTGGGGAGTGAATCAATGGATAGAAGATCTTCCTCTCGGTCTCTCCTTTCTGTATATCTGACTATCCAATGAGAATAAAATTAATCTTTCAAAAAATCGAATGGATAAAGTCTATGTGATACACACTGTACAATGGAATACTTCTCAGCCTTAAAAATGAACTATGCCTTGTTATTTCTGATAACATGGATGGATGTGGGAAGAGATGCTAAGTGAACTAAATCAGACACAGAAAAACTGAAAGACTTATATTTGGAATCTAAAAACATTAAACTTTGGAAATAGAACAGAACAGTGGTTATGGAAAAAAGTTGGCAGAATAGGGTAAGGACATGTTTAAAGAATCATTAGTAAGGGTAAAGCAGAGAAGCCGTGATTCCGGGAAACAGGAGAGGAAGCGCCAACGGCAGAGGGACACCTGGAGACATGTGGACAGTGGAGTGGCGTTGCAGTGACCAGATACCCCAACAGTGGTCAACAATGAGCAGAATCCCTGGAGCAGGCTCCACATCAGGGAGACTGGGAAGACGTTAGGTGGCTGTTCCTCATCCCCGGGCACTAATGAGGTTGGGATGCTGGGAGTGGCTTTCCTCCTTCTCCCCACCCTTCACTCAAACACAGAAGGAAGAAAAAGAAAATTTGGAAAGAATTGTCTCATCCACCTAGCCTTAATCCTCTACCCTTCCCACCCTAACTGGTGGTCCACATGGGCATGCATCCTTTCCAACTATGTACACATGATCAGAAGTGGGGAAAAAAAGTCCCTGTGCCATGGCCTAGTGGCAAAATCCTTGCCTTGGATGTGCTGGGATCTCTTATTAGCACTGGTTTATGTCCTAGCCGCTCTACTTCTGATCAAGATCCCTGCTTGCAGCCTGGGAGGGCCTGTCACACAAGGCTTTAAGATCCTGCGGCCACGTGGGAGGCCTGGAGGAATTTCTTGGCTCCTGGCTTTGGACAGGCTTAACTCCAGCTATTGCGGCCACTTGGGGAGTGAAATAGCAGATGGAAGATGTTTCACTCTGTATATCTAGTTTTCCAATAGAAGTTAAAAATTCTTTTTTAAAAAATCTCAGAATTGGAAGACAATGGAGGAAAAATCAAAAGTTGGAAGAGGAACTGAATCAAGCCAAGAAAAGTTTTTAAGAATTAAGGGAGGAGAGTCCAGTGGGGCCTTGGTTGCCTGGCCTGGGTCCTTAGGCCCACATGTGCACTGGATCCTGGACCCATGAGCCCTGGGAGCAGGGTGTCTGGCAGGGTTCATGTCAGTTGGATTGGGTCCTTAGGCCTGTCTGAATGGTGGGTGCCAGGGAGCGCTGGGTGGTGGGGGGTCCAGCAGGGCCTGGGTTACCTGGCCTGGTTCCTTGAGCTTGCCTGCACAGTAGGAGCTGGGTCCATGATGCCTGGAGGTGGGGGATCCAGTGTTTTCTGTGTTGTTTGGCTCAGTTCCTTGAGTGCTGGGGTCTATGCAGTAGATTGGATGACACGAAGGTGTGAAGAACAGCTCCCCTATTTGGCAGAGCCCAGGGCAGCTTCTTGCTGCAAGGCAGGGCCTGGCAGATGTCTCTGCAACCACCTGAATGCAGTTCCACTTCCCTTTACAGAATTCTTAGCTCCAGGGTGGCCGGGTGTCCTTGCAATCTATTGAGACATTGTTGTTTGCCCCTGTGAGATGGTTTTTACACCCAGTGTGAGCTTGGGAGTTAATGTTGCTAACAACATCTTTGTGAACGGGCCTTTAACAATGTATGCTGTCTCAGTTACTCTTATGACCCTCTGGCTGGAAAAGCTCAAGAATGTGAGTACTAGCATCGTAATGCATGCTTTCAAACTAACTTAGGGTTACTGAGTCCATTGGTGTAGTGGGAATCTATTTTTAGGGTTTTCTTTCCTTGATCTTCAGGTTTCTCCATCTGTGATATATTTTCTCCTCTAACCTATAAGATAAGTTGTAGAATGAGAATTGTAGTAGGAGTGTATTACTGATTAATATATGTTATCTACTGAGGAATTCTGGCTGCAGATTGGATAATGCCCTGCCTTAAGGTGAAACAATTTGCAGAATTGTCTTTGGAAACACCCACTTGTCCACTGCAGAGTTGAAATCAAAATGGAGTAAACATGGCTCATTGCCAATTCAATTCTTTTCACCTTTATAACTCCTGCTTTACTTGCTTAGCTAATAAACTGTGTGAGCTTGCAGTCCTAATGGCCAACTAGTGCCAATGGCCCCAATTGCCATAAACCAAAGCCCCAGACTTATTAACCCATACATAATTCAAGATCTGGGTCTGGTTGTCACAAGAGGTGCCAAGGTTAGAGCCAAGACCTGAGGAGAGCAGGCAGCGGCTGGCAAGCTGAGATAAGCAAGGAATGTGTAACGCTTCCTCACTCACCTGTTGTAAATTGTGCCCCCCCTCCGTTTCTTTTCTCTCTACGCCTATTTCACGCACCCTTCTTGTGTTTCGAATTCGGCTGGGGCTGGCCTCTGGCACTTGAGCCCACCTGTGCAGTGGGTATTGGGTCCATGAGCCCCAGGGGTGGTGCTGGGGGTCCAGTGCATCTGCTTCACCTGGCCCTGATCCTCGAGTCTGCTTGTGAAGTGGGTGCCGGATTTGTGAGCCCCGTGTGTTGGTGCCCGAGTCACCCGGCCCAGATATTTGAGCTTGCCTGCGTGGTGGATTTCTGCTCCAGGATTCCTGGGAGCTGGGGGTCTGCAGGGGTCCGCGTCTCCTGGCCTGGGTCTTTGGGCCTGTCTGTGAATACTTGATCTCCTCAGTGGAGGAAATGGCAGTAAACTGGAGCCTGCAGAAGACATCTGGTGCCATGCCAGAGGAAGGAGAACAGAGCAAATTGGACATTTGCCCCAACCAAATGATGACAGTAAAAATCTGGGTGAATGGAGATCCTAAGGTCAACTGTGTTGGCCAGTGGACTTTGGAAAGCTTCCCTAATCCTTCAATTGGTGAGATCCACTGCATTTCAGAAATAATGAAATCACTTGGGCAGACCTCCACGACCATGTGCTCCATTGGGACCCTGGGTTGATGTTGGGTGGCTGGTCCCCAATACCAGGTATTGGGTGGTTGGGAGACTTGGGATGGCTTCACCCCTTGTCTCCTCCCTTCCCCCAGATATAAGAAGAAGAAATGGAAAAAGTAGAAACAATGATCACACTCTTTTCCCTCCAACCCTGAATCCCTCCCAGCCTGATCAACAACGTAAATATCTTTAAAAATAAAAATAAATAAGTAAAAGTGAGTAGCATAAAAAAAAGAATTAAGGGACACTATTAAAAGTCCAAATATAAGAGTTATAGGAGTTCCAGAAGGCACAGAAAGAGAAGCTGGTCTTAAAAGTCTAATCAATGAAATAATAAAGGAAAATTTTCCCAATGTGGAGAAAGAATAGGGAAACAAAAAACAGGAGAGGCATTCCCAACAGGGTTGACCAAAACCAATCTTCACCACCACACATGATAATCATGCTCTCTTCAGTTGAACACAGAAAAAGGACCCTTAAATGTGCACATGAAACAACAATCAATCATCATATAGAGGAACCACAATCAGACTCACTATTGGCCTCTCAGAGGAAACTTTACAGGCCAGAATAGAATGGAATGACATTCTACATTCCAAAAGGAAAAAACTGTCATCCCAGAATAACTTACCCAGCAAGCTCTCCCTTGTCTTCGAAAATGAAAGAAAATTTTTCCGCAGTAAAGAAAAGTTTAAAGAATTTGCCTCTTTCAGACCTGCCCTACAAATGATACTTAAAAATGATATCTTGACTGAGAAAAAGAATAGCACCTACCAAAACCAAAGGCAAATGTGGACAATGTCCCAATAAAACAAAAGAATAAATCAAACAATGAACAACCCATTCATAAAATGATGTAGGACCAAATTACTACCTATCCATATTAACCCTGAAGATAAATGACTTGAACTCATCAAGTGTCATAGATTAGCAGACTGGGTCAAAAAAATCAAACCCATCCTGTTGCCTTAAGGAGACATCTCACTAACAAAAATAGGTGGAAACTTTAAGTGAAAGGATGGAAAAAAGCTGTTCCAGGCTAATGGAAAAAGAAAAATGAGTTGTTGTAGTCATTTTCACATCTGATAATATAGACTTTGATGTGAAAAATATTAAAAGAGATGAAGAAGGACACCAAATAATGAAAAAAAGATCTATTTAGCTAGACAATATCACTTTATTAGTTTCTTAAGATGTTTTCTTTTCCATCTCTAATTATACTTGGTTTTTCCATCTTGCCTATCTTCAGTAATCTGGCTAAGTTTGTTTTGCTCATCACAAAAATGGTTCTTTCGTGTTTTTTAGCCTAAATTCTACTTATTTTTGCTATGATTTTATAATTTCTTGCTTCCTGTTCATTATCTCTTTAATAAGTCCTTGAGAAGCAATACTAGATCATTTGAGAAATTCTGATATTTGTAAGTACTTGATGTCATGTCTTTCCAATACTGTTTTTCCCATATCTCATGGGTTTTGACTTTCTTGTTTGTATTTTAATTTTTTCAAAAAAGTTTTTTTTTTTTTCTTATTAATTTCTTCAGTGACATAGGCCTTAAGTAACATCACTTTTTTTTAAGAAGGTTTTTATTTTCTTTTTAATTTCTTCAGTGACACACACTGGTCATTTAGTACCATGCTATTTATGTGAATTTTCTATTTTTCTTCCTGTTGTTGATTTTGTTTTATGTCTTTTCATTTATGGGGATGTATAGTAACTCTAATAGAGACTATCATATCCAGTTATGAAAATACAAGGCAGTATGCATCTCTTTCAGATCAAAACTGGAATCCAAATGAAATTCTTAAATATTTCTTAACAGTAGGATTTTGGACTCTCTGCCATTGTCCATATCTGCAACATCATGATACATTTAAATAGCAGGATGATGGACTTCTGACTGTTTCAGAAGGACTACTATTATAATAATATAGGGGAAATCAGTGGAGAAAGAGGATTTGGAAAGGGGAGGACTATCCAAGAGCCTATGGTAATATATCATAAAATAATAAACAAATAAACAAGCAAAAACAGTGACTATCAGGGGTTAGAGATAAAAGAAATTTAGAGGTCAATTAAAGTATACAAAGTTTTAGTTACAGAAAATAAACAAATTCTGGAGATCCAAGTGTTTGTATAGTAACTAACCATTACTATATTACCACTAGTAATATTATACTGTACACTTGTAATTTGACAAACATGAAGATTTGAAATGTTCTTAGACAAACAAAAGAGGCAATGTGTGGTGCTACATATATTAATTAGTTTGATTGTAATAATTTTCAACATATTCAGATTTTATGCTAATTTTGAATTTAATTCTATGTGTGCAAAGAATATTCTTTACATAGTTTCAGATATTTTTAATTTATTTATTAAAAAGGATATGTATTCTGCAGTTTTTGGTGTGGCATTTTATAAATATTAATTTACTTAAGCCAGTATATATATTATTTCAAGTCTTACTTATATTTGCTGTTTTTCTGATTTCTTGTTAAATCAATTGCTCAGAGAAAACTGTAATTTTCAATTGTATCAAAACCAGCATACGAGTCATCTGTGACCACGTTTATAGCAGCTAACACACAATAGCAAAGATACGGAATCAACCCAGATGTCCATCAACTGAAGATTGCTTAGAGAAGTTGTGGTATAGTGGTGTCTCTGAGTTATCATTAAATGACCATCCACCATCCCTGGGTGCTGATGTAGTTTGACAAGGAGTGCCCCTCTCTCCAACTCCTCCCCTTGCCCTCCTGGCCGCAGATACAAAAGAAAAAGAAAAAGAAAAAGTGATACATTTATCACATGCATCTTCCTTCGCACCTTGAACCTTCCCACCTTAATCTGAGGCCCACATGTGCAAGTAACTTTCTCAACTATGTAAACAGTATTAAAATTAAGCAAAAAACTAAAAAAAAAAAAAGAAGTTGTGGTATATATGTATCACATACACACACACACATATATATATCATACATATGGAATAAATGTGGTAGGATATTACACAGTCACAAAAAATAATGAAATCTTGCCTTTTGCAACAAAATGGAAGCAAGTGGAGAACATTAAGCTTAGTGAAATATGGCAGTTGTAAAAGCACATATCATGTTTTCTCTGATTTGGGGTAACTCATATTTAGAATATAAAGACAAAATGTAGCCATGTCCCCAATGCTGAGGAACAGTGATTTGTCTCCCACTTACTGAATTCTTTATTTAGTGGCGAATTCAGCTTGTGAGTATAAAGTAAACTGCAAGTACCTCAATGCAAAAATAAAAGGAAGGAGGAAGAACAGAGGATTGTTCTAAGGGATTGAGAGATGGTAAAATAAGAAGTACCATTATTAAAGTGTTTATGAAATATGCGAAATTTATGCCCTGGATGTATGCATGTGTATAGAAAATAATGTATGTGTGTATATAATAGTTTCATGTACTGACCTCATCAATAAAAGGTATTAATACAACAGCTTCCCATTCCTGTTGTTTCCCATTTAGGTCTGTTTTAAAATCAGGTGGATAATATTCTATAATTGGTGAGTCTTCACTGGTCATCAAATGCTGTAAAAATAAAATTCCATAATAGGAATATGAGAATATCAATTTAACTTTTTGTTAACATACCTGAAGTATTTCCTCATGTGACTTTATAAATCTTTATATCTTAGAAATGTTATATTTTTAATATTTTTTGACCTTGAACTACAGGATTCATAATTTTAGTAATTCTCAAGTTACCTGTTTTCTGATTTAACTAGATAGCAAAATAATCTTTGCTCTGTTTTTCAATTTTTTAGTGTCTTTCATTTGACAAGACCCACCACATAAATTCTATTATTACACTTACACTTCATTGCAATTCATTCCAGAGGCTTCTAAGTCTCCTCCAGCTTTAACCTCAAATCAAAAACTTAGCTTTATATCCTAATGAATTGGTTCTGTAAAGTAATAAAACACTTATCATATGAATTAAAAAAAAAAACTCAAGAGTAAATGCATCATTTGTTAGGAAGAGAAACATTCTAAAATTTCTAAAATTGCACTTTACCAGAGATTATGTAACAGAGGCAGATAAAGAAAGGAGTAAAATGTCTTCTGGATACAAATTTATTTTAACAGATATTCATTTGAAAGGCAGAATTACAGAGAGAGATCTTTCATTCACTGGTTCATTCCCCAAATGGCTGCAGACAGCCAGGGTTGGGCACAGCAAATCCATCCAAGGTTTCCATGTGGGTGGCAGGGCCCAGGTACCTATGCCATCTTCTGCTGTCTTCCCAGGCACATAAGTAGGGAGCTGGATTCGAAGTGGAATGGTAGGGACCCTGAACTGGCACTCACATGAGATGTTAGTATTGTGCGCTGTGGCTTAATATCCTATGCTACAATGCTACCCCTATAACTTATTCTGAAAGAAACAAAACAGCATACTCTCAGGGTGATACACAAAATACTTAAAAGATGTGGCTGTGAAACACTTTCATGGTCATTGTCCAAAGCAGCTGAATGTAAGTATCTTAATGAAAGAAAGGAAAAAAGCATTCAAGAAAAAAACATAGAGAAGGCAGCCAGGAGGAGCCAGGATCAAGGATGGATTATTTTTAAGAAAAATGCAAGAGAACTGTAACACTGTTAAGTACAAAGTGAATGTATGTACATATATATTGAAATTTCTGGGACCATGGAATGGTAAGAACAGACTGAGGCGGGCATTTGGTCCAGTGGCTAACAATCTGCTTGGCAGGCTTTCACTTCCAGCTCTGACTTCAGTTTCAGCCTCTTGCTAACACACACTCTGGGAGACAGCAAGAAACAGCCCAAGGACCTGGGCTCCTGCCATTCATGTGGGACACTTAGACTCAGTGCCAGGCTCCTGGCTTTGGCCTGGTCCAATTGTGGTTGCTGGCATTTGAGGAGTGAACCAGCGCACGGGTGATCTCTCTCCATCTGTCTCTGTGTGTGCCTTTCAAATAAAAATCATTTTTTAAATATAAAGAATATATTAAAAAATATATATTGTTACCCTTTTCTTTAGTCAGTCTAGTATACTAGTATAACTTTATTGATCTTATTACCCTTATTAATAATCGTCCTCCTGATATATGAAACATATTACATTTAGACATGATATACTTAAATATGAAATATACATGAGATACGTTAACCATAGGAAACCGTTTCATTTCACATTTCTATAGATGAAATGTCTAAAACACGAACAACTCATATACTGAGGTAATACTTCTGCACATGACTCAACAGAAGTGCTGATATTCGTAAGAAGTAAACGGGAATGCAGTTTACACCAAGTAGATAGCTTAAAGTTTGTTTTAGTTTACTTTCTTCAGTGCTAAGAAAAATTAAAGATGTATTTTGACGGATCGAAAAATAAACTAAGTCTGAATAGGTTACCGAGTTTGTTTTTAAGAACAAACCTGACTTTAAACAGAGTAACTGCTTTTCAAGGTATATGCTCAAGAAGTACTATTTATTTTTAAATGAAAATAAATACACTTACCTGCTAACTTAATAAATAGCTAAATAAATAAAATTTATTTCCAGGTCTGAACAAAGAGTTATGAATCATCAAAAAGCACCTAAGACAGTTCTAAAACCTACCTGGTAGCATGCAGGAAGCAAATTTTTGCTAGCTGCTGGAAGCACAGCAAGAAGCTGTTCAAATGGCTTAAACGGTTTTCCTAGTTCAAAATGGATTTTGAGTGTACTGATATTTCGGATATCAGACAGGAAAGGTGCATAATGATAAGGATAATACCTATAAAACAAAATGAGTTTTAAACAGCTGGCAATACTAAGAAACAAGTCAATATTAAATATATATTTTCCATGTTTAATGTTTAAAATATAATTTTCAAGAAAAACAAAGCAATACCTCTAAAAATAAATATGAACATAAGAAACACTGTTAGAAAAATCAGATCATGTAATGGTAACAAACATTATAATTTCTTGATTTTCAAGATGTTGTTTTACATTTTACAATGGCATGTTATCAGATAATTAAAAGATCCACATAAGGCAATGGTCTTTTTATATCCCAAAATGCTGATTATGAATCTTGCTATCAATAGATTGGAACAGAAATAATGATTTACTCAAAAGTGTTTCAGTTTGATCACTTGGATCTGAACCCTCCATGGAAGGGGTTAAAACAGCTAACTATTCCTATAAAATCTCCATTTAGCTCATGAGGAAGAAAGAAGAGTATCTCTGAATCAATATGGTTACTACCAATCACCTCTAAGAACTTCACCTTTAAAAAAAAAAAGATTTATTTATTTTTATTGGAAAGTCAGATTCACAGAGAGGAGGCGAGATTCACTCCCCAAGTGACCACAATGGCTAGAGTTGAGCCAATCCGAAGCCAGGGTTCTGAAGCTTCTTCGGGGTCTCCCACACAGGTGGAGGGTCCCAAGGCTTTGGGCCATCCTTGACTGCTTTCCCAGGGCACAAGCAGGCAGCTGGATGGGAAGCAGGGCCACCGGGATTAGAACCGGTGCCCGTATGGGATCCTGGCACGTTCAAGTCAAGAACTTTAGCTGGTAGGCCACTGCGCCAGGCCCGAGCTTTCATCTTTGAATTAGTGTATAAGTTACTTAGTTCATAAGGATGCAATCATTTATCATTCATACAATAATTATCTTTAATACCTTCCCTTCCATTTAACCTTGTATTATCTAACTCTGAAGTATAAACATAAGAATTTTTTACAAAGCTTCAAGACAATTCACAAAATAAAACAATATTTTCGTAATGTCTGACTGAGGATACAAGAAAGGAAGGAAAGGAGAGATGGACAGACTTGTTTTATAATCTGTAACTATAAAACTATGGAAAGTATCTGAAAAGTACGGAAAAATTTGGTAGGCTGACTGGCATGTGAAGTAATGGAAAATGTACACAACTGAATTAAAAACACACCAGACTGCCAACTGTACAAACTTGGGAAATTATTTAAGCATTCTGAGCTTCAGTTTCTTTAACAGGAAAAAGGAAATGCTGAAGTATGCTTATTTTAGATAGTTAAGAAGATTGTAGGAGTGCATGTTTTCAAGTGCCTGGGCTTATTGGATGGATGCAACAGTAATAACTCTTTTTTTTTCAAACATAATGTGTAACTTACAATTTTTTCAAGCACAAAAAATGTAGGAAGAACATTTTCACCTAAACATAACACAGACTCAGCGATTACCAAGACTTTGCCACACTTAATTCATTTTCATAAAGAGTTTTACATTTTTAAAATTAACAAAGACCTTTTATTATGAGCTTCCTGGAAGCATGTTACTCAGACAAGTCTATTTAAGTATTTTAAGAAGAGATTATCTGTATTTCATTTAAACTTAGTGGCACAGTTAAAAAAAAACCCAGCATAAGTAGAACATAAGAAAAAGATATTCTTAGATGGAATTCTAGTAAAATGAAACATAAAGAAACAAACTATAATTTATGCAAATTCTCACCAGCTCCAGGACTGAACTCCATGATAGTAATAATGCAAAATCCATTGTATGGCCTGAACATAACATGCAGCCTGATCAGCCAGAAAGTCACTGAAAATATAAAGGAATACTTTTATTATCACATTATTTTTCAAGAGAGGCCAGTGTCTTTAAGGCACATCTGTTGATACCACAATTTAACTCATATGGTTTACTTAATCAACGAATTAGCTAGGATTGGTATCTAAACATTTTAATCAGAAAAACTCTTAAAACATTATTTTCAAAAATTCCACCCCATTATCTACAGGATTTATCTTACAGCTTTTCCCAGCAAGCCATTCAAATAGTTAATGTTTCTGTGCCTATTTACTCACTGAGTTTGGCTTAAAGTTTGAGGATTTAGCCAGTGAAGCTTTTGATAGAGTGGCACTAACAGTCTTTAATAGTGCAGATGGGTTGGAAGAACGGGATGTGCATCTTTATTCAGAAGATACCTGAGATTAGCATAGGAGCAAATCAAGAATATCTCAAAATACTCACTGCAGCAGCCAAAACACCTTTGAAAAGCGCTATTATCTGCCAACAGTATTCCCTTTACTCTCATTTCTTTCTTACAAGCCCAATGTCACAATCTAAGGTTTGGGTAAAAATACATCATCAAAGGAACAAAAGAACAAAAGACAAAAACAGCCTTAGACTAAAGCCAAAGCCACTTAGATATTTTCTAGCTCCTGACACAGGCATTTAGCCCAACAGGTAAGATGACCACCTCTCAAATTGGAGTACATGGGTTCAATACCCGGCTCCAGACTCCAGCTTCTTCCTAATGCAGACCCTAGGAGGCACACTGCACTCCTGCCACTTGCATGGGGAACTTAAATTGAGTTCCTGACTCCAGATTCACAATAGCTCAGTTCCAATTGTTGAGGGAAGTTTGGGGTTAAGTCAGCAAATGGGAGCTCTTTCTGTCTGTCTCCAATAAACAAATCATTTTTAAAAATAAAGAAATTTTTGGAGCTCCTACTAGTTTACGTGGCCAAGTGTGTGGTGGGTGGGACCAAGCTGGGATGCAACCCCCACTGGTTTGCATAGAAGAAATTGTTGGAGACAGAACAAGTGTGCGCACAAGCTGATTGGGGCGATGGACTGTGCTGGACCCTTTATCGGCAAGCACACACAAGAATCAGGTCTGGGAGCACCTCAGATGAGGGTTCTTTGGAGATCTCCCAACTGAACCGCTGGACTCAGAACTCCAACCATGGAGAAAATTGCAGGGTCCACAGTCCAACGTGAGGTGCTTAAGTCAGAGCTGGGTTTCCTCAGTGCCTTAGACAAACAGTGGACAGCATAGCCAGTTGCACATGGAGGTTACGACAGTACATTAGAACCTGTAGAGGATACCTGGTACCATTACAGAGGACAGAGGAAAGATCAAATTGATCAACTACCCCAGCCAAGTGTTAGCAGTGAAAATCTAGGCAAACAGACTAAGGTGGACCATGTCAGCCAGTAGATTCTGTAGAGATTTCATCGTGCTTGGAGACTGGCAGCAATTCAGAATTGCTGGGCTATCAACGACACTTAAGCATGCCCCATATCGGGGACCCTGGGATGGTCAGGAGGCAGGATGTGGCGTCTCCTTTTATCTCCTCCTTTCCCCCAGATACAGGAAGGAAAAAACAAAATGTAGAAACAATGTTTTTACCCACTTTTCTCAATCCCTTGACCGTTTGCATCCTAATCAAATATGTAAGCATAATCAAAAAATTAAAAAATCATAATTAAAAGAATAAAAAAGGAGAAATTCTGTATCTCTGGGAAGGCTGCTTGTGAACATGCAATTTACCATCTTATGAAAGAAATACTTTATAGCAATCACGAATGATTGCTTTGATCATTTTATAGTCCTTTTGTCATACTCATTTTGTTAAAGTAACAATCAGAGTATACTATATGGATGATTTTGTATCTGCCTTTAAAATTTGCTGTTAAATAAGCTGCTATAACTATCCTTCCAAATTGTTAAGACTTTCTGCAAGAAATCATTTTCTGCAGTTAGAGGACATAAGAAGTGAAAGAAATGATTAGTGACACTGAAGCAAAAGCTAATTATAACTAATCTTCTTACTAGATATTTTTTACTAAACAAGTTTAGAATAAATTGTGTATAAGAATTGTATTCAATGTGGCTATTTTTTTAATCATAGAAATAGAACAAATGTCAGACCTAAAGTCGTAGTTTCCGAAAGAATAGTTAAAAGCTGTACAACATTTTGTGAAACCAAACACTTTTTTCCCAGTATTTTATAAAAATAGTGGTCTTTAAAAAAGAAATACAAAACTTAATACTTCTACTTTAAATAAATAAAAGCATTTGGAAAAACATACTCAGACACTACATCAACTCCCATCTTCGTCATGTAATATGTTCTTTTATATTGTCTAAATTCGGTTTCAAATAGGTCATCATCTTCAGTCTCATCTTCTAAATGATCTGGGGGAAAAGACCAGAAACATGACTAGTAACTATGAATGCATTGGATTTCCACCTAATGCATATCAAACTTCCTGTTTAGATCCTGACATTATGGCTCAACTGGCTAATCCTTCTCTTGCAAGTGTCGGAATCCCATATGGACACCAGTTCATATTCCAGCTTCTCCTGCACCTGTGTGGGAGAACTAGAAGAAGCTCCTGGCTCCTGGCTTTAAATTGGATCAGCTCTGGCTGTTGTGGCCACCTTTGGAGTGAATCAGCAGACTGAAGTTCTTTTTCTTTGTATCTCCTTCTCTCTCTAAATCTGCCTTTCCAATAAAGACAAATAAATCTTAAAAAAAAAAAAAAAACCTGATGTTTACACACTATCATAAAAGCTGTCCATCACTGAATGATCACTTGTCAAAGTGATAACATAAAATACACAGTGTCTACTTACCCTTACAAGTTACTGCTTCGTTTTTGTCTAAAGCAGCCCAGCACAGAGAATTTTCTTGGCCCTGTGAATGTTACAAATGAACATAAAATGAATGACAAGACATTTCAAAGTGAGACATTAAACAGTGATTTGAAAAATACTAAAAACTGAAAAAAAATCCTTGAATTTCAAGTAACATAGTTTTAGCTATCTTTATTTTCTAAAACTGCATTTTTATTATGTAGAATTTAGCTTTCAGGACTTTGAAAGATACATAAGTAATTCTGAGAAGTATAAAAAATTTAATTACATGTCCTCCACCAAAAACATACTAGAAGAACAATTTAGTTAGAGAACAGTGTACAATCAATATAAAATCCTTTCATCATATGTCATTTTAAATATAGATGAAATTCAGGATTACTATTAATACAGTCTGCTAATACTTCAATTATATACATTGCCTATTTTCTGTATCTTCGAATCCTATCATTCTTAAGACACTTATTACCTATATCCCACTTCATTTGTCCTCCACATATATAACTTGCTTTTCCATAATTCTCCCAACATATCTTTCATATCCTGCCCATCTGTTTCTCCTCCTTGCAATCTCAATCCTTTATTTCCTGTCCTAATTGCAATCTATTGCCAGGAACTTTATTAGCTCTTCTAATTAACTTACTTCCATTTCTGCCTTTTTAAAAAAGTTTTTGAAATTTAAGCCTTTTAAGATTTAATTATTTATTTCAAAAGCAGAGTTACAAAGACAGAGTGAGGAAGAGATGTTTCATTTGATCATTTGCTACTAAAATGACTGCAACGGCCACAGCTGGGTTATGCTGAGGCCAGGAGCTAGGAACTTCCTTCAAGTTGTCCATGTAGCTGTAGGGAATCTCAAAACTTTGGTCATCTTTCGTGGCTTTTCCAGGCCTAATACAAAAATTTGGACTGGAAGTGGAGCAATCATATACATGCTCCACTGTCCATGTGTGATAGCCATTTCCACATGCGACAGCCTCACCATGCCACACCAGTGTCAGCTCCCTACTGTCCTCTCAAGGTCCCCTTTTTCTTTTTCTTTTTCTTCCAGCCCAGAGCCTCTGTTAACTCCCAGCCCTTGGGCCACTCCAACAGTATTGCTAATGTTAACAGCATGGGCCTGGAAGGCTGATGAAGGCTGCTGACTGAGGGGAGGGAACCATGGATTATTGAGATCTAAGTGTTGTGCATTCATACTACCAAAATGTTGCAGTCTTTTTTCTTAACAGGAATCAAACAGTAGAGTGTTGCCTGGCTGCTGCTTAATGAAGCATTGGATACAGAACTCACTATAAGATGACCCCAGATGTCTCGTGTCTACTTTCATTTTAGTATTTAGCTGTTCATAGTGTTGAAGCATGATTTTGCTGAACTTGGTTATTTTTAGGAGGGTCTGAACTGGCTTATAACTCTAGCAAGTCGTGTCATCAGTTTAGGTACAGAACTTTTTTTTTTTAGGAGGGGGGTGCAGAGAAATCCCCAATACACCAGTGAGGCGTAACTAATCTTTGTGTCCCACCTAGTAAGCTATGAGTGAATCCACGCTGACCATTTCCTGTCTGATTTTAAGCTTTCCTTGTTGTTGTCTGTCCATTCTAGATTTTTCGTTTGTTTGTATGTTTGTTTGTTTGTTTTGAGGGGTTTCTGGAGTGATCCTAATGGTCATTGCGAGAGAGGGTGGGGACCCAGAGCCGAATCTATAGCCATTTTGAGGTGTATAGAACCTGGTTGAATATAAACCAAAATTGAAATGTCTATGAAGAAGTCATAGGATGTAGTTACAAACCTGCATTTTCCTATCAACATATTGGTTAATCAATACCATGTCAATTAATGCCATAATGTTGTAAATTGTTGTTGATGTTATTTTGGGGCTTTTAATTGATTGTGATGATATTTTGCTGGCTTTACCTTCAGACCAGAGATGGTCTCACCAAGAAATCGTTGAACTCAGTAGGATAATAAGATGCTGGACTTTATGCTTGGTAAATACTTCCAATGAAAGAACCTCAACTGAATTTGAACTGTGGTAATGCAACAAGGTGGAGAAATCCACCATGGGGAGAGAGTTGGGGAGGGGTGGGTGGAATCCCAGTGCCTATAACACTGTGACACATAATGCAATACAATTAATAAAAAAAAAAAAAAAAGATGACCCCAGAGAAAATTAGGATAGTTTCCCTTCCTGGATTAAAGAGCTGCTAGTATTAAATGTAAACAGAACAATACAGCAAAGGACAGTTCAGGAAACTCATAAAAATTCCATTAAGTGGGGCCAGTGTTGTGACGTAGGTTAACCTACTGTGTCAGTGTGGGCATGCCATGTGGATGCTGGTGCAAGTCCTGACTGATCTACTTGTGATCCTGCTCCCTGTCAATGCACCTGGGAAAGCAGTAGAAAATGGTTCAAGTGCCTGGACTCTTGTACCCACGTGGGAGACCAGGAGTATTCCACGCAACTTAGCTGTTGCGGCTATTTTAGAAGTAAAACAAGAGATCACTGTTTCACTATACCCCTGCCTTTCAAACAAATAAATAAATCCTTAAAATTTTTTCCTAATTATGAACAGGCCGAGAAAAATTTTAGAAGAGGCTTATTCCTCAATCTAAAACAAGTAAGACATTTTTAAACTTAATTGAGATGTTTGCTAGGGTACCAGTATATTCTAACTGATTATTTGATTCCATCATAAACATATAATATTTACCAAATATTCCATTATCAATAACTTTTAACCTAAGAATATCTGTGTTTTATGATTTCACTTCTAGAGAAAAATAACTAATGTAATACCTCATAATATTTAATGTTATACAGATGCTATTAAGAACCTGGTCTACTGGGCCCCGGCATGGTGGCCTAGCAACTAACGTCCTCACCTTGAACATGCCAGGATCCCATATAGACACCAATTCTAATCCCGATGGCCCCACTTCTCATCCAGCTCCCTGCTTGTAGCCTGGGAAAGTAGTTGAGTATGGCCCAAAGCCTTGGGACCCTGCACCCACATGGGAGACCTGGAAGAAGTTCCTGGATCCTGGCTTCGGATTGGTGCAGCACCGGCCTTTGTGGTCACTTGGGGAGTAAATCTGGGGTTGGAAGATCTTCCTCTCTGTCTCTTCTCTCTGTATATCTCACTTTGTGATAAAAATAAAAACTAAAACAATCTTAAAAAAAAAAAAGAAAGAAACTGGTCTACTATTTTTAAATTCATTTATTTCTATTGAAAAGTCAGGTATATAAAGATGAGCAGAGACAGAGAGGAAGATCTTCTGTCTAATGATTCACTCCCCAAGTGGCCGCAATGGCTGGAGCTGAGTCGATCTGACGCCAGGAGCCCGGAGTCTCTTCTGTGTCTCCCACACTGGTGCAGGGTCCAAGACTTTGGGCCAATTTTGACTGCTTTCCAGGCCACAGTCAGGGAGCTGAATGGGAAGTGAGGCTGCCTGGATTAGAACCGGTACCCATATGGGATCCCAGAGCATTCAAGACAAGGACTAACCCACTTTCAGGCTACCCCACTGAGCCCACTACATTAAAATAATATCTTTCAAATGATTGTTTTTTTGAAGATAACTAATTTTGGGGGTTCTTATCTTTAGGCATATTTTTAACACATACTAGAAGAGCAAAGAACACCCAATGTTCTCTGCCTTCAAGGGTAAAACTAAACTGATTTTTAACAATCAGATTAAAGTGGTCAAATCTAACTAAGAAAAGGAAACCAAAACAAGTTTCTAAATGCTTGTGAATACAAAGGGAAGGAAAGCAAAGTGGAATGTGGCAACCCTATCATTTTAAGAAGGAAAATAAACAAGGAATATTAGTTCTTTCTATTTTTACAGCTGGAAAAAAAATGAAAGGACACATAAGAAAATGAATACCTTTAATTTTTTCTTTTCCTTAAAGTTCTTGGCTTCTTCTGCTGCAATACCTGCTGCTTCATTGAGGTACTTGTTACCAACTTTGCTTTCAAACCATTTTAGGTCCACAAAAACTTCACTGAAGTGCTCCCGATCAAACTGTACAGAAACATTCGCAAACTTTAGTGACCCCGAATAGGACAAAATAATTTAGAAAAGTGTATTTTATACTACATATGGGGACTTCATCTTTTAATTCAGAAAATTGAAAATGAAAAAAATATTTATATAGAAAAATCAATTGGAATAGAATTTTAAAGCCCTTTCTTCTGGCATTACATAATTGGTTACTGATTACTGAGAGCTACCTGGGACAGGGAAGCAACTTTTCATTACTTACATCTGATAATTTCACAAGGTATTTTTCAAATCGAGGTAAGTTGAGATGCCCACTTTCATTAATATAACCTGAAACAAATAAGATCCAAACTTGCACTGAAAGCTGACATTATTTTTTCTAAACAATTTCATAAAATGTTAAATTGTTAACATTTACTAATCAAGAAAAACATGCAGTGTTTGACTAAAACTAGTTCTAGTGTTTATGAACTTTGTTATCAAAACATACAAATGTTAAGAAAACCCAGGTTCTCACAGGCAAAATGTAAGGAATTTCAGGTTCTTATAATAAGGTTCTTCTTACAATAGTAATTTGACCAAATTTCCAACATTTGGTATGCTTAATAAAATTAAAAATTGTGTCTAGATTATTCAATTGCAATGTTAACTTAAGGGCTAATTTCCTGTTACCCTGTTTTTTTTTTTTTTTTGTCAGCATACCACTATCAATTTTCTGCTTTAGCTGAAAAAGTATTCTTTATATTAAATACTCTGAAACATGTAAATCGACTCAGAAAAATCCTGATTTTCTACCCTTACATATAAAAAAAGATTCAATAAAATCAAGTTCTGCCTTTTTAAGGACTTGGAAGACAAGACTGGCTAGATAACAGTCAGTGAGGTTGCTTAATTTTGCTCATTTTTTTTCCTTTATAAATCAAGTTGACCATCTCAGTGTCTGGCATCTTACACCAAAAGAAACCCCCAATGTTTTCCTACTCAAATTGTGTGTACAACGACCTAAAAAAATGAAGACGTATGTTTGGGTGGGGGCTAGATCTGTTCTAAATTAACATAAAGTCAAATGAATAATGAGGTTTTCTTACCCCCAAGTTCTGGCAAGATGGTAATATATGTTCCATAAAGAAGAGGCAGTGCATCATGATTAATATGTAAATGAGGTAGATGAGGAATAAAATCATTTCCAACAAGAAATCCCATCAAAATCCAATCATCTATAATTCTTTCAATATCATATTTAAAAGTGATCTTTTTCTATGGTGAAATAGAGAACATAGTTAAATGCCATAGATATTGCTGTAGACAAATCCTTGGTTAGTAGACTTATTAATACTTACTTTTAATGCTGAAAATTCATAGTCAATATATTCTCTCATTAAAGACAAGTGTAGGAGGTGAAACGTGGTTTCCTCTGGTGCACACACCCTGAAATTAGATTCAGGATACAATGAGTTTTATTTTCAAGCCCAAGATAAAAAATGTAGCAGAACTTAAATCAGAATTATCAACAGAAGATCATAAAATTTTATACTTAAGTCATGTAACTTATGTGAAAGCTACAGGAAAATCTAAAGTTAAAAATACAATTACATTTATACTAGACAAGAATATTTCAAAGTTCAAATAATTGCTTCACGTTACCTTTGCTATGGGATGATTATCAGAATTAAGAAGGCCAAAGTAAGAAATCAGCTGTATCTGGGCCATTTACTGCTAGCTATGAGCAGAAGGTACATAAGTAAGTATATTCTCTGATATCTACTGCAATACAATGGCGAGGCAATATCACTTCTCCTCTTTATCTTTCCCCAGAATAGAAGAGTTCTAGAATCCAAGCTGGTGGCCTATACTCCGAGTTTAACTTAAGAGTTAAAGAACAATAGCATGCTGCACAAATTATATACTACAAACAAGAGGCTTTTATGCCAGGAATACAACATAAGAAAACTTTAACACAAGAAAAATCAATGTAACATCAGTCATTAAAAGAATGAAAAGGAAGAAAACCCCAGGATATCATTTTGGAGAAGAGGCATTTGACAAAATTCAACATTCTTTCAAAATAAAAATACTCAGCAAACTAGGTATACTAAAGGGCACCTACGAAGATCTATTGCTAACAACACACTCATCAATGAAAGACTAAACCTTTCCTCTTAGTGTCAGGAATAAGACAAGTGTGCCCTCTTTACCACAGCAACGGCACTATTCTGGAAATCCGAGTCAGAGAAAGTAGGCAAGAGAAGAAACAAAACACGCTGAAAGTGGAAAGGGTACAACCATCTTCACTTATGGATGACCTGAGTCTATGTACCCTGAGTTCTATAGAATCAGAGAAAAAATACTTAGAGCTAAAAAAAAAAAATTAAGCATAGATGGAGGGTACAAGTAAACATGTGAAAATAATGCTTCCTTAGATTTCCTAAGAACAATTTTTAAAATTAAGAAAATACCCCATTTATAATAATATCTAAAAGAATATGATACTCAAGAATAAACCTGACCAAGGAGCTAAGACTTATGCAATGAAAATCACGGGGAAAAAATTGCCTAAAGGATCCACAGGGTCGATAAAACCCCTATTCAAAACTCAATGATGCTTTTTCACAACAGAAAAGTTCATTCTAAATTCTGCATAGAATTCCAGGACACCCTGAACAGCCAAACAGTCTTTAAAAAGAAGAACAAGCTAGAGGTTTCTTTTTGATTTTCAAACTTACTAGAGTAGCCAGTGTTGTGACTTGGTAGGTGAAACCACTGCCTACAATTGTGGCATCCCACATATCAGTTGCCTGCTCATGTCCTGGGAAAAGCAGTGAAAGATGGACCAAGTGTTTGTGTACGCCCCTCCCCGCTCTTGCCCCATCTAAAGCAGACACTGGGATGAAGCTCCTGGCTTTGGCCTGGTCCAGAGGTGATCCTTGTAGATATCTGAGAAATGAACCATTGTCTGATATATCTCTGTCTTCCCCTCTTTCACAGTAACTCTGACTTTCAAAAGTAAATAAATCTATAAAAAAAAAAACAGAAACAAAAAACCAAACCTTTCTATAAAAAACTAACCAATAGCATAATTACAGACACATACATTACTGGAAAAAAACAGAGAGCCCATAAACAAAGCTTTGCATATATGATTACCATTTTCAAGAAGGCTACATAGACATTAAATGGGGGGAAACACAGCATTTTCACTACTGGTGCTGGGAAAATCAACTCTCAACTACAAAAGTGCAAATAAGTTTAAGGGGCCAGAGTTGTGGTACACTAGATTAAATCATTGCCAGCAATGCTAGCATCCACTATGCGTGCCAGTGCATCCCCCAGTTGTTCTGCTTGTAATTCAACTTCCTTCCCAGGAGCCTGGGAAGACAGCAGAAAACTACCCAAGTACTTGGGCCTCTACTACAGACATTGGAAGACCAAGAAGGAATTATTGGTTCTGGGCTTTGGCCTGGCCCACCTCTGGCTACTGCAGTCATTTGGGGAATAAACCAGGTAATAAAAGACAAAGAATGAAGTTGAACCCTTACTTTATATCATGCTATACAAAAATTAACTCAAAATGATCAAATGTCTAAATGTAAAAGTAAAAAATGTAAAACAAATAAAACAGAAAAAAATGCCTATGACACTGAATTTCACATGACTTCTAGGGTATGTCACTAAATGCACAGCTAACAAAAGAAAAAGATAAATTGGAAACATCAAAATAAAACATGTGAACATCAAATGACAGAATTAATAGAGTAAATTGGCAACACATGGAATAAAGGAAAAAAATCTGAAGATCAAATATCTGCAAAGGGATTACCATTTAGACTTTGTTCCTATTCTTTCTTCCTATATACTATAGTATTTACCTTTGTGTTTTTTTGCCACCAAATCGAACTTCTTCTCTTAACAGAGAAAAATGTGCTTCATGACTTGTTAATCCAAGCATAATCTGTTAAAAAATAATGAAAAAATGTTTTTACTCTTTCATTTTTGTATGCCAGGTTCACAAAATCAATCAAATAAAAAACATTTACATAGGGGCAACAATAAACATTTACTTACTAACTATACGAATATCAATAACTTTGTACCCTTCCTACTCTCCAAATTCCAAACTCCTTGGTTTCCGCTTACTTCTACTGAGGGGTAGGAAAGAGATGAGGGATAAATGAGAAATTAGAGGGAGGGGCCAGTGTTGATATAGTGGTTATAGCTGCTACCTGTGACACCAGCATTCCATATGTGCACTGGTTTAAATCCTGGATGCTCCACTTTCAATGCAGCTTCTCACCGATGTGCCTTAGGAAAGCAGTATAAGATGGCCCCTGTACCTACATCAGAAACCAGGAAAAAGCTCCTGGCTCCTGGCTTTGAATTGGCTTAGCCCTAGCCATTACAGACACCTGGGGAGTTAATTAGTAGAGGGAAGATAACTGTCTCCCTCTCTGTAACTTTCAAATAAATAATCTTGAAAACAAAAACAGGGTGGGGAGTGGCATGATAGCCTAGCAACTAAAGTCCTTGCCTTGAACATGCCAGGATCCCATATGGACACCAGCTCTAATCCCGATGGCCCCACTTCCCATCCAGCTCCCTGCTTGTGGCCTGGGAAAGCAGTCGAGGATGGCCCAAAGCCTTGGGACCCTACACACACATGGGAGACCTGGAGGAAGTTCCTGGTTCCTGGCTTCGGATTGGCGCAGCACTGGCCTTTGTGGTCATTTGGGGAGTGAGTCATCAGACGGAAGATCTTCCTCTCTGTCTTTTCTCTCTGTATATCTCACTTTGTCATAAAAATAAATAAATCTTTAGAAAAAAAAAAAAGGAAGAAAGAAAAAAAAAGAAAGAAAAGAAAGAGGAATGAATGAATGAAGGAACAAATTACAGAAGTAATTTATCCATGATAAAAAGAATATGGAAGGGGCTGGGGTGGGGCAGGCATTTGGTGCAACTTAGATGCTCATGTTCCACAATGGAGTCCTTGGCTTTGATGTCTGGCTATAGGTCTGATTCTAGCCTCCTGGTAACATATATCCCAACAGACAGAGGTAATCCTCAGGAAGCTGGGTTCCTATAAGGGAACCTTCATAAAAATGCAAAACATAGGTAAACATGTATGTATGCATGTATATATATATATTTATATTCTCACAGATGAACCGTGGAATGGAGACTAGCATACTAAGAAGTAATCATTCATTGCAGAATGCATCTCTACTCCCAAATAAAAGGAGGCCTCCCAATGAAGATATTAAATATATCCTGACAACAGAATACTAGACTTTTTACCATTGTCTACATCTACAAGGTTATGATGCACTTAAAAATAGAATGTTGGATTTGTGACTGTTGTTGAATACTATACTATGGTAATAATATGGGAAAATCATGAGGGTGTGGATAGAGGAATGGAAGGGGATTCACTCTGTCTATGGAACCGAATCGGAAAAAAAGAAGCTGGGTTCCTGTCTTCTGCAATGGGAGACAAGGATTTAGTTCCTGGTTACAGCTTTTGCTCAGCCTTTGTGGGCTCTTTGAGGGTGAGCTGGCAGAAAGGAGCTAACTATGGCCTTGACTATCTCTAAAATAATAAACTAAAACAAAACCTAAAACAGAAGTAGCATTCTCTTGGAGGCCAAGATAACTTCTGATGGAGTCAAACTCCAAAAAAAATGAAAAAGGGCACTTTCAGTTAATTTCCTTACATAGTATTCCAATTCTCAAAGTAAGTTCTAAGTGTAATGAGACATGTTAACCAATTACAATGCCAACTGCTTACTTTATTTCAATACTATTTATTTATTTATTTCAATACTATTTCAAAACATCTGAGGCAACCAGGAAAATAAGAATATTAACTGGTTATATAAATATGTCAAGTACTCTTTTTTGTTTTATGTAGGATGATATTATATGGATATAATATTTTATTTTGATTGGAAAGTCAGATTTACAGAGAGGAGAGACAGAAATATCTTCCATCCCCAAGCACCCTCAATGGCTGGTGCTGAGCCAATCCAAAGCCTCCTGCAGGCCTTTTCCTGGTCTCCCACATGGGTGCAGAGTCCCAAGGTTTTGGGCCATCCTCCCCTTCTTTCCCAGGACACAAGTAGGGAGCTAAAAGGCAAGTGGAGCAGCCAAGACATGAAGCGGCACACGCAAAGTGAGCAATTTAGCCACAGGCTACCTTGCTGGGCCACGGCTATATTTTTTTTTTTTTTAAATCTCTTTTCCTTTAGAGCAACAGTCTAACAGATGACTAGATTAGGTGATAAAAGTTTGAGATTTGCTTTAATAAGTAAAGGAGGCAGGAAATGGAGGAGACAGAGGGTTAGTGATGGGAGATAAAACTTAACATTTAAGGTAGAAGAAGGCCATAAGAAGTTTCCTATCTCGTCTATTTTTGTATATGCCTGAAAATTTCCCTAATGAAAAGTTAAAACGACGAAGTCCAGCAGAGACGTTTTGGGCACAGAGTTATCGGATTAGGGAGCAGTAACAATCTTGCAGGAAGCCTGAAAGTAAACACTACCTTTTCTTACCTTGACAGAGTCAGATCTACAGATTAATTAAATGACAAAAAAGTTCAACTGTCTAATTGTTTCAGAATTTTTAGTAATTGCAGAAACAGCAATTCGGATATCCCAAGTATTTGTTGTCATGGCCTGTAAAACTCCTGCACAACACTCAGTTTTTAAGGTACTGAGCTATAGAAGCATAAGGTAATAGTAACAGTAAACATTATACCTACCAAGTCAGCATCTAAACCATAGAGACAATGTCTGGTGTTTGGATCATGATCTGGCTTTGCTTTCTCGGATCTGATAAATTCCATGATTTTATGTTCTCCTTCTCCGGGAGTCTAAATATAATATTTAAAAAGAAGTGGTAGTATGTTATGACTTACAATATTAAACACATTCTTTAAAAAAACTCTTTAAATAAAAAAATTACCTCATGGCCTGAGAAGTAGATAGTAACTCCTTGCCATGACTTGTCTGTGGAAATTTTCATATTTACAAAATACTTCAGATGTTCATGTAACCTGGCCATGAATTCAGTTCCTGCAAATAAAAAGTTTCAAAGAGGTTAATCTGAGAAAGACATAACAGTAATGAGTTAGAGAGAACATTTAATGAGCTCTAGGTATCCAGGAAATAGGTGGGGGATATGACCCGCAAAGATCAGCAGCTCTTTTGCTTCTCAGCGAATGTTGTACATGCTTTTTCTAAAATCACTGGTAACCCTAAATGAAATCAAAGGAAGTCAAGAAATTTTATTGCTCTTCTAGTACTGAGCTTTCTTAGTACTTTCACTTAAGTTTTAATTCTTAATAAACCCGAAGCTTCTACTTTTAAAGTTTTCTTTTTAAAAATTTTTACTGGGAAGGCAGATTTACAGAGGGGAGAGAGAGAAAGAGCTTCCATCAGCTGGTTCACTTCCCAAATGGCCACAATAGTTGGAGTGGTGCTGAGCTGATTTGAAGCCAGAAGCCAGGAGTTTATTCCTGGTCTCCCACGCAAGTGCAGGATTCCTTGGCTTTGACCATCCTCTACTGCTTTCCCAGGCAACAAACAGGGAGCTAGATGGGAAGTGGAGCGGTTGGGATATGAACCAGCACCCATACTGGATCCCAGCACTTGCAAGGGATAGGATTAGTCAACTGAGCTATTGTGCCAGACTCAGGTTTTTATTTAAAGGCATAATACTTAAATCAGTTTGTGACACCAATTATACTACTAGTAATGTGAAAAATTATTAACTTGGAGGCATAAGTATTACAGTGAAGTATGTTATGTAACCACCTGTGACGCTAGCATTCCGTTCTTATGAGTGCTGACAACAGTCCTGACTGCTCCCCTTTGATCTAGCTCCCTGCTGATGTGCCTGGGAAAACAATGGAAGATGGCCCAATCGCTTGGGTCTCTGCTACCCAAGTGGCACACCTGGATGCAGTACAGGCTCTTGGTTTTAGCTTGGCCAATCTCAGCTGTTGCGGCCATTTTAGGAGTGAACCTGTGGAAGAAAAATTTGTCCCTCCCTCTTTATAACTCTATTTAAAAATAGGTAAGCAAAACTTTAAAATAATAATTAACTTAGAAACTTGGTTTAGAAAAAGTATGTGGTAAGAAAAGTCCAGATAGTCAATAGCCAAAGGCGGTATTTTTAAATCACAATTGGCAAATAGCCAATTTTTAAATTGAGTATGTGCTTCTAGGGAACTTAATGAAAGAGAATATGCCATTGTTAGTAAGGAATTCATGAGAAAGTGAGGTTAAGAGGTTTACTCAACAGAATCATAACGTTACCCAGTGCTCCTGGAAGTACTGAATATGCCTCTCTATATAAAATTGTAATACAGACAATTTCATTTCCCTAAAAGTCACAAAAATCTTTGTCTTTGAAAAGTAAGTGCTTTGATCTAAGAGAATAGGTTTCTCATGCTGTACAACAGCAACTAGTCACATAGACTTGAGCAAAAGCCTCACCAAACCTCTTTTTGTACTAACAAATCACAGGAATAGGCTGACGGAAATGAGAAGTTGTTTCTAGCTCTGAAATTCTGTGAATCTACCATAGTTTTGTTTTTATTTACTCTGATCAACATCTGCAAATCTCTACAGTGGGTCCTTACAGAAGCATTTATGATTAAGGTGATAAAACCATCTCATGAGCACAAACAAGTGGGAAACAGCAAATGGAACCCTAAAGCCAAAACAAATTCAAAAAGATAAAAATATTTTTTGATTTTTCAGTTTACATTTCAGTTCTTTCAGAACTCTTTTTCAGTGAATTTACCTGGTGTAATACAGTTGGAATCAAATCTGGCCTCTGTGGGAAGAGTTTCCCCCTTTTCGAGTGCCTTTTTAATTTTCTCTTCGGCTTCTTTTGCTGACCTTAAAAGTTAAAGAAAAAAAATGCCTTAAACTTTCTGAAAAAAGTAAGGACCATCACACAAATTATTATTGCATTTGTAACTCACATACTGACCTACCAATTTTAATGTTCAAAATAAACAACTTTTGAATAATTGCAATTGATGCAGATGAGTCTTATTTACACGCATAATTGATCTTACAAATATATAGTGGGTTCATTATGTAAACAAAACCAAAAGTACCACACAGCTTTAAGCATTCATTGATTATACACATACATTTTTGATAATACCCTCTACTTACCATGCATAATAAAGAACTTTAAGTGATCTCTAGGATACTATATTAAAATAGTTTATATCTTTTTCTTGCCTCCTAAAGATACTAACGATGAAAGCCTAATAACATTAATGACATCCCTTGACCAAATTATCTCATTAAAAAGAAATTTTAGTTGAGAGACACAGCATCTGCGGGTTCATTCTTCAAACGATTGCAATAGCCAGAGCTGGCCAAGGTTGAAGTTGAGCCTGGAACTCTACCTGGGACTCCTATATTAAAAATTAATCTATTTGTATGTGGGGTGAAGATGTAGAATTCCAAGTCCTTCTTGACGTTTTAGGTTAAGCAGCTAGGTAGGTGGTTTTGCTATTCACTCAGACAGGAAACACAAAATGGTTCTAAGGGGATGATAACTTCAGTTACAAACATATTAAGCCTGATGTGTGTCTGGGACATTGGAAGAGAAATATTCATCAGGCATTTGGGTATAATAGGAACCTAGGAGAGAGTTATAATAAATTTAGGAGTTCTCAGCATAGACCTAATTGATCAAAGCCATGGAGTGACACATCACTCAGAGTTCAGGTCAAAACTTTAAGAAACATTACCTTCTTCTAAAAAGCAGAGATGGAAAAGAAGGTGACAAGGGGAGAAAAAAGGTGCACTCAAATTGAAAATGTAGTTACATGAGGTCAAGAAAAAAATTCAAGAAAGAATGGCTACATTGTTAGATACTATAGATAATCACGGAGAAAGAACTATCCCTTGAATTTAGTTATAATTTTGTATTCTCTTACGATTTTAGTGACATGGTGGAATGAGAAATAAGAGAATAAAAAATATGACTGGAGAAAGCAGTCATTGTGGAGAATGATAGAAGACAATTTAGAGATTTCTGGAATACATAGGATTTCAGGGTAGCTTAGTATTTATTAAGGGCTTGAGGTGGGTATGGTCTTAACATCTGATATACTCCATTGCTTCAGGTTTCCTTCTGAACCTGGAGGTTGGAAAGTTGAAAATATTAAACTCTCAAGCTTCCCTGTAGCTAGGTTTCTAGCTATGACTCAGATTTTTGTATCAATCAGATGCAGTCATAAAAGCTTTGGGAGTTCTGAAGTACGGTGATGCCTGATACACTGGGGCTGAGGGGTATGTTACTTCTGCATGGTAAAGGAGATCCCAGTAGTCAGTAACTTCATAGCTACTGGAAAGCAAGTATTGCATTTCCTTTTGGCCTTTTGTTCACTGAAAGTGAAACTTGCCTGATGCAGTAGATTTAAATAATCTTCCCTAACTAGATTTCAGTAGATACCAATATTTAGCTTAACAAAGGCCACCAGAAGTCGCATAACTTCTAGAGATTCAGATTAAATAAGTTGTGGGTAGTATCTGAGAATCTAAATTTTACTAAAAGAAAGCTTCTGCCTCTATCTCACAGTCCCTCCAATATTTAAACCAACATTTTTTTTCACTATTGTCTCACAGTTCTCACTAGCAGCCTTCTCTAAGGCAGTTGCCACATTCTTTTGATAATTTCCATACATGATGCAAGACTGTTCTTTCTATTCCCTTACCTGCCATTATAATTCCAGGGTTCATTAAAAACTAGTGCTCCAGGAGAAGCAAGATGGTGGAATATGGTAAGGACACATTTAAACAGACAGAAACATTAGCCAGTGTGAAGCAGTGAGACACATTTCAGGAAATAGGAGAGACAGAATGAAAGCAGAGGGGCACCTGAAGACTGACAGACATGGGAAAGCAGTGGACACAATGGTGTGGTGTTGCAGTGACTGATAACCCAGCAGCTTCAGTGATCTAAACTGCACCAACAGCTGGAACTCCACCATAAACAAGGTGGGAAGGGACATTCACTGGGAACTCAGGCAGTGAACCTGCTGGACTGTTTGATTTGACCAAGAGCAGAGACAGACCAGTAGGTCCCAGATCGGCAGGTCCCAGACTGGCAGTGTAGGAACAGGTGGATGTGACAGCCCATCTGCCTCCTAGAGCTGAATCGGATGCCATTTTGTGTAGGGAAACACCGGCTATGGGTCAGGACTGCACATACACTGAGCTGGGAGTGAACTCATTTCTGGCTCAGTGAACAGCAACAATATGGCACAGCACAGGTTCCACACAAAATAGGTCCTGACAGCCAGTAGATCAAGAATTCTAGCAGTGGCACATCAGGCACCATCTTGTACAGTGAGGCAAAAGATGTAAGACTGCAGGAACAATGGCGCATGCGCTGAACTGGGAGTGAAATCATGGAACTCAAGTGTGTTGCACTGGTCCCACAGGGAAACAATACTGACTTTGGCATTGTACGGGCCAAAACAGATGGGTCAAAATAGGTCTGTGTAGCTCCCAGACCTAACAGCCACAGGTTCTGGCAAGATCAGCATCACCAACAACTTAGCTATATAGGATTCTCGGTGTCTCCCTAATCCTGGGAGCTGCTCCAACCAGATGTGGCAGAAAGGTTGTAGAGATAATGGTGCCACATCCACCTGGTATCACAGGACTTGGAGAGTGGTGAACCAGGAACTGGGGCTACAAAGACCATGGTGGAAGTCTAACATAAGAACCCAGACCTGGAACATGCTAGAGTGAGTAGCACAACTGACTGTAAATAAAGAGCCGTGTACCAACTGCAATAAGCAAAATAGAATTGTAGACTTGTAGGTGACAAAGCTTAGGAATCTAGGAGAAGAATCTAATAACCAGAAGTACAATGACCAAGAGCAAAAGAGACAGTGGCACAATGAATATTACTGAAGACTCCCCTGCAAAGGAGCAAAACCCTTTGCCAACCTCAGAGTTAAATGAGGAAGACATTGAGGAAATGGGGGATACAGAATTCAAAACACTTGTTATAAAGCTTCTTATCAACAATGAGAAGGCATTCAAGGAATTTAAGGAATCTGTTACACAGCAATTAATAGCAGTGGATTCCTTTGATTAAAGGAAAGCTGATATATCAGAAATGAAGAATACAGTGGGGCAAAGTAAAAGTACAGTGGAGAGTCTCCAAAACAGAATGAAGCAAGCAGAACAAAGATTCTCAGAATTACAAGATATTTTCTGTCACCAGGGAAAAACAAACAAAAAGCTGGAAGCAGAGCTGGGTCAAGCCAAAAAAAGTATTCAGGAATTGAAAGACACTATTAAAAGGCCAAATATAAGAGTTATGGGAGTCCCAGAAGGTGCAAAAAGAGAAACTTGGATTAAAGGTGTATTCAATGAAATAATAAGGGAAATTTTCCCTAAGTAGAGAAAGAATTGGGAAACATCCAGGAGGGGCACAGAACGCCCAACAGGCTTGACTAAAACGATCTTCACCATGATACATGGTGATCAAACTCTATTCAATTGAACATAAGGAAAAGATCCTTAAATGAGCACATGAACAAAATCAACTGACATATAAAGGATTGCCAATTAAATTCACAGGAGACTTCTCACAGGAAACTTTATAGGCCAGAAGAGAATGGAGTGACATATCCCAGATTCTAAAAGGAAAAAATTGTCGGCTCAGGATAACACACAATATTTCTTTGTCTTTGAAAATGAAATAAAATTCTTCCACAGTAAAGAAAAGGTAAAATAATATGCTTTGGGTCTGGTGTGGTGGCCTAGTGGCTAATGTCCTCGCCTTGCACTTGCTAGGATCCTATATGAGTGCCTGTTCTAATCCCAGCAGCCCTGCTTCCCATCCAGCTCCCTGCTTGTGGCCTCGGAAGACAGTCGAGGACGGCCCAAAGCATTGGGATCCTGCACCCCCATGGGAGACCTGGAAGAAGCTCCGGACTCCTGACATCGTATCAGAGCAGTGCTGCCTGTTTTACAGTCACTTGGGGCATGAATCATCAGACGGAAGATCTTTGTTCTGTCTCTCCTCCTTTCTGTATATCTGATTTTGTAATAAAAATAAAATAAATCTTTAAGAAATAATATGCCTCTTCCAAATCTGCCCTACAATAAAGATGTTCTTTTGACAAAGAGATATAGCACCCACCAAAATCAAAGGCTAATGTGAAGAACATTCCAGTGAAATAACAGAAGGCTAAATCAATGAACAATCCATTGCTAAAAGGACAAGACCAAATTACCACCCATTCATATCAACCCTGAATGTAAATGGATTACGCTCATCAATCAAATGTCACAGATTAGCAGACTAGATTAGAAAACCAAAACCCATCTATTTGTTGCCTACAGGAGACACATCTCACCAACAAAGAAAATATCTCATGGATTTTGATTTTTTGTTTTGTAGTTTCATCTCTTCAAAAGTGTTTCTCATTAAATTTTTCACTGAATCATAGATCATTCTGTAGCATTATTTTCTTGAAGAAGGTTTTTGATTTTCTTTTGATGGTCCCTGATTTCTTGAGTGACATATAGGTCATTCAGTAGCATGTTATTTAACTTAACGCTATTTTTAATTTCTTTTTTCTTCCTGTTGTTGATTTTGTTATGTGGCTTTTCATTTAAGGAGATGTAGAGTAACTGTGTAACAGAGACTGTCATATCCAGTAGCATGTTATTTAACTTCATAGCATTGTAAATTTGTATTTTTCCTCCTGTTGATTTTCTTTTGTGGCGTTTTATTTAAGGGGATGTATAGTAACTGTGTAATAGAGACTATCATATCCAGATAAGAGGATACAATGCAGTTTGCACCTCTACTTCCAGATCAAAGATAGATTCCAATGAAACTGTTAACTATATCTTGACAATAGGATGCGGTACTCTCCATTGTCCATGCCCGCGATGATGGACATATGACTGTGTATGAACTATACTATGGTATTAATATAGGGGAACTCAGAGTGGGGGGAGTGGACTTGGTAAAGGAGAAGGGGAACCCTAGGGCCTATGGAACAGTATCATAAACTGATAGTAATAATAATAAAAATAAGTTTAAAAAAAAGAAATTAAAAAAATCAAACATAAAAAAGAAAAAAACACTAATGCCTCAATACTTTGGACTCAAGGTTTCTTAACTACAATTCTAACAACTTTCTTAATTTCTGCAGGGACACACAGCCTGGTCTCACTGTTAATCTGGAAGTATTCCATAAGTCTAAGACTTAAAAAAATTTTTTTCCTAAGATTTATTAATCTGAAAAGCAAAATAACAGAAAGTGTGGGAGAGACAGAGCTCCTCCATCTGTGGGTTTGCTCCCTAAATGGCTACAATAGCTGGGGCTGAACCAGGACAAAGCAGGAGCCAGGTTTCCATCCTGGTTTCCCATGTGGGTGGCACCTGAGCCATCTATGTTGCCTTCCTAGCTACATGGGGCTGGATAAGAAGCAGAGTGACTAGCACTAAACTGTCCCTTGAATATGGGGGCTGTAAGCATTTCAAGTGGTTGCTTAATGCACTATGCCACAACATAACCCCCTTATTTTCAACTTTAATATCTTCTCTAATGTAAACTTCTCCTTTCATCTTTAGTATCTAAGTAATGCAGTGGTACTAACAATATCCTAAGTAACATAATTCAACTGCCTTCTGATCTCAACAACCTTTCCACCTAACTTACACTCATGCTTGACAAAGTCTGGTACTCAACATACGACTACTGAATTAACTAAATGTCAACAGTTCTCTCCCTGTAACAGCACTCTCAGTTCCTGCTTCAGTAATCAGCCCAGACACATGACTAGAGAAGCTTTCTCTATTAGCAACATTTTCAAATCATCACTGGGGTCTGAAAAACTTGTGACAGAGAACAACAAAGTGACTTTAAATAAAACCTAACATGTGCTACAAAGCGTGCTGTCAACTGGAGTTACTAATTCTCAACTAATAAAGTCTGAAATCTGAAACACTCTCACATCTGGGGGAGAATTTAAGTAGGAAAGAATCATAAACAGAAGACACACTGTGGTACTTTAAAATAGTATCTTTTATCAATACAAATAAAGCATCGATATTTTACCTAAAGCGTCTCCCACGCTGCTGGTTCATTTTTGCTCGAGGAGCCACACCATCAACAGCCATAAAGAACACTTTTCTAGGTTTAATAATGCGAAACAACACCTCCAGGTAGTGAAAAATATCAGTAAAGATTTTATCCTCTGAAATTCTAAAGTGAACATCATCGTCATTAGGATGGGAACACTGATGTATAATTCCATTCATATCTAGATACAAGTTGTCAAATTCAGGAATCTAAAAAACAAAGGAAAATGTTATTGTCACCAACTGTAATCAACAATGGTTATATCAGCATTAGCTAATCTTAGTATCAGTATTAGCTGAAAAAGTAATTGTTTAACGATAAATAACAGAAATGATGGGTACAATGAAAGAAATTTACAGAAAACCCAATGCCAGCATCATACTAAATGGGGAAAGATGGAAAGCTTTTCCACTAATATCTGGAACTAGATAGGGGCGTCCGCTCTCACCACTACTCTTCAGTATAGTATGGGAAGTCCTTGCCAGAGCTATTAGATAAGAAAATGAAATTAAAGGAATTCAAATTAGAAATGAGGAACTGAAATTATCTCTATTTGCAGATGAGATGATCTCTATATGAAAGAACCAAAAGACTCAGTTAAGAGAATATTGGAATTCATAAGAGACTTTGGCAGGGTAGCAGGATATAAAATTAATGAACACAAATCGATGATACTACTGTACACAAATAATTCCACAGCTGCGAAAGAAACTGTAAGCCCAGTCCCCTTTAAAATAGTGGAGAGGAATCTTAAATGCCTAGGAATTTAACTAAATATGTGGAAGACCTCTATGATGAAAACTATAAAACATTAAAAAAAAAAAAAGAAACAGAAGAAGACATTGATAAATGGAGAAACTTCCCATGTCCCTGGATTGGCACGATTGACATAATCAAAATATGTATATTACTAAAGGTAACATGCAGATTCAATGCAATCTCAATCAAAATCCCAACAATATTTTCAGAAACTGAAGATACAAAAGTTCATCTGGAAACAGAAGAGATCACGAATAGCCAAAGACATCCTGAGGAATAAAAATCAAGCTGGAGGAATCACAATTCCAGACCTCAAGACATACTACAGAATAGTGGTCATCAATACAGTCTGGTACTAGTACAGAAACAAAGAAGATCAGTGGAATAGAACTCAAGCACCAGAAGGGAGCCCACACATAATATATAGCCAACTAATCTTTGACAAGAAAACAGAAAACAATCCAGAGAAAAAGCCTGGTGTTTTCAATAAATGCTGTTGGAAGGAAGGCCCGCAACTGTCACATTATACAAAAATCATCTCTCAAAGGCTCAAGGAACTAAATCGACACCCAGAAATCATCAAACTACTAAAAGAAAACACAGGAAGCACTCTCCAAGATATAGGAACAGGGAAAGACTTCTTAGAAAAGATGCCAAAAGCACAGGTAAGCAAGGATAAAATAAACAAGCAAAACCACATCAAACTAAAAAGCTTCTGTACAGCAAAGAAAAGCTTTATCAAAGTGAAGACGCAATCAACAGGACAGGAGAAAATCTTTGCACACTACACAAGTGAAAGGGACTAGTATCCAGAATTTACAAAGAGCTTCACAAACCCAGGGAAAGTAAACAAACAAAACAACCTTGTGAAGAAATGGTGAAGGAAATGAACAGACATCTTACAAAAGAACAAATTCAAATGGCTAACAGACATATGAAAAGAAGCTCAGGTTCCCTTACCATCAGGGAGGTACGAATGAAAACACATTGAGGTATCACCTAACTCCAGTGAGACTGGCCTACATTCAAAACTCTACTACCACCTGCTGGCATTGATGTGGGGAGAAAGGTACCCTCTTTCACTGCTCGCAGGAGTGCAGGCCAGTACAACTACTATGGAAATTAGTATGGAGAGTGCTTAGAGAATTGCAAATAAACCTGCCCCCTGAACTACCTATCCCACTCCTAGGAATATACCCAAAGGAAATGAAAACTGCATATGAGAAGGGGATCTGAATCCTATATTTACAGCAGCACAATCTACAATAGCAAAGACATGGAAACAATCCAGATGCCCATCCAAAGAGGAGTGTCTAAAGAAGCTGTGGTACATCTACTCCATGGAATATTACTCAGCCATTAAAAAGAATGAAATTATACCATTTGCAACTAGATGGTCCCAACTAGACACCATTATGCTTAGTGAAATAATTCAATCCCCAAAGGACAAATACCATATATTCTCTCCAATATCAGGAAGCCATCATGCATATTTTAAGTTCAATAACCCTTTCCATACTGTTTTTGCTTCATCCCATGTGTTCTGATGTTTTTAAATTTCATTTTCATTTCTTTCAAATATTTTCTTTTCTCTTGTTGAATTTGCTGTTGGCTCATGGATCACAAAGTGTTATCACTTTACCCAAGAGGCTTTTATGTTTTCTTTTTGTCACCCATGCATTGGTTCTTCAGTGGGGCATTTTTTCAACTCCATGGTGCTGTAAATTTTTGTTGTTAAGTTTATTTCTTCTATTGACTTTGTTTTTCGGCTTCTCATTTAAGGGAATATATAGTGATGATGTAATAGAGACTACTATATCCAGATGTGAAGATACAATACAACATGCATCCCTATGTCCAAATCAAAGATGGACTCTCAATGACTCCTTACGAAGAACTATGCTATTGTAATAACAGGAGGAAAATTAGCTGGAGGTGGGAATTTGGAGGCGGGGGAGGGAATCTATGGTATTATACCATAAAAAAAATTGTTAGGGGCAGACACCAGCATGCCAACAGGGAGGATTTGGGGATAAGCACACGAGTGTGCATGGGCCTTGGGTAAGCAGGCTGGGCCTCCGGCTAGAACGGCAAACTGGCAGACGATGGAGCTTCAGAGCTTGGGGATCTGTGGATTGCTCAAGGAAGTGGATCCGGAGATGTATCTCAGGGAGAACTGCCGAGGAAGAATGTGTCAAGTGAGGAGTGATTCTGGACTTCCACCAACTTGGTTACTGCACTTGCAGGTAAATGAGGCAGCTGAGACCAGGTGTTTTGAGGATGAAAAACCAGAGGACCTTTTGGGGCTAAACCAATACACCCGCCCTTGCAGGAGACCTGAGCTGGGACTCTGAGTGTCAACCACCATCTACTGGCACACACAAAAGTCATGGCTAGCGAGTCTTACTGACAGGGCTTGATCACAGTAGCTGCCAGTGAGTGTTGAGACAGGGGGCGGGCCATTATTAGGTTGGGCCATGACACTAACCAGCTCATGAGAGAACTGGGTATGGGAGCAGATTCTGTGGAGGATCAGATTCCATGGGGGAATTTGTGGGCTCACCCCTGTGGGACTGTCATACCAACTGGTCTGATCGAGGGCTGAGGTGGTGAAGGATTGAGTTAGCCACAACCATGGAACTCAACACTCATGGATACTAGGGTTGGGAACAGCCTGGGCTGGTCCAGGTTGTAGCACCCACAGGCATTCCTAAGAATTGGGTGTGGTGTGGGCCAGGCCACAACATCCAGCAGCACACAAAAAGGCCAACACTTGGGGGCAGATTGCTGGGTAAGGGCCTAGTACCCCCTGGCATTCCTGAGATCTGGGTCTGAGAATGGGCCTGTTTGTGGAACTCCCCTGGTATGTTACTGCTCCCACTGGTGATCTCCCCACTGGTGATCACGTGAATCAGGGCTGTTTCACTTTCAGAAGGTGTTTGGGTTTTCTGTAGGGGACGAACTGGGCAGCACACTGGCATGTGCGGGAGCCAAGATGGGGTGTGGACCATGCTAAGTAGTCTAGGCTATCAAACTTACCAGTTTCTATGAAAGCCAGGGATAGGGGCAAGCTTGGTAGCGTGAGGCTGTGGTACCTATCAGCAAGAGGTGGGAATGGGGACGGATCAGGCCAGACTGTAGCATCTGACGGTAAAGGCTGTGGGAGATTGCCCCTGGATCTCTGTCTGCTACCTGGTAGGTGTGACTTAAGGTCCATGACCTGAGGCACAGCTTCCAGCTGTATCTGCAGAACATGACATGACTGGAGGGTCTTTAGATGTGCCTTCTCACCAATTACAATGTCTTTGTTGGGTGAGAGAACTGTTGGGGTCCGCCCTTTTGCCTAGTCTGCATAAGTTGTACTGGTTTTACAATAAATGGACATGCTCCAACAGACTGTCCCCAGTGCTTCTGCAGCCAAAGAACACTGTCGCCTCACTTCCTCAGTGGTCTCGGGATCTGCTAGTAGGAAATCCCCCTAAGAAAAGGTCAAGCTCGGTGATGGGTCACACCACGCTGGAGTGGAGCAACCACCCACTAGCATGTGCAAGATCTGTGGCTGGGAGTGAGTTTGACTGGGGAGCTAAGAGGATACCCCTGCTGGGCTATGGTTCCCACTAGTGAATGTAAGAGCTGGACTGGGGGTGGTTATGTGGGCTGGACATGGCTGCATCCCTTGGCATGGATGTGGACTGGGTCTGGGGTGTGCAGACCCAAGACAGGTGAAGGACAGAGTGGGCTAGGTCTCTGTACTTGCTGAATCACATGAGAGCTGGGTCTAGCGGTGGATCAGGTGTGGCTGGGTTGTAGCACCCAAAGCTAAGAGCCAGGATGGTGTGGATCAGTTGGGAAAGGCTACTGTTCCTGCCAGGATAGGATGTAGGCCAAGTCAGGCTGGGCCAAGGACCTACTGGTGTGCGCAACATCTGCCACCTGACCAAGCCTGGTTACAGTGCTAATCAGCATACGTGTGGTTCAGGTCTGGAGGCAGGGCAGGCTGGGCCAATTCACAGCATCCTCTGGCATTTGTCAGAACCAGGACAAGGTGCAGGATGGATCAGGTTAGGCCACAGTATCAGTCAGTTTACATTTCGGCCAGGACTAGGGGGTGGCCGGGCTGGGCTAGGTTGTAGCATCCACCAGCATGAGATGGAATTGAGGTTAGGTGAGGCTGATCCAGGCTGCAGCACCCACTTGCTGATGGATGCTGAGGTGAGGTGTGCCATGCCATCTGGGCTGCAGGTTCAACCAGCACACATAAAATATAGAATGGAGAGTGAGCCCAGCAGGGGCTCACGTGCTGAGTAACTGTTCCTGCTGGTAAACATGAGTGCTGGGACTCAAGGCAAACCAGGCCAGGCAGGGATATAACACCTGTTGACCTCCATGTGAGGGGGAGAGCCTAGCTGGGCTAAGCCACCATTTCTGCAGGTGCATACATGAGTCAGAA